GGGCCGCGAAAATAAAGGGTTTTACAGTATATCTAATCTAGAATTCATCTGCATATATCTTAATTATTAACATAAAGGGGGAAGTTAGTAATGCTCCTTGAGGAGCCGGACTTGTTTTACAACAGTTTTTGAGGTGAAGACAGGTATAGGGTATGCAGGATGAGCCTGTGTCAAAAGGACCGTTTCAAAATTTAGTTTTGCTCCTAAATACACACATGATCTTAGTCATATTTTAAGAAAGGTCACCAAAAAGGTAAAAAGCTCTAGCACCAGATCTAAATATTGCTAATTCCAGAATAATACCAAGCACAGATGTTGCACCAAAACTAACTAGAAAAGCATTTGTTTTTTATCGCTTAATTTATCGTAGTATTTTCGTTTACTGACCAGCGTGGTTTGCCAAGTTGTGTTCAGATAATTATGAACTAATGTGGAAGCAGGTGGCTGTCATTGACTTTGTTCAGACCCTTTGAACACAGTAATCAAGTGCCAAGCACCCTTTTTAATCTAAGGAGACTGACCATGATCTATTTCTGAACAACAAAATAGACGCAGCATTCTGATTCATTTTATGGTCTCGCGTTGATGATCCGTCATGCATCTGCAGAATGAGTAAAAACTGTGCGAGCTGGTGTATGTTTAACTCTTCCATTTTGAACATGAGGAAAAAAAAGTTTTTACTGTTGTTCAGAAATATACTGTATTTGGGACGAATGTGAGCAACACACAATAAAAATAACGGAGAGCATGCAGGCAAGCTGTGATCTAATCTCTCAAGGAAGCGATGGTTACAGTACTAAGTTAAACGAGCATTTGGCATAAGATTTTTCGTACGTGTTTACCGTAAAATACCGGGCAAGTGCCCACTAAAAATTTGGAGATAATCGTGAAAAAATGGGGGATGGGTGCTTGTCCAGTCATCAGTTTTACATATCAATGTACTGCACATATATTCTCAGATCTTGCAAGTTTGGGAATGGGCGGATGCACATGCTGAACAGAAACTTGAAACATCTGTACTTCCTATTAAGGAAAAGTATAGTAAGGATTGGGATTTATTTCAAACCATATCATTGCATCTTGAAATAGTTTCGTTGTCAGTAGACTTACGGAACTTACAATTTGGGTTGTTAACCCCTCGCCTACTAATTTTTGTTTTCTTCGAGGAACATACAGCAAAATTTTATTTTTAACGGCCAATTTGCATAAAAATAAAACAAAAACAATTGCTCGACTTCCAGGTGTAACATCTTGCTCGAAATCGGAACTTCTGGTCCGAAATGCGAGTCACACTCGTGGGCAAGCTCTATGGTCCGTAATAAATCGTGGCACCCATTACTAGTGGGCAAAGGCTTAAATAGGCACACCATTTTGCTCTCATGAGGCTTAAACTGTGCTTGTTTTGTTGGCTATGCCTTCCACTACAAATTTGTAAGAGGAACCAACCCACTACCAGGAGAGTTTTCAATAGCTGCCATTCACATAAATTGTAAATACGCCGTTTGCTTTCGATGCTATGGGCTGGATTCTTTTTAACTAAAGGCGGCCATCTTCGGAAATGGTTCTGGAACGTACCACGAAGATACTTTTTCGTCGAGCAATTTTTGTATTTAGAGAAAGACGTCTGCCCTTAAAGCCCATTGCTCAACTTTGATGACCAGCTCTAATATTTACTTCTACTGCTACAAAACGATACTTTTGCAGCTCCTGAGCTGCTTCAAAGCAGAACTTTTACCGCGTCAGAGCTCCTCCAAAGGGGCACCTTTTGCTGCTCCCAGACCTGCCACAATAGGCTGAAGCTCGCTTCCGGCCCTGAACTATACTACTTTAACTCTTAAAGGGAAGCTGAAGTGCTTTTGTATTTGAGGAAACACACTTAAAGGGGCGGTGCAACGATATTCAATTGGGATGTTTTTCACTGTACACGAGCTTACTCGCACTAGTGGGACTCGAGGATACTCGCACGCAACGCCACTGACCAAGAAACTCCTTTATGCGGTGAAATTTCAAGGACAAAACCGAGCGTTTTCATTCAATCTCTCCTTTGAAAAACCTGATGACGTAGCTTGGCGGTAGCAGTGTACCGCCCAGTGACAATATTTCAATACGGCTCATAGATTGGATCCGAGCATGGCATGGACACTCGATTTGGGCTCGTGATAATCGATAGCTCGAGAAACATTCGGGTAGTGTCCTGTGTCCAATCGTGTCCTGTGCCTTGCCAACCCCAGCGCATGGCTATGATCAACATTGGCGGCATATAATCGGCTCCAGATCACGGGGCTGCTTGTTCTGGCTGCGAGTTGAAGGGGTGAACTCTGCTCGTTTTTCTTAATTTTTTTCTGCGACTTCGATTGCGTGTGGTGAAAACGAATGGGTATTGCACAGATCATTTACGTCAGGGATTCGTTCTAAGCGGTATTTGCACAAAATACAAATATCAGTGCATTGCCCCTTTAAGGGGAAACATGACCTGGGAACTCAAAATTTTCAGAAAAAATGTTTTTTTTTTTTTTCAAAAGTTATATGTTTACGTTTATTAACTTCCAAAGAATGGTTTCAGAAAATTTCATTTATAAACATGCAGGATGTATCTCACAATAAATTATTTTCAACATGTCGCCAGCCTTCTGAGTCAGCAGGGAACAATTTTTTTGTTTTTTATTTGGCACTGCTTCATACTCGTTTAACATTGCCAGAACATCTTACCCGCATTGGAAGTGCCAATTACTCTATCTTACCACGCTACGTCATCAAATTTTGCAAAAGAGAGATTGAATGAAAACGCTCGGTTTTGTCCTTGAAATTTCTTGTCTTCATTTGACCTCCAGGATTTCAAATATCGAAATCATTTTTTAATTTGGGTAAAGGAGGCTGCAGAAAGTCATTTTCCAAATACCACCGAAGGCCCTCCTTCCCGGAGTGTGACGTCACAAAAGGAGTTTTCGGAATCTGCTCTCGCGCAGGGCTGGGCAGAGATACTCCAAAAAGTATTCGGGAATAAAATACTGAGATACATGTATTTTAAGGCCCAAAATACAGATACTGAGATACCTTTGTCTTTTATGGAACGGGATATCCCTGAGATGCCTCTGCAAAACCAGCGAAAAAGTATTCCGGAATACAGATACAGATACTTATAGAAATACATTAGCTCCCGAACAGTGTTAGGTGGGGAGGGTGCATTTTGAGGGCGAATTTGAATGGTAATTTATGCTTGTGCTCCTTTTTTGTGTAATTTTATGCTGTTTCCCTTCCCTCAAAGTTTTTATTTATCATTAATGCTGCTGAAGAAAACATCTCATCTCCGTTGAACCAGATACTGTAAACAACTTGATTTTTGCGAGGACCTTATTTTCACGAATTTCCGAATCGCCTACAATTCGCGAAAAATAGGTCCCGCGAACACTTCCGGTAAAATCTAAACACATTGGAATTTATACCGAGATCCCACAGCGTCATGAAAATTAGAATCCGCAAATAATTCCAGAATTTCAGGTTTGACCTAGATCACAAAATATTGAGCCCGCGAAAAATAAGTTTTTACAGTAGTTGCAGAAAGGTAAAGACTGCGTACCACGCTTGAAAAAGACGTCTGTCCGAAATGAACCCGTTTTTGCCGTAAGGGTGCATTTCAAACTGTCGTATTATAACCTTCCGAGTCGCCTATTGTGCATGGAGATTGTACAACAGGATTGTGCTTTTTCTTCACTCAACTCTGTTGGGCGTTCTCTGCAAAAATGGAAAGAGTGGCTTTGTGGGTGAAGCTGATTTTGTTATTCTTGCCCGTAATCTTTTTTTACCTATTTTTTCTTATGTTGGTGATTGAGATGAATTATGTTATAAGGCGGGTTTATATTATAAATTACGAAGCGGCTTGCACCAAACTGATGTTTTTATGTTTTAAGTTTTTTTAAAAAATGACAGCAAAGGTAACGAGATATCTAAGTGTGGCAAAGTATTGCGATACAAGTGATACATCTTAAATGTATTTCACTACTGAGATACAAATACATTTTTTGAATGTATCTCGATACAGAGATACAGATACTCGAAAGTATCTCTAAGATACTATCGCGATACATTTGTGTCGCGATACTGCTCAGCCCTGCTCTCGCGCAACTTCACCGCCTATCAAGGCTATGCATGTGCACTCTTGTTAGTTTTAAAGAGGGCAGAAAAAGGCGTGATAGCCGATACCAGCAGGGGGGAATATACTTTGCAAGCTTGCAATTGCACGCGTTTGGTGGCCAGAAGATTCTTTTATGACGTCACGACTGGTTGGAGGTTTCGCGTGTTTTCTCGCATTTAGTTACATCTTCGGGGAAAACAAGCGTGATATTCAGATTCACAGGATGAAACTACGCTAGAATCATCCTCTATGTCATTTTCTTTAAAGTGTGTCAGCTTACCTTTAAGCTGATACTGCAACTGAGGCTACAAGCACGAGAGGACAAGTCATCGGGTATAAAACCTTCTTCGAGAGAAAGAGCGCTCATGCTAGAGAAATGTGTCTCCAAGCAAGGAGCATGGGCTAGCTCGTGCTTGTAGCTTTTGCTGCGGTCTCAGCTTAAAGGTGAACGAAGTATAGAACTGACTGCCAAGGGTGTTCAATTTTATTGACAACACGAGTGTACAATAGGCCGCATGAAGAATACAATCACTCTTTCCTCTGGTGCCCGCTGTCCTTTGGCAGATTCCGATTGGATGCTGCCCTTTTGGCGGTATGATTTTCTTGTACAGTGTGCATCTCGTCGATTATGTGAAGGTTTTTATATTTTCGCTCAGTCGATGTCACTCAATGTCACTCGATGGTCCCATACCAGAAAGAGTGCTACGCTTTGATTCTTCTTTTGTAGTAGCAACAGATGTGTGTCACACAAGCAGACTCGTAATTAAGCATCCAACCGAGCCCTAACTCTGGGGCACCCACTTGGCCGTCGGCAATGTGTGACGTGAGCGTTTCTCTCGGCCGCAACTGAGCGGAAGTGTCTGTGCAGGTGCAGCAGCACACGTACGGGTGCTCCCTCTGCAGCACTCAGCTGGAGCAGCCCGAGCTGTTTGACTGCCACACCAAAAGCGTGAAGCATGTCAAGAGGCTGCGCTGGATGTACTTCATGGGACTCAACAGTGAGTGCCCCGCTTTCGTGCTCCCGTTCGAGCTTTCGTAGATTTTTATACAAACCCCAAGCATTTGCGTAACTGCTACCGTAAAATGCACGCTGGGGGTCTCCGGTTAACTGGTCACGCCGCTCCCACCCAGTCACTCCACCGCAGCAGAGGCGAGGTGTTATCTCGTGGCAAGCCACCTTCCCGCCTTGTCTAGATACCCGCCCAATAGATCCTACTTTGGGTCTTTGGCTCGGCCTTTTCGGTACCAACCAAGGCCAGAGAGCCTGTAGCAGCGTGTAAAGGGTGGCTGTCCTCCCTCCTGCAGAGGAGCTGAGCCAGTTCAACTGCAAGGTGTGCCACATTTCGGTGCCCTGTCGGGACCACCTGGTGGGCCACCTGCGCAGTGACCGCCACGCTTGCCTCAGCAAGGCCCTGGGCGTGCACCCGGCCTATGGGGAGTACGTGCTCAGGCAGTACTTCCCCAAAGGTGAGTCCTCTCTCTGGCTCTTCACACTCTCGGGACGTTTGGACGACGGCAGGCCTTTGGTTCGTCCAAGGCGTTGGATCTTTTTCGCGAACTCTCGAATCCCCTCGTAACACTTTCAGTCTTTGGCAAGTAGCCCTGCAAAGCATGGGAGGTTTGGATCTACGAGTTTTCTTTGCGTCAAAGTGAATTTCGTCGCTGCCTCACAAATTTTCTTGCTTGCGGTGCCAAGGATCAGCATTAAGAGACCCAGCAGAAGGCACCAGTGGCACTCACGTGGGGATCGCTGCCAGTAGATGGCAGGAGCGAGCTTGTCGATAAGCAAAAGAGGGGGAATGTAGATGGACCAAAGTCTCTCGAGGCTTTTCTGTACTTCAGATGTCCTCCGAGATATGTCTCTTTTCCATTTAGTTTAGTTTATGGCTCCTCAAAGGCGTTCCTTTAGATTTTATTATCCGTGTTTATTCTTTTACCACGGTGGTATGGAGTGACGAGGATACTTGTTTAACAGTTGTGGTCATGTGCATTGATGTGATGAGCCCTAAAATGTTTGCGCGAGGGACTCTTCGGTCGTTCAGGTTCGAGATGTTGAAAACACATTTACAAAATGCATCTTTGGATGTCGCTTGACCAGCAAAAAGGTCTGAAGGCTTGGCCTTATGAAAAGTAGCGGAGCTTTCAAGGTTCCCCCTTTGTAGGAACAAGCACGATTTAACATAAATGTCACAGTATGTGCGCGACTTTCAACACCACGTTTCTAGAGTTCTTTCTTTCTGGCAGCGTGCTGAATTAGCCTGCCGACGCCGTAAGTAGTTGTGTACAGAGGGCTGCTGCAGATGTCAAATGCTGGTTTCTATGTCTTTGTGCGGATGAGTTGTTCAATATGTACCAGAAGCCTTAATTTATTGAATGTTTTTCACCAGCCATTCACGGTAGTAGTCTTTGAGGCCCGACGTACCTTACAGTATCTGACCTTATATCTTTGTCGTTAAATTTCACGTTGGTACAGTGCAGCCCACTAATTACCATTTTTTCAGACCGACGAGCAGCTAAGGTATGTGTAGACTACAGAGTCATTTTTCTTGTTCTTTGGTTACCCTGGTCATCTCTGCATTGTACCGAAAGTCGTACTCGCAACAGCGTCACAGACTCGGCAAGAGCGTGCTGAAGACCCGCCCCCTAGTGCCGTCTCCTCCTAGAGGAGGGCACTGGGATCCGGAGCACCACCCACTTGCCTTTGCAACTAATGAGCGAACGGCTCGATGTAGCGTTGCAGTCTGTCTCCACGATAATACCGTTCCGAAGGACGGTATTAGCGCGGCATCCGGTTTACCTGAAGCCGGGGGCTCAGAATCCGCGTCAAAAACCCCCGCGACGACGGACGTCACCTTCGGGGCCTTGCTCGTTGATGCCCTAGCCTCGACCGTTGCGGCAACTCGAGAAGCGGCGCACTTGCCACATTCCGCACGAGTCTCCGTTTCCCGACGACGGAGCGAGGCTCAAGCCGTGCGGAGCAGGGCCCCTACCCGAAGGAAGCCGGTCCGAAACCCAGGAGCAATCCGACTTGCTCGGGGTCCGCACGAGGACGCCCTGGACCGGCTATTGGCTCGTCCCGTCCGCTCGGGCCGAGACCGGCACGAGCGACGGCTGCATCGGGGTGCGTCTGCAGCAGGCCGCTCGGCTGGCCCTTCGTAGGTTCACGTAGGTCGCCGACGTTACCCCCCGGCGGGGTAACCTCGGAGACGGCGACGCGCACTGTGGAGGTCGCACTGGGACACCGCTCGGGGCCCGGCAGACCGTCCCGGCTGGAGGCCCGCCGCTTCCGGGGCTCCGCGGATGCCGGGACGCCGGAGGACTCCCGGACTCACAGGCGCCGTGCTCTCTTCTCTCGTTGCACTCTAGCCAAGGTGCAGAGCATCCTGGCGGAATCCAGACAATTGCAGAAGACCCCCGGAGAGATGGGGAAGGTAACAGTCACGTGCATATTTCTGTGTCGTCTAGCACCGGGGCGTGCCAAAAAAAAGAAATTGGGCTGGTTTTGTTTTTGTCTTTACTTAGTTTGGGACAGCGGTGACATTTTTACTCTCCCTCTTATCCTTGCAGTTTGTTTTTATCTTACTTTTGTTTTATTCTATTTGCGCACGAAAAAGAAGCCCATTGCACTCTGGGGTTCTGTTCTGGAATACCTTAATGCAGGGGTTCCCACACTTTCACACCTCATGCAATGTCCGTTTCTCGATAATGCGGTATTGATATGAAGAAGTAGTAAGGGGAAATCCCACGGAATTGTTAAAAGTGGTGCACATACTACGGAGTATTTGGCACATATTTATGCGTCGATAGACGGCTCAGATTTTCTAAAGCAGCGCTTAAACTGGAAGAACACTTTTCTCTGGGAGTGGGCCGAGGAAAGCTAAGAGGAACCCCTGAGGGCATTCTGGGGAACCCCCTGGTGTCTAGAAACCCGGTTTGAGAATCCTCGCCTTACGCATTGTTCTATTCTCACGGATGTTGCGTACCCCCCGTACATACAGTCTATTCTTCCGAGAATTGAGGCTCCTGCATGTGTGGAAACAGGCTTTCTGTGGCATAAGGTGCGTTGGAGGTAAAGTATCCTGCATGGATGCCATTCCTTCATGTAAGGACTTGCACAAAGAAATCCTTCGCCGCCTGCTCGGCTCATCACCGCTACCAGAAGATCAGCTTTGTTTGTGCCATGTGTCCCCTTAGTTTTATACCCAGACATTTTTGAGGAAGTGGACAGGACTGTGTCTCCACATTTTCGCTGAAACTTTGGGCCAAATCGACTGGCTCGCGACAAGACCAAGTTGCTGGCTGGCCGTTCCTCTGGCCCGCTTTTCATCAGCCAAAGCCAAGGCGCACAGACCCCAAGCTTCGCGTTTTGGGGAAAAAAGGGAAGCCGTGGCACCCCGAGATGTACACTGCTTGGACCCAAAGCACGTCGACAGAGCTTGGGAAACCTTCCTTGGAAGCCGTCCTGGACCGTTGACGTGGACTGTCTCGTCAGTGGAAGACAAGTCAGCGCGGACATCTGCTACCTTTGGACCTGGTTTACGCATCTGGACTATGAATGGCTGTCCGGCCTTCGGAGGTTCTGTAGACGACTCTTTATGGTTCGTGGAATCTGGCCGGACGTCTCCAGGACTGCTTGCTGGACAACCCTGGCTGGCTGGAAGTGATCTCCTGTACGGAAGATTCGCCCGAGACTGCATCCTCGTGCATGTGTGTGGGTGTGTCAGCAGTAGGTACCTTGTCAAACATTGTGTGACATCTTCGTTCGGGGCAAACACGGTGCCATCACTGAAGCAAAGCGTGCACCTGAACCAGCTACTTCTTGTCTTGTTTAACCTCCTGGATGTCGGCCAGCAAGAGGACACACTTTGAATCTAAGAGTTAATTAAGTTGGCGCTTAGCATTCGGGTAATGAACCTTTGCTCTCCAGTTAAAGCACTTAGTACAGGGCCAATTGTTGTTAACCAGATAGTATTTTGTCTCGGCAGTCTCAACAGACGTATGGTTTGTCTGGGCCGAGCCCAGATGCATCGTGACCTTGGTTGACCTCGCTTTTTTGTTGCGCACGCTACAGAACCTGTCTGCTGCCCAGAAGCGCAAGAATGCTGAACCGTGGGTGGACGACTCTATCGTGGAATTGCGCTATGGTGCGTTTGTTTACTAGAGCATTGTTGGCTCTTAAACTTGAATACTGAGAATGTGGTCTCTTGTCATCAGGTGCACCCTACAAGCAACCGAAGCAGGAGCCCAGAAAACCTGGCGTGAGTCAAATTTCTTTTTTTTTTTTCAATGATGGAGGGGTTTATAAATGAAATGGGATGTTTCTAAGACTATGAGCAATAACTAGATTCTCAAATATTTATGAAGAAAGTGCAAAGCCTAGAATTTCGATAAAGAAGGCTGTCTCACCAAGAAGAATATTGATAGGCGACATGAGGGACAAAAATGGACGCACAAACCTGCTTTGGAGGCTTTCGCTGCTTCAGTAACCCCGTGACGAGTGTCGTCCGTTACGCATGCAACTCGATAATTGAAGCTCGCACTATGTGCAAAATACTTTGATTTCAAGAACTTCCTACAATTTAACCCGCTTATAGTGGAGTCAGCGGGAATTGGAAAAATGTCGGCTATATCCGGAATTCTTTATATGCATACTTTGCGAAAAATCATGATTGCCTTGAAAAATGGTAGCTCGCTTAGCGAGAATTTTGCGGGCAGTTGTCTGACAGAATGAGAGTTACGATAGTGATGCGACATGTTTTGTCGTCGTCGTTGCTAAAAGTAGAAATGCAACTCTCGCACTGTTTACATAGAAAGCTACGCATCAATGTATCTTTATATCTTTAAGTGATGCGGATACCGACCGACCATTCTGGACACTGCCGGCCCCCAGAAACAATTCGTATCAAACCGCAGCGAAGTCAGTCCCTATGTCGAGTCGTCCTCGTCGTCGCCACGGCGCAGCCCCGATCGGTCGCTGCCGCTTCTAATGCAGGGTCGGCACGGTTTCCACAATCGGCATGTAGGGTACCTTTAACAAAGAGGTTCTTTCGCATTTGGCGAATCGGCTTGTGCTCTCGAGTCGCAAGCACGCGCCACACTTGGGTCATTATTAACCGATTTGCTGCCGATTGGTTCCTTAGCCAAAGGTGCCTATACAGTGGTACGAGTCGAGTACGAGGTTTTTCAAGTTGCAGCCGTTAAGCTCAACCCAAATCGGTCCCGGTGACCCGCGTCGCGGCAGCCGACGAGCCGTTGTTGAGCCCAGAACGGAATATGCCCAAGGCTCGCTGCGTATTTGCTCGCTTATGGTGGGGCGTCGGAACGCATCTCCGGCCGGCGTCTAGCACGTCCTTGAGTCTTGCGATTTCTGCCTGAAAACGTCGCTGAAGCATGCCGGCGTCCGGACGGTGACTCTCCACGGGTCGCTTTGCGGCTCGACTGTTCGCAAAAGCTTCAACAGCCAGCAACGAGGCTGCTGCGACGATGGCGACGCGCGCTTTTACTTTCACCTTTTTGATGGAGCTCTGAGAACCAACCTCGAGGATCTCGACGCCCAACAATGCGACGCTCCGGCTTTTGCGGATTTGCGCATTGCCACTTCGGGGCCGGGTCTGATGCCACGAGCGACCTTGTTCTCCCGGGTGCATGCGTAGCGTTGCCCGTTTTGGGGCTGAGCAGGCGGCCTCTCCACTTGCAGGGCAGGGAGAGCAGGGAGAGGGACCAGGCCCAGAGGCCTGGGGTGCAGGAGCAGGACACCAAAGGCAAGCTCTCCCGCACTTCTCGCCGCGGCTGGGATCACTGGGGCTCGGGGTCGTTTAACAAGCTCAAGAGGCGCTGGGGACATCTTGACGCTCAAAATCATTGTTACCGGTTATCCAAAGCTTCTTCTTTTGAGAAACGGTTTTACAATCCTATAGGAATGTTAAAACGTTGCATGATAGAGCGTAACAATGTCCAAACTTCCTCGCATTTCACCAAAAGCTCTGGGGGTTGACACTCGGTGCACAGGGCCCCCCCCCTGTGCACCGACAGTCAAAATGCCAGCGCCGACATGAAACTCTGGTAATGGAGTGCGCCGAAAGCGGCTGATCGATTTTGTTTATTAATTGTTGAAAATGATTGAAAATGATTCCTAGATGTCCTCAAAATTTGTTCCTTGGAAACTGCGATTCGCGTATAAAAGAAAAATATTTCAAAAGGCCAGATTTAAGCTTTTGTGAAAATTGGTAGCATTCATGGCAAAGTGGTTTGCTTCTTGCCTTTCTGAAGGAGTTCAAATTGGAAGTGTGGTTCAACTTTTCCTCCTTCTCTCTGGGCACGTGTGCTCACCAACCACCGACGGGGCACCGTGGATGCAGGTTCCCAAAGCCGAAGCTTCATTTTCCACTGCGAGCTGTGTCAGGTTGTGGTGCCACGTGAACACCACCTACAAGAGGTGGGTTGTTTTGTGTGGATCGGTGCTGCACTCCAGAAGAAAAAAAACTTTCCCGATCGCTCCCTTAGGGTTTTCGATCGCCAGTAATTGTGAAGCACGGAGACCCATTTTAAATCTCCCGCCAAGCTTCCGGGCTCGCTGCACTCTCTTCTAGTTAGTTTGGTGGCTGCAGTTTTGCTTTCTATGTACTTGTTGTAATGCAAAAGCATTAACTGTCCCATGGAACGAACCGGCGTTGTCAGCTTTTCAAGCCGCGTCAAACAGCACCTAAACTCCCCTGTCCCGATGGAGCGAAGCCTGTCTGTAGCAGCGATTTGATGGATAGCTTATACAATCTTGTGCGCAACAAAGACGAGGACAAAAGCAGAGAAGAGGACACAACAGTGTCCTCTTCTCTCTGCTTTTGTCCTCGTCTTTGTTGCGCACAAGATTGTATAAGATGTCAAACCAACTCGCCCAAACAACCACTCTTCTTGATGGATAGGCTCCCGTTGGCTGCGGTGCGGCATATTTCCAAGGAATGCCACCGGAGAAGCCCTCTCCATGGCGGCGCAGTGGCCTGGCCGCCATGAGGGGGAGCGGCTGGCCACAGATACAGCAGAGCCTGCCCGGGCCCAGAGGCTGCATGGCCAAGCTCAGTGCGGTGCAGCCACTTCACGAGAGCGCACGCTGGGCCGTCGGCAGCAACCTCGGCAGTAGTGAAACATGGCCGTCCACGCCAGTACGCCGCAGACGAACTAAGGGAGCGGAAGAAAGACATTCATGCTTTTGCATTCACAACTGACAAGGAGTGCTTAGGTATCCTCAAAAACCTTTTTCTTTCCGAGTTGCGGCATTTTTAAGCCGAGCGTGAAACTGATGTTGTCGTTGCTGACAGCCATTGGGCGGATCCAGCGCATGCTCCCAAGCGTGGCAATTCTCGCGAATCCTTCGTCGATTTTTTGTACTCGGGATAGCAGCAGTGGATCTGATGATGAAGCCAAACCATTATATTTCAGTTCTGATATTGGCCATGAGCAAAACCAAGCTGTGCTTCATCACACTGAGGAACTACTTTGCCCAATGGCACCTCAGTAATGAGGGTTGACTCGATTTTTGATAGCTCAAAACCTTCCTTAGCTAGAACTCTATTTTTTGTCACGTTTTTTGTTGTCAATATAAAGAGCATTTTGTATATTTGAAATATTTTTATGGCACTTTTGTTTTTAGATGTACCGTAATATCCCGAGAGATGCCACACCTCCGAAAGATCACCTGCCCCTGTTTTTGGCCTCATTTGCCGTTTTGCTTTGAAAACACAGAAATGTAGCCCCCTTCTAGTAATTGCAGGGCCCTCATCAGTGGTGACCTTGGCAGAAATGGTGTTACCTTGCCATGGTGAGAGATAAGCCTACACTGCTAACGACAGTCGAATTTGGTTCATCGCCGCAATCGCAAGTTTTGTAGTTCACAAAATCTAAAACTAGCATTTTCTCAACCCTTTTCTATGGCACATCAAAAGTTAGCCTTCTCATTTTTACCCGATTTGCTTTCGATTTTGGGTGGGCTATCTCTCGGGATATAACGGTCGACATATCTTTGCCCAATTTGGCCCAATCTAAAACAAAAATTGCACGAGACAAGCTAATATTTGTGTTTAGAAACCACGTCTCTGTTTCGGTATTTGCTTCATTCAAGAACGCATTGATTTAGCTGCATTCTATGTATGGCATTCTAGTGTAAACCTACTAATAGTTTCCTGAGGAAAAAACTCTTCCCACAGTCAGGGAAGAGTCAAACCGCTCTTAAGGACCTGCTTTTTGTTTGTTTCTTATGATACTTTTATGGTTTAGGGTGTGTTACAGAGGGGGTGTTAGAAAATATGTAAGCAAAAAATACAGTAACCAAACAAAATAAAAGTGTCCATCAAGCTTTTGGAACTTCTTTCTTTGTGGGGACCTGTCGTGATACTAAGTTTTGAACATTCCCCGAAACCATTGTACCCCAAATATACGTCGTTTTAAAATAAGAAGCGCTGGATGAGTGCTCGTACGTTTTCTCAATTGTTGTGTCTGTGAGTGATGTGTCTGTGTTGGGCTTATGCCAACACACATCCCAAGAATGTGAAGAACAGACTAGCGCACACACGGGTAGGGTAGCTCGGGTTACGTTCAAGGGTTGTTTCGCCGTATGATGTAAAATCATCCATGGAGATTTAAGCACTTCTTTTGAGTTGTGAGTGCGAAAGCATGAATGTCGTTCTTCTGCTCCCTTAGTTCGTCTGCGGCGTAGTGGCGCGGGGCGGCCACGTTTCGCCGGCAAATGGCTGAGTGTGCGCTTTCGTGAAGTGGCCGCCCTGTGCTGGGCCACGTGGCCTCTCTGGAGTCTGCCTGGACGGGCTCTGCTGGCTCTGCCGCCACCGCTCCCTCCTTATGCCGGCGGCCGCGCCGCTGCGTGCGCTGCGCCGCCTTGGAGAGGGCTCTACTGGTGGCTTGTTCTGGAACTACGCCGCACGAGAGCCAATGGGAGCCTCCTTCCTTGATGACGCGCGCCAGCCAATGGGAGCCTATCCATCAGAAATGGGCTTCACTTGAGAAAGAGAATTTTAGGGACCGTTTGGCCATTGTTTGGCGTGGTTTCAAAGCTGATGTCGTCGGTACCCTCCATAAAACAGTTAATGCTTTCGCATTAAAAAGAATTATTGAAGTGCAGGATTAGAAAGGTGTTCAGTTATAGCGGTTTTGAAGGATTAGACGTCTTCAATGGAGGCGATGAAAGGGGGAAGGCGGTTCCACTCTGGTCTTGGGTAGGGAGGAATAAAGAAACATATTTGTGCTGCAAAAGGGAATGGCAGCTTTATACTCATGATCAATGCGTGATGAAGGGTACGAGGGATATGAAAGAAGTTTGCATTGCAATAATAAGTTGCAGAAAATTTTATTTAAAAAAAATCTTTTTATGTAAAGTTGCGGTGCTTAAAATTAGATTTTATTGGTGGAACGCTGGTGAGGCAAAAATAGTTCAAAGAGATTGCATCACCAAATGCACTTTCCCAGTTAAAAAGAAAATGAAGCAGTGTTTGTTGTGGCACGCATTTGAAGCGTGGAGCAATTTTGCCCGCTTGCGGGCACCGACTCGGATGCGACTTCTATTTGGAAGCCAAGCTCATTGTGAGGCCAAAATGGAAGTTGTTTGGTGAGCCCTGCCTGGAATGGAAGAGTGGTATGCCCACCGCATAGCCCTCCTCCCCGCCTTCATACTCCCCCGTTCACATGCTTGGGAAAGGGGAGAGGAGTATGGCCCGCACGCTGCAGTCTGTTGCTGAACCGAGGGCAGTTTCCCATAAACCGAGCTCCGAGGGAAAGAGGGAAACTTAATCTGAGCACGCTTGAAATATGTCGCTACATCCATAATTTTGTCGACATAGCCACTCGGGGCGTCAGTATCGCATTATTTGTTTGTTTTTTTCATTGAGAATACATTTTCTGGTATAACCTAGATGGGCAAATTAAACCAAATTTTTGGGGACATGCGGCATATTTTTAATTCTCCGACGTTAATCGAGTAAGTCTTAAGTCAACAGACATCGATACATGCTCCAATTACTAAGCTTTACATCCACAATGAAGATAGCCAAAAAGAAAGAAAACTACCAGAAACGCGTGTCATTTAGAAATAACAGACGAGCTGGTGAACTTTCAATAGCAGAAGTTGAGATGTGTGCATGTGGCGTTTCCTTTTTTGAGCAATGGAAGTGCCGCCCCTTTTGCGCCAAATTATACCATCAACTCAAGTCTGGTACATCTTGCGCCACAAGGCCATTTTTGCTAAGAATCGCGCCACACCTACGCCGGATGGGCTAAAGGGAGCAAGAAATACCAGTGGTGTATTACCTATTGGCTCACTTTGTTATTTAGAGAAGTAGGAGGAAAGGAAAATGGTAGAAATAGTTTGTTTCATCTTAAGTCAAAGCACAGTCAAAAACACAGAACCAGAAACACACACTAAGAGTGCAAGTCACGGGACATCTGCTGCACTTGTTTTGTTTAGCCGATGAAAGGACTCCTACAAGGAGGCGATGAATGTTATGATGTCGCACTTTTGATGCTGTTTGATTGGTCCCATTGGCTCCTTGCATTGGCTGTGCTTTGACTTAAGGTGAAACAAAGTATATATAGAGATTGCTCATCAGCTGCACTGGCCGGTTGATCGTCGACACTGCCTAACTTTCCAGACAATGTCAGCGATGTCAGGAACTAAAAGTCGCGAGACGACTTTGCAGAGTAGTAGGATGGCGGCCACTGTACTATAACAGAATCAGGGTGTGTTACTCCCGATGAAATCGCTCGATTCTCGTGTCTGTCACGTGTCTTTCTGCCATGGCCACAGTGTACCGCGGCACTTGCGACAGTGGCATCGACCTTTACCACCTTTCACCCGCGTATCAAACTTCGCTGCTTTGCACCGGAATGCTAGGAGCAGCGGCTGACACGGGGGAGCGCCTGGGTCGGTGCGGTGCAAATTACACTCTGGATTATTGCGCGTCGACCTTCCCAAGTCTCGATTGTAGGTTGCTCTCTGTGATCTCTAATTCTAAAAGCTGCGCCGAGAAAGGAAAAAGTAATAACATGGGTCTGTATGTGACTAAATGTGTAGTCAATTAGGTAGTTCCCATGCAGTCGTCGATCGAAAGAGCAGCCAACTTTGACTTAACTCTGGTTCCGACGCCGCTAAAGAACAGTTTCACATCTAAAGTACAAGTGAGGGCTTCCAGAATATTAGTCGGTGGTTGTTTTTGGAAGGTATGATATTAGAGCCTTGTTTTTGATAGGCTCATAAAACATAGGGGACGCATTTTTATTGATACACGCGTTAGCGGATAGGCCGAACTGTTGCTGGTACTATTTTGCAGAAAATTGTATTTACAGGCTAAGTAAACTATTGTGTGTAAAATGGTGAGGGAGAGAGGCTTTGTCAACACTTAAGTGTTGTGCTTCGATCCATTTCTCAACCATTTTTTAATGCCCCTTTTAAGTGAAACCTATTCTGACCAGAGCGTTGTTTTTAAAAAAACTCTCTCTGTTCCTTTTGCACCCTATCTGTTCTTATTACAAAAGGTTATAGATAATATGCTCCAATATCAAAGTGGAATCTTAGATCATTATCGTAAATTAAATTATTTACTGATGCAATAACTTTTTTTTAAAGAACACATGCAAAGGAAAAAAACTTTTTTTTAAAACAGCTTAGATGGAAAAAGGATGTCATAAAACGATTTTAGAACGAAGAAAAAAAAATTTTAGAGCTATATTTATGGCGCTATACGAATTTGTAGTTCGCGCCCGCGGGAGCCGCGGAAAAGCGGCCCTTATTTGTCACGTGACTGGCCCTTATTTATCATGTGGTGCTTGCGCTCTTTCGGAAGCTTCGTATGGCGTCTAAAAGTAACTTATTCATCCTTGTTTGAAGTATAACAAAAAATTAAGATTAATAAGTAACTTTTAGAGCCCAAAGGAAACTCCCGAAAAAGCTCAAGCAGACGTGATAGACCTGTGCGCCGGTCAGACAACGGCGGCGGCGCCCCAAAGCAGACGAACTTGTGCAGCGGCAGCGACGCCGGCGTGGAGAAAGACGTCGGCGTCGCATTATGCTCGGCGTGCGGCGGCGGCTTGACTTTGCGGCGGTGGCAACGCAGTGCGGCGGCGCACAGGCCTACCACGTGACCAGCGGTGGCTCTCGCGGGCACCAACTACAAATTCGTTTTGCGTCGTAAATAGAGCTCTAAATTTTTTTTTTTTCTTCGTTGTAAATTCGTTTTATATTATTCTTTTTCCATCTAGCCTGTTTAAAAAAAGTTGTTTTCCTTTGCATGTGTCCTTTAAGTGATAACCGATGGAGGCACCTGCTCCAAAAGCATCATTAACTGTTCCAAACCACTATTTTGCCTGCTGCAGAACCTGCTACAAAAAGTCAAATGCCGCTTCCATCACCGTTTTCTTGTTCCTCGGTGTCGGGCCTCCGAATTCACTCGCACGTAGGTGGACCGTTTTATCGGCAAAGCCTGTATGTCTCCTCTCCTGCCTAAGAAGCCTGACCAATGAGAAGTTAGGGGTGGGTCGGTTCCCCTCGTGCATCGCAGGAATGCGGACGGGCAGGAAGGAGTCTTAGCTGCATTTACATAAAAATGCTGGGAGCATGGAATACAAACGTTACTTGGACGGAAGTTTCATACTTCCGTCGGGGTAGGGGAGGAGGCGTGTGGAGTTAGCAAACTCACGCTAGCTCTATTTTAGGCAAATTTTTGAGTCTTCCGTAAAGTGTGTTTTTCTGAATAAGTGCAGACACCTAAACACTCGAGTTGCATTTGACTGCACATTCTTCATTCGATCCCCACATCGCCGGACAAAAGGATGTGTGGTGCGATGCTAATTTCGGTGAATGAAAATTGAGTAAAAGGAAACGGTTGTGAGAAAGAAAAAAAAAAACTTCTACAAGTGGGATGCCAAGATCTTGTATTGGCCGAATCACATTTTTTTAAGGGTGTAACCGAGAGCTGTGGCAGCAGCAAGAGCTGATACAAACCGATAATGTGAGTGGATTTAAATGGAGCATCTCTGAAGGGGGGAGGAAGCTGGGTCAGTCACCGGCAAGTACAAGGGCTTACGAGCGTGTTTTCATGGGCAAGTAGCTGCAGAAGGCCGGCTCGTCCGCAATCTGCGGCGAGGCCCTTGTTTCACGCCAGTTTGCAGCACATAGCCGCGATTGTGAAATTTGTTTTTGCAGAGAATAATGGAAAGATGTAAAATATTTCTTGCCCTTTTTTTCGCTTAAACTGCGTATCCTTTCCAGCTGGGCGCAATCTACGTCTGTCGGGTGGCTACGCAGCGTGCCGGGAAGTTTGCGATGCTCGCAGTTTAGATCTCGGTTCTGGCCAAATGAGCGGACGAGAGATTACTGTACATGAAGGATGCGCCTGTTTGCCTTTCAGCACTACAAGGGCAAGAAGCACCGCACGAAGCTGTTGGAGCATGAGCGAGCCAACATGGTGAGTAAAGCAACTGAACGCAGGTTGTGTGTCAGCTCTGACAGGGATGGCTTTGGATGCTAATATACCTCCAACGTTTGGAGGGGGCAACATCTAAAGTCTACACGGAGCGCAGCGAGCATGGGCGCCTTTTGTGTGGGTGGGTGGACGTGACGGGACGTTTTAGTGAACGCCCACGTTTCATCGAACGACACTTTAGCGAATAGTAGGACGCCGCGAAGCGGCGTTTTCGGGTGGGCCAAGTGAGTTCATATTTTTGTAATGAGTTGCCGCAGACTGTCGCCGCGAAGCGGCGTAAAGCGCAGCGCGACGGATGGGTTAACGTGCGCCCCCATTATTCGCTAAAACGACCATTCGCTCAAATGTCGCCGTTCGCTAAAATGTCATTCGCTCTTGTGATATGGACCCGGACGTGACATTGGTTGGCCACTTCTGGCCGCTTTAATGAAGACAAGCGTAAGGCACCCATTTCGTGAAGCGGCCACAAATATTCCGAGAACCTTGGATGCTAGGAAGTGTCCGGAAAGGACCGGAAGCGACTGAAAAACATAGCATCCGTTCAGATACAGGATGTGCACACACAGTGTGTGCTGCGAAGAAGTGCTCTGCCCTTGAGAGACACGTTGAAGAGTGCAGGCCCGTGCCTTGAGTGAGCAGGTGCTGGTGATGCGAGACTATCAATAAATTGAGTATCGACACTATTGATACTTTTTCCAAACTACCTATCAATAGTGTGAAAAAAACCATGGATAGTCAACTATCAATATCCGACGCCTATCGACTGGTGGCCTTCGATTGACCATCGATAGAAAACTATCGGGCGTTAAGAAAATGGAAGTGAAACACAAAAAGGGGACGGTGACTGACATGTATGGACGTATATTTATCGAGCTTTGATCATGTCGTCTAACGAGAACTATTGGTACTTAATCACAAAAGTACCAAGCAGCGACTAAAGGGAACCGATGGATAGTTCCCCGTCAAGTTGTAGTGTAGTATTCGGAGACCTTGTCTTTCCTCTCTCTCCCGTTTCTTATTATTTTACTTTGGGGTTAACCATGATTAGTAGTGAAGAGAAGAAAGGCAGAGAGGTTAGCCTCAATTTTCTGGGACGAAGGCTGAATTTGAGTTTATAATCTTTAACTATTGCGGCTAACATTTGGATGTAGTTTTTAACTATTGTGGCTAACATTTGGATTGTACTGCGGTCAGATATGCGTTAGATATACAAACATTTTCTTCTAGCATTTTTTTCTTCGTTGGATATCGCTTGCACCTGCGATAATGAACTGTCGAACAGAACCCATTGAGGGTCCAGTGTGATCTTTGAAAGTGATAGTTTTCCAAGCTTTCGTTGAGCTTGTTGCTACTTGGGTTTCCAGAACCTATAGAGATTTATGATGGTTTCAGGAATTCCGCTGAGACACAGACACCTCTGATTATAAAATATGTTTTATTTTCACTAGATTATTTGACACTCTAATTGTGCTAATTATCCAGCTGTCCAGTGCACTCTCTACTGGGAGTTACAATAGTTCCTCGTTATAACGAAATCGCCTTTTTGGAATTGTCGATGTTCAACATGGTCCCGACCGAAATGCATAACGCATTTTGAACCGGATTATTTAAAGTCTATTGGCGGCCGACAACACTTATTACAAAAGGCAAGGGGCCGAAAGCATGCAAGCCTGCACACAGGGCCTCGGAGATCCTTCCTCTCCTCCACCGAGGCAAACTTCAAACCAGAGGGCAGAGCACCACTTCCGATGCCGATGCGTCGACGCATCCAGGGAGCAGCGTCCATATTCAAACGCTACACAAACTGGTCCCCTCCCTTCCCGCAGACTATGCGCCCCAGCTCTCGTTAAGGCCAGTTGAGACACTTGCGTTCGACTGCGGTGCGTTCGGTTACGGAAGCGCGACTGCAGAACGATGTGGAGTGCGCTTGCTGATGGCTTGTACACACAGTTGCGTCGAAGCGCCGTCCGCCGCAGTCAAGAACCAATAGGAGCTTGCTATCGGCTCTTGCGGCACACCAATCGAAACCACGACTTGCAGCGAATGAAGTCAAGCAACTATGATCACAACGAACATGGCGGCGTCCGACGGTTGCGTCGGTATGGCCGCGACTTCTCCGTGTTCGTCGGGGTTGTCGAGACTGGAAGAAACAGAAAACCTGAGGAATCTCTTCCTAGACTGCGCGTGGGGATACATTGCACAGGCGGGCAGTGACGTGAACTGGCCCCTGGTTGCGCGGGCTACCACCGCAATGATTTTGCTCCAGCGGCGACGCCACCCCGGCCGTGAGTGAGTGCGCTCACTCCTGCGCTCTCGCAAAAGTTTCGGGGAGTACCACCATCTGGTGCGCGACATGCGCCTGGACAACGGCCAGGACTTCTTTCAATACTTCTATAGGACGAGGCAGAGGTGAGTACGTAGAAGAAACATCAGAGGCAGACGAAGAAGCAGACGTCCCCGACCGGAAAAACGGGACGAACCGAATGTAGTTGCCAGCGCCGCGCATGCGCTTCGGCGTTCTTTTTTTCGCGAATTGCGATTGGTCCACCGCAACCGACTGCATGCCCCTCCGCACTGGAAAGTTGAGCCTGGCCCAACTCTGTTGCGGTGCGTTGTGGAACGCCAAGCGTCGTCGGTTGCTAGGCGACCAGCTTCTGCAGTTGACCGCAAGCATACCGTTCCGCACTGGAATGCAGTCAAACGCAAGTGTCTGAACCGGCCTTTAGAATCGGGTCGAGAGAGTGAAGGAGCCCGGAGGAGATCATCCCTTCTGGAGCCCACTACATGCATAAACGCGCATCGTATGGGAGTGTTAACTGAAAGTCGCTTTGACCCGGGAGGTTAAAAAAAGTGGCCGGCCCAAGTCCGAAATCTCAGAGAAATTTGACATTGCGGAATCTACTGCTCGACACTGTGGACCACCCTGCAAACAAGCGAGACATACTAGACGGGTTAGAGAAGAGTTTCTCATGCAAGAGGAAGTCACCCGTGGCTAGAAGACAAAAAAATTGCCAACGACTTGGCGAGCGCACGCACACATGCTTGCCGAGTTAGCGCACGATCCTCAGAGCTGCAACGATCTCTACAGGAGTGTGTGCTAACACGTTGGTCGAGCCATCGAGGGCAAGTTTGATTCGTTCGCGCTCGTCGATGCAGACATTGTTGTTTGCTGCAATCTTGGACCTCGTGTGCGGCGTGGTAAACGCAAAGCAACGTCAAAGGGGCACCTCGGGAAAGATCAAACTACGGCCGCTTCGGAACAAAGTGGAGTGCTGTGGCGGTGACTGCGCTCTTGCAATGCCTGAAGCACTCCCAGGAGAACTGATGCCGGATAAAATAATTGGCAAACTCCACTTAATTATTCTTTTACTCTTCAGTAAATCTGCCGCGAGTTGTTCATAACCGAGGTTTGTTCGATTAAATATACGGTCGGTGTGTTTCACAGTGTTCCCTCCCACCTTCAAGGCTGCCTAGCTGTTTTTTTGGCTCTCGCTTCTACCGAATTGTTGCTTATAAAATAAAATTTTTTCCCCATCCCGGTCACTTTGTTATAACGAGGGACTACTGTATTTGTGTTCGTTTGATGCGTATCGATGGCCATGTACCGAAAATCAGGAATAGGGTGTTGACACAGTTAGGCTCGTTTGTCGTCATATGTGCTCACTTTTGTTCTGCTCTGCTTTGGCACGTTTGTGCCAAAGCATTCTCTAATTTTGCGCCTATTGGTATAAAATACAATTGCAAAATATTTAATGTAACATTAAATATTTTGAGTGAATAAATTAACACAAATTTAGTTGTAGCCACTTTAGATTCTATGGTCTTTCCAAACCATAGTGGTTAGTTGCCGATGCTTTTCGCCATTCTTCCAATGCAAGAAGTTTTGGAACATAACCTTAACTCAGTAAAAAAAAAAAAAAATTTAAACGGTAAGTTTTTTGTGAGCCGAGAAATGATGTGGTTTGCATATATGTGGCATTTATTTCGGTGAGAAAACCATTTTAGCTTGAAAGGCAACATTGTTTCCTTTCTTTGTCGCAATTTGTGAGGCCACACATACCTTTTTATTTATGTCACACGATGTCCTCAAAACATTTGCATTTGATCACCATCGATAGCATCATATTTAGGCAGAGTTTCTGATTTCTGCGATGTACAGTGTATTTATGAGGGGCGACACAAAAGGAATTTACGTTTTTCTGATTAAATCCTGCCTACTGAAGCAGTGTGCAAACTCCCAGAGAGCAATATAAAAACAGCAGCGCAATCTTTGACAGCATACCATGAAGCCTATCGGCAGTTTACTGTCGATAGGCTTCTTGGTATGCTGTCAAAGATTTTTAATAGTATTGTGTCGCTAGCTTTTCGACTGTTCACTGTCATAACTTCTCAACGAGGTTTGTACCGTTTTTTATAGTTTTCAGATTGTCTCTCAATATTCGTGCAAAGCCGCTAATTGCGAGTGCCTTTTTAGTTTCACTAGACTTTTGGGGAACTCTTGATGTTCTTTGTCGCCTATCTAAAACTCTATTCATAGCTTTACGTGGTCGACAATCAATAGTACTATATCGATAGCTTTACAATAGTTTACTCTATAACTTTACGATAGTGGGCTGTCAATAGTTTTACTATAATCCACTATTCATAACCCCGGCTATTCATAGTCTTGCGATAATCTGCTATTGACAGTACTGACGGTAGTTTTACTCTAGTCGAGTACCGAAAGTTTTTTTTTACTATTGATAGTAAGGTTCGGCTTTCATTCTCGATAGTATTGATAGTACTATGTATAATTTTGCGCTCCTAGTAGGCACGCTAGAGTGCCTGAAGTGAGTGGTTCCATCTGCTGTTTATGGGCGCCATTAAGAGGTCAACTTTTGCCTTGGATTTACCAGGCCACGAGCGGTTTTCCAGCATAAGACGGGCTGAAGAAACCCTGGAGACACTGGAATATTTTATGCAGGGCATCAAGAAACAGCTTTTGTGCCATTTTTGTTCCAATGTCGGAAAAATTTTTTAGCGGGAAAAAGAATAAATTTTGCCGTCTTCAAGCCCAACAGGTTTTTTCAGTTTGCTTCATAGAATAGGAGGAGGTGGCAAGAAGGGCTGGACCAAGAGAGTTCTATCCTCTGAGCACCTTCTCGTTTACTGCAAAGAGAAGGCTACTAGAAGTTTATCACCACAGTCTTGCGCCGCTTCAACTCGGACGAGAGGTTACGCGGAAAAAGAGTGACACGAAGGGACGTGGTTATGTCATGTCAAATGGTTACGTGACTCGACCACTTCACATGATATGGCATGTTGTATTGCGTGACTAGATAGCGTGATATGATGCATCATGAGCCTACAAGTTTCAGCATAAACACGATTGCACCAGCGTTAATGATCCTATAACATATTTTACGTACGAGAATTTTGTCGGGGATAACCAAAAGAACCTGCAAGATTTTCTTTTTTATTTGATATTTTCTTTTGAATGTTGCCTGCTTGTGCATTTTGTGGCAGGCGCTCTTCTGGCTCGAGTTCGAACCACTACTACATAAAGCGTGCGAGGCATACTCCCATCGCTAGATGTGTTGATTGGAGCTGTATTCCTTTTTGGGGCCCTCACAAATAGCAGCTTTTGTGTTTGTAGTTAATGGAATTTCTGAACGTATATGGCATTGTTGCTTGGGCCACGAAACATGTAGGGAAAAAGACGCTCGACCGATTCGCCCATTTTGCTTTTTTCTTTCTCTAAACTCGATTTACTGACTTGATCTGCCGTTCACAACTTGAGGGAAGCTGGCCTAAAATACCGGGCAAGCGCCCACTCAGAATTGAAAGATAATCGCGAAAAAATGGGGGATGGGTGTTGTCCGGTCATTAGTTTTACATATCAATGTACTGTGCATATTTTCTCAGCTCTTACAATTTTGGGTATGGGCACTTAGGGTGGTATGGGCGGATGTGCGGTATTCTACGGTAGGTCGTCGTCCTCTTTGCTTTGTAGTATTCCAGGCATTCCTCAACAATGTGCTGACAACCAAATTCTCTGAGCAGGCATTTGCTCAAAAGGCAGCCAATCAAGAAACTGTCAAACAAGAGTCCGCCGATCGGGAAGCTGCCAATCAAGAAGCCAGAGGCCACGAAACGGCGGACGAAGCCACGTACCAAGAAGCCGTGGATCGAGAGGCTGCATACCACGAAGCTGCGTTCCGAGAAGCCGTCGATCGAGAGGCCACAGACCGAGAAGCTGCGGACCGAGAAGCTGCGGACCGAGAGGCCGGGGACCGAGAGGCCGCGGAGGAAGAAGCTGCGGACCAAGAAGCTACGGAAGAGGTGGACGAAGTTGCGGAGCAGGGGGAAGGGGAAACTTTCGAGGAAGCGAATGCCGACGAGGGAGACGACATGGAGCTCGAAGAAGAGGAGGCCGCCGGTCGGGAGGAAGAGGGTGTGGCAGGGAGCGCCGAATGCCGGGAGTCGGGACAGGGTGACGTCCCGCAGCAGGACGGCGGCAAGAAGGGGAGTGCCGAGGACGGGGTCACGCGCTGGGACCCGTCGAGGCAGAGCGAGGAAGAGAAGCGGAGGAGCGGGCAGGGGAAGGAGGCCGGCAGAGACAGGAGGGAGGACAAGAGGGAAGGCGACAAGACTCCTTCGGACAGAAAACACACCGCCAGGAGCGACCGGTCCCACGAGCGGAGTTCGGGCTCCAGGAAGGCGGTCCCACGGAGCGAGCCCAGGAAATCGGAGTCGTCCCGCAGGACGGAGTCCAGGAGGTCCGAACCCCGGAAGCCAGAGCCCAGGAGGCTCGAACCAAAGAGGGACGTGGACTCCTGGAGGGAACCCAGGCTCCCCAGGGCTGATCCCCCCAGGGCCGATCCCCCCAGGGACTTGAAGCGGAGAGGTGAGACGTCTCGCTTCTCCGTGACCCGAGACTGCTCGCCCGCGTTTGTCTGGCAGTGTCTCATTGGCGTATCGCGGCTCTGTCAATTCTTGCAGCTGCAACGCGAGTGTTCTTGGAGCTAAGAGATTAACCACCGGGGCTATGGGGAGGCCATCTTTACTTTCCTACCCTTTCTAAATGATCTTTTTGCCTCAGTAATTTGTGAGAGGCAAAGGTGAGGAGTTGAAAGAAATTTGCGGCAATACTTGGGTCACACCGTACTCGCACATAGACTGTTTTTGGGTCGGAAAATCTGGGTGGAATGGGTTGTCTGAATATGTCTATTTCAACTTCCGATGGGAACGTCATTGGTTCTCACTACAATTGGATGATGGCTTCCGCCAGCCAGTGGCCTGAGGGGCCCGTCTAGAGCAGCGGCGCAATATGTTGCTCCCCCAGTCTTTCCGTTTTGTGTCTTGCATTTCCATCCAGTTACCCTCGTCAGAAACATGTTCTGCAACAGAACGGGCTGTTCGATAAGAGTGCTTGCTTTCGGTAGACAGTTGTTTCGATGCAAGATAAATACGGGTATGTAATATTGTGGATTATTGATTTCACTCGGTAATGCTCAACTTCCCTGATTTGGCACATTTGCAAAGTGAACGGGTTTGTTCAGCACCAGTTTAGTAATAATGCTGCGGATAACAAATTTTTGCCCTGGCTTAAATTGCACAAATTTGCAAAAAACATTGGGAAACAATAAACCTCTCCTTAAATGATTAAAACACATAAGAGTGGTTCGTAGGTGTCTTAACAGGGGACCCTGGTCTTCAAATTTTTTGTCATTTCTGACCTAATTTATATTAAATTTTTACATCTACTGTAAGTTACTGTTTAGCACAAACACAAGCTCAATTTTTCCCGTTTATTATAGCTTCGATTAAAATTTCAACTATGTCACAAATGTTTCCGCCCATCAAAAGATCTGGCACATAGTACGTCAGCATGTTCTACAAACAGTTGAGAGTGCAAAAAAGCCATTGTTGTAATTTTAGCATCATTGTAGAAAAAGTTATCACTAATTGAAATTTTTTTACTCATAATTTGAGGTGAGTTACTAAAATTATTTCCAATTAGATAACGTTGTAGTTAACATTTTCCAGGCGTAGTAGTCTCGTTGCACTCTGATTTTTAAAATATTAAACACTGAAAGAAAAAAAAAATTCAGATTCAACTTTTAGATTTAAAGATACCGGGGCAAAACTTTGTTGTGAGGAAAAAATTAATTCTGAAAAAAATAGGAAAGGCTTTTCAATCCTTGCTTACTAACAGCCTGGATATGAAACTTTGAATCAATGTAACTATATAAATATCCATTTCCTGAGTGTAGTTTTTACAATAAATGTTGTTTGTGACAGATCAAGAAAAAAAATGTTTTAAGAAATGTTTTCTCTTTCTGTTTCAAGACTAGGATCTCCCCTTAAGGGGCGAAGTGGGGCTTTTGAGTAATTTTCTTATTTATAAATGAATACTTCTCATATTATACAGTGAATAGCAGATCTCGCATCTCTTCCCATTATCCAATCAGATATTGAATATCTTTACTAGAACCCGAGTTATGGGAGATCAGTCTAATTTGATGAGGTCATTTGTCACGAGTTGCCAGAGAAAAATTATTCGTAACATATCAAAATGTTCAATGCAACTGCATTCACAAAGGTGTAATTTGTGCGGTGATGCTATTTTAGATCTCACCTGAGAGGGTTATGTTACAAAAAAAATGATTGTAAAAGACATGCTTGCTCGTTATTTAAGAAAGTAATTAATTGGATAGAACTCTTTAAGTTGGAAGACTATGAAAATAGAATCGCTGCACATCTCCATTCTTCCTGATTAAAATGGCACCATACATGTTAATATTGTCCGAGACAAACTTCAGAAAATGCCTGTAAGGCATTGGTACTTGTGAAAAAAGTGTAAAGAGAGAAAAAAAGCCCTTGAATTTATGTGTATTTTTACTGAATGTTCATAGAAAAGACTTCAAATGTTCTTTCATATATGAAAATTAGATAGAGCAATGATATTTTGCTCAGAGCTGGGTGGGTATGTCTAAACATCAGAAAAGCCATTTTCTCAGAAATAACTTTTCCCCAACTTTTTACCTTTTAAAGACCAGTGTCTCCCCTTAAATGTCCTAAATAAAGCAATGACAAATGCACATGGGAAGGCCCATTTGTTTTAGATTTTTGCTTGAAACAAATACCTCCTGCAGATGGGTGCAGGTTGAGTGTGTGTGCACCGCACAGCCAGCATGCTCTCTGTCTGGTCATGTAGTCAAAGCTCTCTGCTGCCTGTTCATAAACAGGAGCCTTAGGGTACGAGGCTGTCGCACCAAGTCCCACGTTGAATCTGCATCTCTCCCCTAGGGAATATGCGGCAGAGCTGTAAAAGAAACTTGGTGCAATTACTAAGTTGTTACAATTTCGCTAGTTAATACTAACTTGGAAGGAATTTCCAGTAATTGTAACCTACTAGATATATTTTTGGAGTAACTTGTGGTTATAGTTACTTTTTACCTCGACATATGTAGGGTGTTCTTTATAAGCTTAACTGATTCGTTTGAAGAACACCGTGAAAGCAACACTAATGCGATTAGTGCAGGCGAGTTACACGACCAGTGGGGACATAGTATGGGGGCCAATTGTAATGATCAGATGCCTAATTAACTAAAGTGTGTTAATTTGTGTTTGAACTATATAAAATAAATGTACAATTCTAATTGAAAATTTGCCTAGCGTCATCTAAAGCCGCTAAATCGGTCAATGTTAGAAAGTCTCGAAGCACGTGGAAAGTGCGGGGGTGCACCGAAGTTACCACATGTGCAGCAGGAGCGAAACTGCCGGTGCAATGACGCACCCACGCAGTTTTTCTATCTTGTATCATCCACATTGTGCCTGCTGCATGAATGGTAACTTACGGGCCCTTTTGTGTGCCCAGTCTTTCTAAAGATTACTGATTTAGTGCTTTTTCTTATGAAGCCCAGCAAGTTTCTAATTAAAAAGTTAACAGATCTTACCCACTTATTTGACTTAGCACGACTATGTATATGTCCCCCTGGCCGTATAGCTCAGCTGCACAAGGCTGATTTCAGATAAGATCGACCAAAGGGTGGCTGGTCGACATTTTTAAATCAACTGATGTTTTTATATGTCATTGTCTAGTGTCTAGTATAAACGAATCCACACTTAGTTTTGACCAGAAAAAATATTTGGGGACAGGAAAAATCATAAGGCACGAAGAGGTGGAGAGTTGCATTGACGCGCACTGATGGAGGGGGGCATGCTTGAAAGTGAATAACTAAAATGATAAAATTAGGAGAAGTCTAATAATTTTCAGAACAAAACTATGGGTACATCTTGCTTGTAATATATAGTGATGATATTTATTTAAATTGTATTTCTTTTTTGTAAAAACTGCCAAACATGCCTGCTCGAACAACAAATGGCAAAATTTATTGGCCTGCATCTCATGAAATAATTTAATCATTATTATATACTTTTCAGATGGTATTCTTCAGGGTGATTCAAGGAGAGGCCAGGCTCTTTAAATCGGCCACGAAATTCGGTTTCTTAACCTATCGCGCTACGACTTTGTGCAGCGTTGCCCACAAATGGTGCTTTTTTTTTTTTTTTGTAAAATTTGCAAAGAGCGAACTTACCTGAGGAAAAAGTAAAGAAAGAATAAGGCTTAGCTCCTATGGAAATGCAGCGAAGCCACCGGTCTTTAAACAACACGGCGCCGTTTCGCACGGGAAACAAGAGATGGCGCAAGCAGTCGCGACGCCAACTGCCGCCAGCAAACGAGCATACGACGCCAAGAGCCGACGTGTTTAGCAGACGGGGAACTGCAGTTCCTTGTTGTTACCGCACCTGTTTTGGTTTCTGTAACTGTCACCGCCTGCGGAACGCGCACCGCGTTTGAGTTGAAGAGATCGTCTGCTAAAGACGCCGGCTCTCGGCGCCGTATGCTCGTTCGTTGGTGAAAATTTATCCAGTGCTTTACGTTGGCATTACGTTGGCGGCGTTTGTTGCGCCATCTCTTGTTTCCCGTGCGAAACGGCGCCGTGTTGTTTGAAGACCGGTGGCTTCGCTGCGTTTCCATAGGAGCTGAGCCTTTTTCTTTCTTTACTTTTTCCTCAGGTAAGTTTGCTCTTTGCAAATTTTACAAAAAAAAATGAAAGCCGCTTACAACTCCCTGTAACGCCGAATTAGAGCGCAGCTCTTGAGGAGGAGGAGGGAAGGGCACGGGGGGGGGGGTAAACTAACCAGGGGGGGGGGGTCACGTGACCTTGGGGGTCACGTGACCCCCAATGCCGATGATGTCATCACTGACGTCACTGATGATGTCATCCGTGACGATGACGATGCGGGTACCGATGACGTCATTAGTGACGTCACTGATGGCTTCACCAGTGATGATGACGATGCGAATGTAGGTGACGTCATCAGTGACGTCGCTGATGACGTCATCAGTGATGATGACGATGACGATGCGGATGCCGGTGACGACATCAGTGACATCACTGATGACGTCATCAGTGATGATGACGATGCGGATGCCGGTGACGTCGTCAGTGATGATGACGATGTGGATGCTGGTGACGTCATCAGTGATGATGACGATGACAATGTGGATGCCGGTGACGTCATCAGTGATGATGACGATGACGATGTGGATGCCGGTGACATCAGTGATGATGACGATGACGATGGGGATGCCGGTGACGTCATCAGTGATGATGACGATGTGGATGCCGGTGACGTCATCAGTAATGATGACGATGCGGATGCCGGTGACGTCATCAGTGATGATGACGATGTGGATGCCGGTGACGTCATCAGTGATGATGACGATGACGATGTGGATGCTGGTGACGTCATCAGTGATGATGACGATGACGATGTGGATGCCGGTGACGTCATCAGTGACGATGACGTCATCGGGGGGTCACGCGACATCGGCGGGGGTCACGTGACCTCGGGGGTCACGTGACCTCGAGGAGGGGGTCACGTGACCTTGAGGAGGGGGTCACGTGACCTCAGGGGAGTCACGTGACCTCGGGGGGGTCACGTGACCCCCCACGAGGTCACGTGACCTTGGTGGGGGGGCTCGCGCGGTGCATTATGGGACATTTCCCATGATGCACCGCGCGGTTACGCCGACGGCGACGGCGACGCCGCTCAAGCCGGAAACGGGCCCCTAAGAGCTGCGCTCTAAAAAATGCACCATTTGTGGGCAATGCTGCGCAAAGTCGTAGCACGATAGGTTAAGAAACCGAATTTTGCAGTCGATTTAAAGAGCCTGGCGTCTCCTTGGCCTCTCCAACTGCATGGTGCACCCTGTATTTATATATGGTATTATTAAAAGATATGTAAGGTATCTGAGTGATATGATAGTCGGGATATATTTAGGAAAACATGGGTAAAAAATCGAACAACGAAAACTTCCGATGTGAATAAAAAAAAAACACCACCTTCGATTTTTTTTTTAATTTGGATACCCTGTCATGCTCTATTTCGGCATTCATTTCTATTAAAATAATGTTGCATTATTTGATTGAGAAATAAGACACAACTCCCCTAAGGAGGGTCCATTCAAAGCCTACACTTGCATTATGCGAGTAAATCTGGTATAGCTACAGTGGCTAGAATGCACGTTTGACTGCTACGTTTACCGCATCCCAGAAAGTGGTCCCTCGATTTACACCCGACAACACGGTGCGAGTGTCGCGTCGTCGCTGTCCGCAATCTTGCCAGTGTCGCGGTTGTGGGCGTGGCAGGCGCCCGTTTCACTGTGGATCGCTCTTGAGCTCGACGATCTACAGAAGCGTCGGCGGCCCGGAGTAGGGACGCCAGGACAACAACGACGCTCGGACTTTTGCGAAGTCGTTCGTTGCCACTTTGGGACCACTTTGAATGCACTGACGGAGCAGGATGCCAAACGCGAGAGTCGGAGATGCATTCCGGGCAGTGCAGCGTGGCCGCATCTTGCGAAGAGTGCTTTACATGACCGGTGCATCCTCTCGTCGCCCATACCCAGCCCCCGAGTCGGACACGAGGAGTCCCGCGGCCAAGAGGAGCAAGTTCAACTGCTTCGTCTGCAAGCTGGTGCTCTACTCGGAAAAGGAGTACCGCGAGGTGGGTGTCCTCCGGCGAAACCAGGGCGAGACGCCACTTCCGGGGAAATTCACAGAAAAAAAAGATTGGGTTGTGTGTATGTTCATACAGTCTAGAACTTGGTCTGCCTCAATGGGCGGCTTGTCTCGCAGCTGTAGATGAGCAATTTACCCAGTGCGGTACAGCCTCTAGCCTCAAGTCTTCAACGTGCACCATGGAGTAGTGATGCACGCCAGTACGACGCTCATCCAGATCGAAACGGGCAGGGGTGGGGCTCAAACCCATGATCCGTGGGTTCTGCAGTGCGAGCTTTCGCTCAACGTGCTCCAAGCTGGTGTGCGCTAGCCCCCTCAGCCACCGATCCCCCTAAGGGAGATTCGAGGAACAGTCCTTCGGTGCGTGCCGTCGACGTGTGCACTCAGAAGAGCGACGCCAAACTTCTCGAAGCGTGAAATGCTTTCCTACTGCGGTCGCCTCTGCCTTCAGCGTCGTAAAAAGTAATAAAGGAAGAGCATTCGTGACGTGTTAAAAAAAATTGTTTCGAAAGCGGTAGTTGCCACAGTGGTCGCCATCCGTCTAGTCGATTTTGTCCCTTGATCCGGGTGCCTTGCGGCACGTCGCTGAAGCACAAGGCACATGGACGGTAGAATAGACTTCTTCCAAAACCGACGCGCCCCATCGCGGCAAAATTCCACGCAGTGCACTCTGGGAACTAGTTGGCCACCCAGTTTCAATTTCGACTGAGCAGCTTCATCTAATGTTATCGCGCCGTGACCGAACCCGCTGCTTGCGTTTTTTATTATCTGACTTTTTATGAATGTAGAATACACTCATTCTCGAGCGATAAAAAACGAAGACCGGGGTACTTTCCTTGGTTCCCGAAACACCGGATATTGTGCGTGCGTATGCAAACGTAGTAAGACGTGGCTTTATCACCTCACCCCATGAATGCATCTTAGAGCTCAATGTCAGTATTTCCCGTCTAATACCAGTGAACTACAACTGAAATTTGGTCACCTTGAGCCCTACGCGTATTTTGTTTGCCAAACGTCGGCTTCTTGTTACCTCATTGGGCGAAAAGCAAGCCACATCCTCACAGGAGTATCAAAGTTGAACCCAGCATTGGTGCATGAACTTTTAAGAAAACACAATAAATTTGACCTCACTACTGCACAAAAGTTGCTATGATGTCTTCCTCGTGTCATCACATATCTCACACTCAAATTTTATGCTGATAGAAGATTAAGTTTTCGCAAACGCCGAGATCGGCTAGCTACAACGGAGGCCCTAACAAGCGTCCCCTACTCCTCGCTAAGCCTTTTTGGGCGAGCTTTTACTGACGCCCAAGATCTGTGCCTGAACAGTGTGTCTGAAATTATCTCGGCATACTCAGTCAGGAAGAAAGCAAACACATAACAAATATTATGGCCATTAGCAACCGCCAAATGCGCTTTGAATAATTTCGTTCGTTTGGCGCACCGCATAGGGGTTCATGCCCGTCCGGCGCACTTCCTGTGAAAGGTGCAACATTCTTCAAACAGGTGCTCGACTTTTGCTTTCTTAAAACGGTTTGTATGTGTGAATGGTGCCTATATGATTGCAGGATAACTATGCGCATACGCGATGTTGAATATTACTGGAATGCAAGCGGGTGGGGTATTCACTTCGTGCAGTGCTGCGGGGCAGTAGATAAGAGATGAGAAGTGTGTTCAAATGGAGCTTTTCAATGGCGCCTCCGAGTTTTGCCTCGCGTACTCAGGCGTATTAAGAAAAACAGTAATTGCAAAAAGTTATACTTCGTCTATGGACGCACGAAACAAACAAACTTCCTGGTCAGCAACACTAATGTAAAGACGCGAGCTCGATGTATGCATACTTATTGGCTGCTACAGCTTGTTGATTCGTACACAAATAAGATTCCCGAGCTTCGCAGCGTCGAGATTCCCCAGCACTGGCTCGTCAACATACCTCGAAACGCTAACAGAAAGGCTGAGGTACAGAAATAGAACAAGCGTGCGTTAAGACAAGCTATACGTCTCGGGCTTGTGCTAAAGCTTTGAGGTCTGACCATTTAGGTTAGTTTAGAGACCACAAATGACGCTGTCGGGAGCAAAAAACATAAGAAAACGGCCGTTTATAGTCCACGCTCTGTGTATAATCTCTTGTCGGCGTGTCGACTGAAACCATTCCACTCTCCTCCCTGGCCAACTTGTTCCCAGAATGCAACACGTGCCTTGTTGCATGCAGGGATTTATGGAAGTAGTCTACTGTCTGATCCAACAGCCCGAACGCCGCTCCGAATCGCCGCACCCGACAGTTTGAGACACACGCTTCCGACCTTGCATGCGACACAACAATTTGCTCGGCTCCGCCCAGGAGATCCAAGCGCTCCAGCGGAGGTCCGCGTTCCTATACAGATCTCTGGTCCCAGATTGACGGTTTAGCTTGCACGAGCGAAATGACGAACTTGTTCTCAATATCACGTGCATTCTTTGCTGGGGCCATCCTTCTCGAATGAGTCAGCGGGATTCACGCGTCCAACTTCCCCTCGCCCGTCCCGTTATCGTGTTCGTCCCGCCAGACCCAGTATGTCATCATGACGTTCGCGCTAGCTGTGCTCTCATTGGCTGGACGCTTCCGACAGTCCGTCCGTCGTGCGAAACTATCTGGCACGTTGGACGCACGCAGGGATCGCCAATCCGACGTCTGAAGCGACCAAATTTTTCGGATCAGGCAGTCGTACTGCCGGATCGGACGTCGGATCGGATGGATTTTTCGCGCATGTGTCTCGCGCTTCAGGCCGCGCTTCCGCGTCCAGTGCTGACGCTCTTCTCGCTCTGGCTGTGTCACCCGCAGTGCCGGGGATGCTCGCGTTCTAGCTCAGTGCACCGCTGTGGCGTTGAGCACATGGGTATGCCCACAAAGTGGTACGAGAAAGCCAGCGATGAACCAACAGTGTGGATGCCTGCAAGCGTAAACGTGCGCAAGATTGCACCCGTGCCGATACGTGGTCCTGTCTTCTTTAATGGAAGCATTTTGCTCTTTTGGGCTAACTTGATGCCTGAAGAAGGGATATTACTTTCTCGTATCGTGAAGGGCTAAGTTGCAGAGTCCGCAAGTTACCTAGTCCTTCGTGTTTTTCTACGCATTAAGAAAATGAGCCCTAAACGAGTGAAGATACTAATAGAATCTGCATTTAAGTTGCCTTATTTTTAAGCTCGCAGAAAGACAGCTTTTACAGTAATACATCATTGTTAAAGTTAGCTATAGGTGTAGATGTAACTCTGGAAATGATGAGACCTTGCGAACTGACAGAGATTTACCATTTTGAGCTCGAGACTGTCACAGTCTTGTCTCCAGGGCTCTAGGCTTGCCTTTCTTTGTACTTGAATACTGAAGTTCATTAAGAATCCTTTGAACAGCTAAAAAGATTAAGGAACTAAAACTACAATCACTTATCTTTGTTTGCTCTGTTTCGAGACAGCTGGTCGCTGAACCAGTTGTGTGTCGTTTGCAGCACTTCAACAGCCGTGGCCACCTCTACGAAGTCAGCCGCAAGGAGCAGAAGGTGAGAGGCTTTTGGGGTTGTATCGTGCTGGAAGGCTGGAAGAAACCACGACGAGTGCAAGTGATTTGCAGTCTTAGTTCCAGTTATTGACAGTTTACGACCGCAACATGTTTTTTTCACGAGGTACTAGGACAGGTGGCAAAGCAAGTCGGTAGAACCACCTTGTTTCTTTTTATTAAAGTCGGATTCTGTGCCTTAAACTTTTCAGCAGAAGAAAAATTTTTTTGTTTGTTTTAGTGTAGCATCGTTTCTTAGACTATGTAGGTAGGCGTAAAATGAACATAAGGCATTTTCACTTCTACTCAATTTGATATATTTCAGATGTAAACCTTTTTATGAATGGCGTTGACAGAAAGCCTGTCGTTTCGATTTATGGGAGGTGCCTAGGCACTGGGGACATTTTGGGATCGAGAGCAGTCTTTTCTCGCAAGTCCCGACGATCGAGCATATCCTTACTAAACATGAATGCTCGATTCAGTCCTCTCAATAATAAAAAAACAAAAATATGACTGTCAAAGGGTCCAATTTAAAATAAAGAAAAAGCAGCAATAAATGTCCAACTTCCTTTCTTTACAAAGCGGTATTGCCTCACGGGCCCAGTCTAAACCGTTAAGAAATCTCCCAGTCTTGCGCAACAGCGAGGAATAAAATGCCTTCTGCTGCAGAGGAGGCTACCAGGAAAGCTTGGGTTCCAAGTTACAAGAGCTTGCGTGCATGTCTAATTTCTCTTCGTGGCCACCAGTACGTCGTCCCGTGTCGGGAGACCGTGAGAAGCAAGCCAGTCAGTTCAGGGCAGCCCACTTCTCATGTGCAGGAGACCCGGCCGGCGCCGAAGCGCGGCCGCTCTCCGCCGCCGTTCGCGTGCCAGACGCACCAGCGGTCCCGGTCTCCCCCCGCGGCCAGCTCGGCGGGTCGCTGGCGTCGCGAGCGCGACCCCTCACCGCGCCCTTTTGCCGAGTCCTCGAACAGCCGCTCCACCCCCCGCCAGCCGCCCCGCACCGACTTGTTCAGCACGCCACAGCAGCCGATGCGCGACGCGTTTGGCGCCACCCAGCAGCCGGTGCACGACGTCTTTGGCACCCCGGTTCCGCAAGCCGGTGCCGTGCTGGAGAACTACACGGAGCGCCGCGACGCCCCCGACCCTGCGGTGGCGGCGACGCTCGAGAGCATGATCCTGCTCCAGCAGCAGCTGCTGGCGATGACGGCCAATGCCCCTCCGGCGCTTCAACGCACCATCAGCCAGGGGCTCCAGCAGGGTCTCCAGCAGGTGGTTCAGCCGGCGCTCCAGCAGAGCTACCAACAGCAGACCGGCCAGCAGACGAGCTACGGGTCCGTGGACTACTCGCAGCAGCGGAGCGCGGCGCTGCCCACTCAGGTGCCGGACCTGCAGCAGAGCCTGATGCAGCTCCGGCAGAGTCAGCAGTACAGCGTGAGTGGCGTCGCTTCCGGGCCCGTAGTGCAAGGAGGCTAGAAGCTGCCTCCAAGCTGTGGGTGGTATCTCGAGGCCGATTGTTGGAGCGAGGGATTGCCAGGCTGATTGGTTCCTCCGTGCTTGGAACCAGGGTTTGAGATTGTCCCACGTCTTACATCCATCTGGGCACTCTTGAAAGGGCCCCTGGAGCATGTCTTTGGTTTCTGCAGCAAAAGTCCACATGCCTCCCTTAAGCGTCAAAGTGCCCAGTGTCGTTGCAAGGTCACAATGGCCTGTCCGCCCTTGCCATCATTCTTCTCACTAGCTGCCCTAGACAGTCTAACCGTAGGATTGGTCTTGGGATCAAATACTGCACTGTTGTCCCTATGCTTAGTTTCACTTTAAAGGGGCCATGCAACGATCTTCACTGGGAATGTATTTCACTTTACACGAGCTTACTGGCACTAGTGGGACTAAAGTACAGTAATCCCTTGTTATAACGAAATCACCTTTTTCGAATTATCGCTTTTATAGATGTTCAACTTGGTCCCGAACGAAATGCACACATTTTTAACCGGATTATACGAAGTGTATAGACTGCCAAACACGCTTATTACGAAGGCCGCGGTGCAGAAACCATGCGAGCCGACACGGGGGCGCACGGAGACCCCCGCATTCCCTTTCCCTTCTCCACCGAGGCAGACGGCAAACTGGAAAACGGCAAACAAGAAAACGGAGTAAACGGGTGACGGAGGGCAGAGCACCGCTTCCGATGCTGATGCGCCGATGCGGGAGCGCATGCAGGGAGCAGCGGTGCAGTGGAAGCAGCGTCAACAGCGTTCACGTTCCGACGCTACCCACGGCACCTGCGGCCGACGCTGCCTCATTCCTGTCGGAATCGGGCCAGGGGAGCGATGAGCCCAGAGATCATCCCTTCAGGAGCCCCCGACGCGCACACCTGCGGCGCACAGTCGAATCTTGTTAATTCAAACCGTCTTAATTCAAACTTGCGGATAATTTTAACTAATATGCAGGTCCCATCCTATGTGTCTCTGTTTGAGGAAACTCTCAATAATTCAAAATTTGCTTTATTCAAAAAAATATTCGATCCCCCTCGAGTATGAATTAACAAGATTCGACTGTATGGAAGACTGGGAGTATTTACCGAAAGCCACTTAAGTCTCCGAGGTGGAGAAAAGTGGTCGAACCAAGTCCTAAATCACCAAACGATTCGACATTCTGGTACTGGCTGTTCAGCGCTGTCCACCATTTTGCAGAACAAGCGAGGTATTGGACTCATGCAAGAGAAAGCCCATTTGCGACCCGAAGGTGATAGATTGCCAACTGCTTTGCGACCATCGGATGTTGTCTCGCTTGCTTGCCAATTTGGCGCACGATTCCCAGAGCTACAGGAGTGTGTAAAAACATGTTGGCAAAGCCGTTGAGGATAGCTTTGATTTGTTTGCGCTTGTCCATGCAATTGTTCCCATTGTTGCTCCTGGCACGGACGCTGCGATCGTAGACCTTGAGTGTGGCCGGGGTAAACGCGAAGCGACGTCGGAGAGAAACCTCGGGAAACGTCGACGATTGCATTGACGCAAAACATCCTACAGTTGCTTCGAAACAAAGTGGATTGCAGCGGCGGTGTCTGTGTTCTTGCAATGGCTGGTGCAGTTCGAGAAGAACTGATGCCCGCATTAAATTATTGGCAAACTCCACTTAAATTATTTTTTTACTCGTAAAGCTACCGCGAGATGTTCATAACCAAGGTTTGTTTGATTAAATATACGGTCAGAGTGTACCATAGTGTTGCCGTCCACCTTCAAGGCTGCTGGCACTGTTTTTTTTGCTCTATCGCTTTTATCAAATTACCGCCTATACCAAATCATTTTGCTGTCCCGTTGACTTCGTTATAACGAGGGATTACTGCATAGTGTAAAGTCTGGTAGGCTGGGCGAGTTGGCTTGATGGCATTGTGAACGGTATAGTGCACAAAAAGACAAGGACAGAAAAAGAACTGCACAACACGCAAGCGCTGACTCGTAACTGAATCTATACACAGAAAAAAGAAGAGAATGTGCTGAAAGTCACTCAGTACCAGAGCGCGTCACACACGACAGAACACCATCTAACTAACGAGTCTTTGCCCCATAGTCCTATCTAAAAACAAGGTTTCTGTTTGAAGCAGCGTCACTGATAGGTGGCTGATGCAGCGCCCCCCAAGCTATTAATGCGATGCACTTCTGAAATTTCGCATTGCAAGAGCACTCGACTTGTACTCGTGTTAGTCAATAGCTTTAGAAGCATACGGGTAGTGGCCCGTGTCCAATTGCTGGAATGACGACAATAGCCAAGCCATAACAATGTCTGGAACTCGGTGCGTGTCCTGTGCTTCGCCAACCCCAGTGCGTGGCTATGATCAACATTGGCGGCATATAACCGGCTCCAGATCACATGGCCGCCTGTTCTGGCTGCAAATTGAGAAAAAAAACGCTGCTCGTTTTTCTTAAATTTTTTTTTTTTGCAACTTTTATTGCGTGTGGTGAAAAACGGAATGCGTGTTTTGTAGGTCATTACCATCAGGGATTCGTTCTATGCGGTATTTGTGCAAAGCACAAAAATAGTTGCATTGCCCCTTTAAATGCAAGCGTAGCAGAAACTAGAAGAGCGAGCTTTGTGCTTTTGGCATCCCTGCCAAGCATGGATGCTTGTGCAGTGCAAGTACCGTTCAGGGCATGCCCATGCTTGTAACTTTGGCTTTGCACTCGCATGAAGTGAAACTATGGTTTCGACACTTTAAAGATAGCTGCTCTATTGTCCATCTAACGGCAATGTTTGAATGGTAAACCAGAAACGACGCATAATACCGTTGTCCAAGAAGTGTGCAAGGTTGAAGGAATTTAAAGAAGAAAAAATTGTGGAGCCGATTCACTTCACGTGAAGATGGAGGATTAGCGAAGCTGTTATCTTTATGACAAATTGAGGACAACAATATGATTTACGTATGATTGCAATGAAGACACATACACGACTTTGTTGTTTAATTGCCTTTATTTAATTCCTAGTGACTAACGTGATCATTGCCTTATGGTCACTATGGTAAACCGCCATTGGTTGTATTTAGACATTGAATACGTTCTTGCTAAACGTGAGGTCGATGCACATTCTATTGTTGGTCTTTGGTATACGTGTTGGTATAAGACTATTGTAGGTTTTACAGCAACTTGGGCTCTTTATTAGCGATGCTGGTGAAGAGCTCGAGTCTTTTTATCAGCATCGCAGAAGTGAAAGAAGGTTAGAACGGTGCATTCTGCCCTCAGCCTTGCCACAGCGCACTCTTAGCTGGGATAAGTCCTGGGCCGTAGATGATAACAGGGGATCAGGTCTTTTTCTAGGCATTGCCCTTGAGGTCGTCCTACACGTCGTCCTCTAGACATTCTCCTAGACGTCGTAAAAGCAACGGCTTCGCTGATCCTCCATCTTCACGTGAAGTGGAAGGGCTCTACAATTTTTTGTTTTGCTTTTTCTTTCTCTCTCCCGCTCTTTAAAACGAGGTCAGACCTACAATCAAGACTAAAACAGGTTGACCTGTAATAGTACTAAGCATATTTTCTAAGGCCATCGCGCTAAACATGAATAAGTCACTTCTCTTAACGCACCTATGCGACGTACTGAAGCTCGATGCACACGCGCCTGTGCGAGGATCGAAGGTTGACACAAGCGGCGATAGTGCAACAGCATGATCGAGGTGAAAATCAAGTGATCTCATCAGGAGTATGAGACTCTGGTTCTGTCTTATCGCAGCAGCTGCCGTACCACCATTTTATTACTTTTTCCCTCGGTTTCTAGCTCCGTGTCATGGCTGACATCCTTGTTTGGAATTTTAAACAGTGACGTGACCAGCACACTAGACTAGCAAAGTTTAGCTACAATGAGTAGAGACACCGTGAAATGCATGTTTGCACCATTTTCCTTGTCTTCTGCTTCTTTTCATATTAATGTCAACCATTATTAATTTTTTTTTTTTTTATCTAAACTCGTTTTGGTGCAGTTATGGTGCTATTTTTGTTAAATTGGCATTTTGGCGCGACATGTAGTAGACTTGCGTTCATGGCGCAAATCGCGCAGCACTTCCATCACTGCAGGCTAAACACGAGAATGAAAGTTCATTTTCCAATTAGCCTCGCATACATAATAAGGCACATTTAAATGCAACCAGCGTCCGACCATGCAACAGCCAGGAAAATGTTGTCCATGAACATGACAATGAGATGTTCTGCAAAGATGTGCTTTCCATAGGAAAGCAATAGCTCTAGGCATCTACCGCATAATGTGCAGACTACCAAAGCCAAGAGCTGTTTATGGGCACGGTAAACGGAGGTCAGCATTGATATGGCAACGCTAGAAGCTCATTAAAACACAGCGGGTTGCAAAACATGTCTGCTCTAGTAAACTGTAGACATGTCTCCAGTGGCGGATTCTGAGGGGGGTCCAGATGTCCTGATCTGCCCTCTTGAATTATGCATGAGGGGGAGGGGGAGGAAGGGGGGAAGGGGAGACTTAAACATACGTTACGCTAACCAGCACCTGACCCCCCCTCTGGAAATACCTGCGTCCACCCCTGCATGCCTACAACAGCGGCGTCCTTACACCCACTTTTTTCTGACTGCCACCCATCTCTTTTTTTTCATATTTCTGTCAATTCTTTCCAGTTCCCTTTATTCTTCTAAGGACCCTTCCCTTGTCCCCATCACCTACTTTCTCCTCCTCTCTGGCAAATGCCTATGCGGGATGAATGTTATTGATGCGTTGAAACGCACATACTTCCAAAGCATCAATTGCTAGAGGTTAAGCAGAAATGTATCTCGAAATCACTCGCACGAGGTACATATCCTTCTCACTCTGCGCCTCTCGGTCGTCGGCTTTCCCTATGCTGCGTAGCTTTACGCAGCACGTGTACAATGCAAGTGACACTGTTTGTCTTTGCGGTGTTCCAGGTGTTGAACTCCTACCAACAGCAACACCCAATGGCAAATGCGACGTCCAACGTCGCTGCATCGTATTTAAACAGCGTCGCGGGCCAGCACGCGACTACAGGTCAGCTCGGAAGTGTAAGCCAGTATGGCAGCACGAGTCAGCAGGCAAGCATAGGTCAGCACAGAAGTGTAGCCCAGCACGGAAGTGTAGCCCAGCACGGAAGCGTAGCCCAGCACGGAAGCGTAGCCCAGCACGGAAGCGTAGCCCAGCACGGAAGCGTAGCCCAGCACGGAAGCGTAGCCCAGCCCGGAAGCGTAGCCCAGCACGCGAGTGTGAGCCAGCACAGGGGCGTAGGTCAGCGCGGAGCCACGAGCCAGCAGGGAGGCGTGGGCCAGCACGCGCGCACTGCCCTGTCCAGCTACCAGAGCAGCACTGTGGACGGCAGCATCGGGTCGTACACGATGCGCCGGAAGGGGGCAGCAGTCCAGCCGCTGAAGAAGAGTGGCGGCGCCTTCCAGCAGTCGCCGGCGACGAGGCAGGGACAGGCGCCAGCCTCGTCGCTGGGCTACGGCGGGGCTTCTCTGTCGGACGGGCGCAGGGGCACCCAGGGCGCGCTTGGCCAGTACGGCAGGAGCAACCTGACCACTGTCCGGTCCTCTGGCTTCAACAATTCCCTGGCCAAGAGATACTGAGCCCTGCATTGTGTCCCGTTTCTTCTCGTCTCTTTGCGTTAAATAAAGTCTCATTTGTGCGGTGCAACCTGGCCTTTTTTTTTTCCTTCTGCAAGCAGGATACGCAGTTGGTATCGATGGCTACATTCCAAATCTTGCTCGAGCAGATTAGTTACTCCCACAGGTGTCGTATTGCGCGACGCCGCCATGAAGCCAGGTTTTGAAATTTTGAGGTACAAAACCTCTGCTCCGGAACAATACACGCCAATGGCAGTCAGTAGTACAGGTGCATCTTTTTTGTTTATTTACTGTGGCAAGAGGAAGCAACCTATACTTGATACACCATATCTAGAAGGCCTTGGTAAGAGTTACTGTGCGAGACCGGTGCCCCCTGAAGCTTTGACCTCGTATTTGAACGGTTTCCTGAAATACGAAAGACCCACTGGGAACGCCAGGACGAGGCATTGGCTAGCATTCAGTCCCGAGAGGACTCGCTCGAGGCTCGGCTAAAGCGCACTTATCAGTTTCTGGCGTTGTTTTCATGGCAGAGAGCAGTTTGTCAGCGTCGTGCCACAGTTGCATCCATAATCCTTCCCTTTCAGTGCCTTTGTCCATCTTGCAGGGTTATGGCCATTTCCTACTAATGCCATATTTGTGGTCCGAGAAAGACTGGCCCGATCCAAGGCGATTATTCTTAGTGTTAAAGCAAGAGATCCGTGCCACCCTTCTCAGGAACAAATGTGCTCTTCGACATCTTTTAAATCCACTCATTTAGCATTGCCTGTTGACATTTCACGCCTGAAAGTACCAATAAAAATGGTGATGACTATGCTCGTTTCGAGCCTTTGTGACCATATCTCTGGGTGATTTGCCAATGAAGCTCGCTCCTCGGCGAAATCTAAATTCAAAACTGTTAAGCGTGTTCAGGCCCAGTTGAGTCCTGAGCGAATGTCCTCCCCTCGGAGCGGAATGAAACCGCCCGCCACCATCTCCACCATGCTCTCCCGGTGGTCTTTCCTATTCCGGGAGATGTCTGCACTGTGCGCGAAGGTGGGGAAAAAGTTGACCGGTCAGCAACACTATCCGATTATAGTGGTGAACCGTGGTTAACGTTTTTCGTGCATAGGGGCAGTTTTGCAGCTCATTTGAGTCACAATTGGATGTTCCTGTTGGAGTTAGCGGCAGAAAGGAGCATTGTATTTAACATCTAGAAAATTTAAGGTTGATTTCATTATGCGGTGTAATGTTGACATCTAGATATTTCTAGAGCTATCAGGAAGGCGCAAGTTTATTTTATACTGAAAAGGATTATCGGTGGGAGGCACTTTTCTTTACACTATGGCTATATCATTGACACTCCCTACAATCTTGAACGGTATACAAACAAATGCACACCAGCATTCAGAGAACTGGTTGCAATGTTCCAAAAGGCCATCTCAAGATTTACCAAATGCAAAGTGTTCTGAAAGCATGGTTTCTCCATCAGAGTTCCTAACCAAAGGGTTTCGATCTTTGGGGGTCTCTTAGAAACGCAAATTTTCTTCATCATTCCTTCCTTTTAGTTCATCGGAACCATGCCTCGATGCAAAACCAAAACATTCCATTGTGTCCAGACAAGTTTCTTCACTCAAACTACTTTATCGCAGAAATGCAGAGGGGGTTCTCTCGCTGTCATTTGGGATTGATAGGCGTTCCCCAAGATCACAGCATGCAATCTGGTAGCCCATGGGCTGTGGAGAGAGACCCGCAAAAACACTGCACTGCAGTGAACAGTGTGCTGGCTTTTACCTTAATGGATGCTTTTCTGAGGTTTCAAATTGCAAGATCATACACGAGGTGTCTTTTCTGTTTTCATGCCTTTACAAAACGGGAATATTGGGGCATCGTTTTAATGTTGATGCCAGCTAGCACACTGAACACCGTCTCGTATTTACCATGCAGCCCCTCCCAGCCACTGCACGTGGCTGTATGTACAATCATTGTGGCCGTGTACGTCCAATTACACGGGAGGGATGCCGCCATTCATTAAAAACTCCTGTGCTATTCATGACTAGGTCGGTCAACATTGTTCCTTGGGAAGAGCAGGATCAAGCGGGGAAAAATGCGAGGTCGTCGTTTGGAAACAATGTTTGTGAAATGCCTCTCGAGAGTTGACTTACCTAAACACTCGAGTCGCAGCATCCTGACTGGGACCGAGGGGGAAAAAGAGGGTCGACAACACATGAGACAAACAGTCTCAACTACAATAAATAAGGTGGCCACTGAAGCTTTGGAGAAACTTTTATTTCCAGGAAGAAACAACAGAGTCAAAAACGGGGAATTCTAGAATCATTACATTTGCTTACACTGCACACGCTGTGCTTGCACAGTCATGTATGCCTATAAACACTAATCACAGGATGAGGGAACCGAGCCAGAGGGTGTGCTGCAGCTCGACCGTGGATAGCTGCAGTGTCACTAACCCCCTCCTCAAGTACACAGGTGTCGGAGCTGCAGCCACGCCCTAGCCCCAGGTGACCAGAAACCTTTTGAAAAAAAAACAGAGCGGAAACTAGCTGCAGGCCTAGTCAGAAGACAAGTGGGAGGGGTCCCACAACATTGGGAGGTGTGGAGACGGAACATCTTAATAATTCATGTAAGTACCATTAGAATTCCTATCAAACGGCCAACAAAAGGTCACGGAGATTTTCATTTTGAAACGCTAATATAATCTTTAACTCTGCTCATGCGAATCTCGTGTGAAATTTTTAGATGCAAGCAATCGATGTTGACTGCTCGAGTCGTCGACCTTACGGCAATACAAAGTTGGTGGGGTCTGCAAAACCTCGTAAAATGCATCCAACAAATTGTGACAATCTTGATATCGTAACTACACGAAAATAAAGCTAGAATGCAAAACTTGAACAACATTTGCAGTCTTCTTCCGAACAGAAGTGCACGAACCGAGGCGACACTCGACAAATGCAGCTGTAAATGCGATGGTTCCTGGAAAACATTCTCGAAACTGTGTGTAGAGTGGTACACTATGACAGGCTTTATGCTTTCTCACGTGATCGTTGCTTCACGAGCAATGTCCACGGTGAAGGCATTGCTGTTAACCAAGGCGCGGAAGAGTGTGCAGAGAAGTCTTTCTAGCAAATTCATCCATACTTGTATGGGTATCCCATAAATTATGGACCAAAACTTAACCGTGGCTATTATGCAGGTATACTAGCAAAGCACCCTTTTTGTGTAAGTGCAGCAGCTTTTCGCAACCTGTCATTCCAAGATACTGGGGAACGTTCAACCAGAACTGAAAAACACCTGTGCTCATTCTACTGTTACACCAGGTTAAACAGAAACTTTAAGGCCAATCCTTTTTTTTTTTTTTTTTTCACTTTACCGTCAACTAGACACTTCCCAGTATCCAGCAGGATGTCACGACAGCTTTCAAACTGCTGTGTACCAGAGCTAGACCAGAACCAAATCTGAAAGCTGCCAAACATCACAACTGGTACCCAAAATGGTTCAACAAAGTTTGTGGTTCGAGACCCTGCTCAAAACCCCCTGCGCTGTCTTCATAGGCCGGAGTTGCTCAGCACGAGCATAGCCTCTTATATAAGGGGAAAGCCTGCGCCTATTACAATTGAACGCCAGTCGCCGTAGAAGACGAGCGGTAGGCAAGGAGGAAGCATCTTGTAGTCAGCACCACATGGGCGTCGTAAGGCTTTTTTTTTTCTTTTTGTACTATTTTGTTTTAAGAAAAAAAAAATAAAGAAACCATCAGCTTTTGGCACAGGCTTTCCCCCCATATAGGAGGCCACGGCACAAACTTCCAGTTTGGAAAACTTGGATTATGCAGATATCAAAGGCACACATCGGGGCACTTCCTCAAAGTGATCCACAACTGTCGCTGGACATTTCTACATCACCTCAGTACAATCGGCATCCACAGACGTATTGCCAGCGATTACACGCAACAGCCTGGTCGACGCAGAAAAGCGTGCCAATACTCCGGGTCAGTGCAACGGAACAATGTGAACATTCCTACAAACGCTTCTTCAAGTCGCAATGCACCGACCTGGCCAGTAAAGGTCCGTCGGTAGAGCCCACCGTTCAGGATTGCGATATCTAATTTTCCCGCATTTTGTTCACCCACCTAGGAAGGGCTGCCTGATTTCTTTTAGATGTCATCACGCATCACTGTACAGCAAAAGTGCCCTGGGAAAGTTTCACCCCACACTTGCAGCGTGGCAAAAGCAAGCAAGGTATTCATACGCCAGTGACCGAACCAGACTCCCCTCGGCACAAAATGAATAGACTGCAATAACATAAAAAAAAAATGCACCAACACATTTCTTTGCCATGCTTGTTCACTGTCCTCCGGATTAAAAATTTGCCTTTGATCTCCACAATGGATCACTAAAGATATGGTCAGTGAAGCATCCAGAGACTTTCAAACTGGTGCAACTAGTAGCCAAGTCCAATGAATCGATTCATTTGGAAAGACCCAGAGCTGCGACACACCACCGCTATATCCAACTGTACTGAATCGGTTGATTCGCTGGTTCCTCCTCCTCCGATACCAAGTAGGTTCCGCAGGTTATGCTCGCACTTCGTGACTGCACGGAGTCAACTCATTTGAAAAACCAAAATGAAAGCCGTTTACAACTCCCTGTAATGCCGAATTAGAGCGCAGCTCTTGAGGAGGAGGAAGGAAGGGTACTGAAGAGGGCGGTCATGTGACCTCGGGGGGGGGGGGGGGGGGGGGGGGTGTCACGTGATCTCAGGGGTCACGTGACCTTGACGATGACGTCACTGATGACGTCATCAGTGATGATGACGATGCGGATGCCAATGACGTCATCAGTGACGATGACGATGCGCATGCTGATGACGTCATCAGATGATGATGACGACGATGCGGATACCGATGACGTCAACAAGTTGCATGCAACCTGGGCTGCATGCAACATGTTGCATGCAACTTCTGGAGGAACTTGAAGTCCTCCCGAGGTCCTCCCGAAGGAACCCGAGGTCCTACTGAAGAAACCCGAGGTCCTCCCGAGGTCCTTCGGGACGACCTCGGGTTCCTTCGGGAGGACCTCGGGTCCCTTCGGAAAAATTCACCCATCATGCACCGCGTGGTTACGCCGACGCCGACGGCGATGACGCTCAAGCCGGAAACGGGCGCCTAAGAGCTGCGCTCTAAAACTAGAGGTCCCCAGTTTTTACGCACTTTCTACGAGATCTATCGCCTAACTCTGTACATTTCTCCAGACGTCCCTTTAAAGTCTGCAGAGCTCAGTGTGAAACCTCCGCTTACACCGACTCTTCCGTTCCTGGTACGTCTTCCGAGGGGAACCAGCTTCTTCACTGGCAGGTTAAACGGCAGGGGAGAGCTCACGTAGGCCCCCGTTTCATGGCTGGGCCACAGCTTGTTTACGCAGAGCACGCACCTTGTTCCAAAATAAAGGAGCCATGAAATGTACCACGTGAAACTCGGAAACGTCCCAAGGGCAAAATTATTAAGCATGCGAGACTGCTGCACTCAAGTAGTTCAAAAACAATATTGAACAGAGGTAAACAAACTGTCAGTGGTATCCGCTACTTTCCATAATTTATAAAAAACGAACATCCACAAAAAAAAGTAACTAAGCCCCACCAGCTCGCCCGCACATTACTCTTATTTCAGAAATGTCCATACGCTTCCGACCGCTATTCCCTCAATAATTTAGTAGCTTTACGCAAGTGGGCCAGTTCTATTGGGAGGGTTTATACTAGGGAAATGGTAAACCACCAAGCGTGCTGGACAGACCGTCCAGTTTGTTTTATAGACTATGCGCTTCTATTGGTTCTGGAGCGAGACTAACTCCTCGATAGGTGTGTCAACTACACCCTGCCGTTCTAATCCTGTCCGTGAACAGTAAATATACAATCTATTCTGAGTACCATTTACAGTTTATTTCTTCTTGCCGCAAATACGGGTGTGCACATACAGGTAGGTCTGCAGATACGAGCGTCTTCTGGACAGACTTCCCCCGTAGCCCCCTTGCCATGGGGCAGCCTCTCTGGGAGTGCCTCCCTCTCACGCCTAGACAGCTGCTGCCAGTTTATTAAAGGGACCAAGAAATTATTTTTGCTCTTTAGCTTTCCCCGTCAACTCGGAAGCGAGATGAGAAGCCACGTGATTGTGACGTAGTGTTCCACCAGATGCGACAACTCCCAGCTTCCACCCTGCTTTTAAAACGCACCGTGGAACTTGTCATTCACAGGCAATGATAAGTGCTGTCACGGCACTCGCTGGCCACCAATGCAAATCCAAAGTCAAGGAATGATTGTTGTTGAGCGCCCGAGGGACGCGGTACTCATGTCCAACGCGCGAGCTGGGTCCGGCTGATGTGCATGGGCACTGCGGATGCGTACGGCTTTCGAAGGAAAGAAAGTAAGAAATAGCTTGCTACATTTTTTAATTTTTTTACCGAAAAAAAGGTTTTCAGCTTTCTGCCCTCGTGTACTAGTTTTTTTCCCACTAAAGGATTTGCGATTAGTAAAACCCAAATCTAGAATTCCCTATCCCAGCCCAAAGTTTGTTTCATTGTCCTTTTAACAACCGCAAGATAGCGTTGTCGCCAAGTTTTATTTTATTATACCCAACAGGTGATGACCACCGGAGGCCCGGTCAGGTCAAGCCATACCCACGCGCAGCGAAACGTCCGACTGGTTGTACAAGGTGCAAAAAAAAAACGGCCAAACCGGATGACACGCTGGCCAATCGCAACCTCGCATCACGATGACTGACTGGCACAAATCAAGTTAAAGGTGCCCTGCAATCATATTTAAGCGTCTACCTTTTTTGCGGTTGCCACGTCTCTTGCGGTTCGGGCAAGCCAGCGGGCACGGAGAGAGTAACTAAATGTCAGTGACTCATATTTTAACTGGACGACGCGGATACCTCCTCCACCTATGGGGGTGACCCGCGTTGCCGAAGGCGCGCAATATGTGAAGTCTTTGGTCCTGGGCTTACTACTGGTCAGAGCCGCTAAAAGCTTTATTTTAGTCGAGATCCAAAATATAAGTGTCGCGAACCGTTTCAATTATGTATGAAAGTAGTTTTTGTTCGGTTTTTTAGATCAGAAAAGAAACAAATGCAGTTTATAAAGTACGGAAACAAGAAAGGACTCGTCGACAAACCCGCCACCAAGCGGCGGAAAAAACGGCGCATACTAGAAAAGGCTAGTGGGATGTGGCTCCGACGAACAGCGAGCGTAGAAAAATTTCGGATGTATGCGGCGGCGCTGCGGTCCTATACCGGCTCGAGGATCCGACCGGTTCCGAGCATTCCGAAGGCTCTCGGCGCGGGCTTGGCTGGTGGTTTGGCCATTTGGCGGTATGGCAGCGCAAAGTGGCTCCTGTTGTGAACTGATCTTTACACTGTGCTTGCTGTCGTTTGTGGCCAATGAAGTGTTATGCCAAATTAGTCCTTAATCACGCAGCAAATGCAATGCGAGCCACCCTGGCCGCCCGTTTCATACAGCCTATCTAACACGTGCTTTAGTGGCGCCCTCTCGCGCCGTCGACACGGAGTGCGGCAGCCGTGAGCGCTCGACGAGCTTACTACTCCTTCTCTAGTTCACGGCCACTCAAGCCAGGAGCTACGACGTCATGAAGGAGGTTATTCTTTGTTTGTTTTTGTAATTCTAATTTGCCTATAACTTTTAAAATAAAGCGGAATTTGAGGAAAGAAAAGTTTCTTTAAGTTGCTATGTTCAGTGCGCTCAGGTTCGGTGCAAATTAAAAACCAGTCAAAAAGTTGTTGCAGGGCCCCTTTAAGCCGTCTTTCTTGGCACGTCGTACGACCAGTCGGACGTCTGGTCGCGCATGGGTATGTCCTGACCGGCCCCCCCGGCGGTTGTCACCTCTTAGGTGGCACAAAAAAACCCGTACGAGGTTGCCATTTCACGGTCACTCACAAGCTAGAAGCAGCAGCCTGGGCGTGGGAGTGAGGCACTTCCAAAGTCGCCCCTTTGACGTACTAGCGTGGCAAAGGCAGTGGTAACGCAGAATGTCAAGCGTTATTGTGGACAAACTGCTTACGCACGTGGAGACTGGATGGTGCAAAGCAGCCCCCAGTCGTGCAAGGTAAGTGTGCGAGCACTCCGCGGACATCTTACTTGCAGGTGCCATCTGTGCTTGCACCGTAAATGCAACTTTCTCGGAGCCTGTTGGAGTGTGAGACCCCGTCGACGGAGCGTGCCGGAAAGAGAACAATTGGTATCCGCAGCAAAAAAATAAATTGTAAATCACAAGGCCCCTCCCTCCCCCCCCCCATAGTTTCCTTAAAAAAAAAAAAAAAGCATTAGCTACTCACTTCTGTTAATATTACCAGACTGTTTATTTTCTACCTCAAGTTTTTATTTATTAATTTTTCGCTGTCTCAGCTTTCTACACTCTCCTCTAAAGTGACATCGATTGAGGGTGCCGAAATAAATAAATAAATTAGAACGCCAACGGGGAAGTCTCGTCTAAGCCACCAGCTCGCGACTGGCTGCACCAGGAGCCCGCTAGAGAGCCACGACCAGTTTCATTCACCATGAGGGTAAGAGATAGTAGGATGCTTCGCAAAATCTCTTCACTTCGGGCTTCATTGTTTTCTGCATAGAGCTGAACACTTCTCAGGTGGAATTCATGCTCCCAGAAATTAGTTACCTGAAAGGGTAAAAGTGAACTAGCTAGTACAGTAAACTTTCGTTAATTCGGCCTCGACGGGACCTTAAAATTTGATCGTATTATCCGAATGATCAAATTTAGAAAAGGACAGAAAAACGGTTAAAATTAAACTTTGTTTTACTGTCCAAAGTACTCACGGATGGTCTGCTGCCGTCTGCACTTAAAACGCAGGTCTAAAAAGCATGCTCCAAAGAGCAGCATAACTAAACGTCACAACCTAAAAAAATTGCATAAAAAAAAAAAAAAAACGAACAAGGCAAGTTTTATGACCCGATTTTGGCGCCGGGCAGCCAGACCGTCGGCAACAGAGAACAAGAACAAAGAAAAAAAAAAAGGAAAAGAGAATTTGCGTTTTCCGGAGCGCGAGATGGACTGCACACGGTCTACTGAAAAGTGCTTTAAAAGCGCGCACTGTCTCCGCGCCCGACCCCGTGCTATGTTCTCCGCTCTACTCCACGCCAGATTAGTGCGCTGGCTGATGTCATTCACTGCGGTCCGTCTCAACGGCGTAGAGGAGCAGGCACATATTTGCGCACGTTCGGTTTGGCAGCAAAGGGCCCGTGTTTCGCCGTACTTAGGCGGTCTTTCTGCCAGGGTTGCTGGCAATGTGAGCCCATGCGCATTCACTCGGGACGAATTATCTGATGCAGAGTCTTCCCGAGTTCGAACTATCAAACTTTTCCTCCCATAGAAATGCATGGGCGCTCGCCGGGACTTTTGAACAGGATTGAATTAAACGAAAAGTCGAATTAACCGAGGTCGAATTAACGAAAGTTTACTGTATATAAAAATGCTAAAAATGTAAACCAAAAGCGCAGTGTACAAAGAGCGCTAGAACTTTCCGACACACGTTCGCAGATCACAGTGGTACTGGAATTGCAGCACGCATCGCTCCTGTACATAGCGAAGCTAGAGACACCTTCTTAGAATATGTTGAGCACGAGGCTCTTGTGCCACGGAAGTAATATAAAGCTCATCGCTCCACACACACGTAAAGAATCGTGCCTATGCAAGCGAGGATAAATAAAAACCTAAAGAAGGGTTGCTCCGTAAAAAAAAAAAAACATTGTACAACATAAATATACTTTGCAAACCAGCTCTCGAGCATCGTAATATAGTGCTGCCGAGGAATGTATAATTCTAACACAAGTGTAACCTGCATCTCTAAAACGGGCGAGCAGACTGACTGGCTGCAGCCATCATGACTCGCAAGTGCGTGCAAGACTCGTGTTGGTCATAGGTTGCAAAGGGAGTGAGGTAACCCAAAATCAGAGTGATCATCAGAAACTGCGGTGACGACGGAGGGTACTGGTTACATGAATTGTGGTCGCCCATCAGGGCCCACACATTTCTCTTTGGAAGCAAGGTCGAGAGGGTCGCAAAGCGTGCAATGGAGGTCAACTTTTTCACATGGCTTCACTACACCACATTTGACTCTTCTGCTCTGGAAATGCTACAATCCTAAGCACTGCATAGTCTCCATCACAAATCACAGAAACCCGCAACATATCTTTGCACTAGCATTCTTACCAGTCTCCAGGTTAACAAAAACAATGTTTACAGTATTTTCCAGTAGCAGCATAAGAAATTGTCCCGAGTCCATGCTGACACGCACAGTTTCCAATTAGACGACAGAGGAAAGAGTTACATTCAAAGGGACATGTTAGTACTGGTGTGCACTTGGGTCTCACACATTTCATAGTATGGAAGCATAAAGAAAACTGTTTTCTGTCAAGAGTGGAAGATGTGCAGGTTAATGAGAAGCACTTCATTCGCAGTATAGCTTCCGAACCACCATAACTACCAAACGACAAAGCATCGACAGAAAGGAGATCAGGTATGAAAGAAATGATTAATTCAATAAAATTCAGAATATGCCACCTTCTTGTTCTATTTTCGTCGTGTAGAAGTATTTATTTCTAATAATCCTTATAAGAGTTTGTGCATGGGGAGTAGATATTGTTCACCTTGCTTTTTTAAATAAACAGTATTCTAAGACAGCTTGCCTTCGTAATTGAGTATTTCTTTCAACCAGATAACCGAATTCTAATTCAAATAAGGGTTTCGAATTTGATTTTAACCTTAACCATAGAAATACAAAGGTAACCGCTGCAAGGGCAGACCCAAGAAAGCTTCTAAGTGCTTTAGTTGATGCAAAATCTAACCTAAAACCAAAATCTAAAATGCAAAATCTACAGAATGAAAGGCATCACTGTAGGCATGTCAGCTCAATTAACCACCAGTTAAAGATGTTTTACTCCAAATAAGGCTTCTGGCTTAAAGTGTTTAAGTGAAAACATAGCTGCCGAAACTTCAGATGACCGTTCAGCTTTCATTTCTTTTACACCTGTCATACATCAGAACTCCCGAGCTGAGATTACTGTCCAAAGCAGCGAGAGCAAAGGCCCATGTACACAGTCGCGTTTGACTATGTTATGACAAGTTACAGCTGCGAGTCAAAGGGGCATTCCTGACTCGTATGTCGCATGCAAAGCCACCCCCCAATTAGTTGCCAGTAGCTTACAAAGCATAAATATCCCAGTGACAAGCAGCCATACCAAGTCCTCACAATGTCGTCAAACATGGTCAAACGCTACTGCATAAATGGGCCTTCATGCATCATTTCTTGCATCGTTCACTTAGAATAGTTCAAACAAAGAGGAGTATTCTTTTTGTGCTTTACAGAGGATCACTTTAGCTTACTTTTAAGCACCAGTGACTGCACCTTTATGTAGTTTCCTTCCTTTGAGTGCGTCTGTCATACTCATGAGAGTAAATAACGAAAAACACCAATATACTATTCAAGCACAATAAACATTAATTTACTATACTGACTTACATTAAAGAAAAAGCCAAAAACTGGACGCTTTAGGTACAACTGGGGCTGACTGTCACAAGATTAGAGTCCTGGGTCTTCCCTTCCTCTCAGACACATACCCCGTAGGAGCTTCATCCAGCCTTCGCAAATTCAGGAACAATGCTGCCAAAACAACTGTAACTAAAACTCCATCCAGAAGAACAGTGCACCTTGAGGTGCTTGGCAAGAGCCAAAGGAACACTTGGTTCCAACTAGATTGACCGTAGCTGTCGCAGGATTCCCATCAAGCAGAGGATAGACCCGTAGCAGAAGGTCAGTTTGCCAAGCTTCAGCAAACGAAGGGACGCTGGTTACGTGAATATTCTTCGCTAAATTCTAAAGCTAAACCATGCAGCTAGGTGCGATAGTTGTTGCAGGGATGAATAATGAATTCACAGATTTCATAGCCAGAGCTTGCGCTAACTTCAACCACCCAAGCATCGGGTTGTCTCGTACCAGCGGGGAGGCCGACATTTGTCGTGTAAACGAGAGGGCCTTTGCAGAGTTGCCACGATGTGTGAAGAGCTAAGCCCGGTGAGAAAAAGAAGAGCTGCATAAAAAGCTGCACAGTTTCACACTATGACATCACCGGAGAGCTAATGTGCTGAAACATCACCGGAGAGCTAATGTGCTGAAAGCAGCAGCCTGGATTCGAATAAATGTGTCAAAATGAAATCCAGCATCCAACAGCCATCTTTCCTCGCTTAGGGAGCCGTCCTGGACTTAAGAAGTCGTAGCAAGCCACTAAGTTGCCTTCATACTCTGTCTCTGCTGCGTTAAGATAAATCTTACTGCAGTAATGTCAACGGTCGATTCGGATAAAACTGGTCGTCAGAAAGGCACCCAGAAATGCAAAGCAACTGCAACTTTCAGCTGAAGGCAAACGGCCTTTCTGTAAAAGGTGCCAAAGAAAACTGCACGCTTCAGGAGGCTGAAACTACAAGTTGTCTTAGGAGTTGAGCTAGAGATGAGACGGGGAACTGTCACTCGTAGCAACCAATCTATCAAATAGGAGAATTTCAGGCCAGACTGCACCAGACTGTGATTATCTTACGGAGAGAATATCAGGAAAAGTGTTCGAAGATAGCGTTAGAAGAAATTATACATCATTATGGTAGTGATGCACATCCTCGTTAATTGCCAAAGCTAAGTGATGGAAACAAACTCCCGACTGCCTCTTAGAATGTGGGCCTCTGCTTGAAACAACGCCAATTTGTTAGGCACTTATCTACGTCTCAATTATAAGGGCGAAGCCATTGCAGTCTTTCTGGTATGAAACTCTGAATGCTAGTGCCTACAATAACAACAATCGGTGACTTTGCTTTGCCGAAACTGCCAAACAAACCAGCACTGTGAGTGCAGGCACTAAAGGCGGCAGTACCTCCCGGAGTAGACGTCCAACTAGATATCACGCCACACTCGGCCATGGGGTCGACAGTGTGGCCCGTCTTTGGGCAGTCGAAGCGGGCCTTCCCATTAACGGGTGCGACGGCAGCTCATCAGCTGCACAAACAAACTGCTAGGAATGGACAAACAAACAATGCTACACTTCAACCAGCACCCGTACAAGGCTCGCATGACTCTTATTTCCAAAGTGTTTAAAAATCTCACCGAGTTAAACCTACCCCTAAAATAAATGCTCCTCTAAAATTGCGACCCGATATGTGCATCACCGTTGTTGTTTTTATGGGACAACTTTACGTCGTAACAAATGCTCGGAGTGCAGTTTGCTGACATTAACGATGCCTGGCTATGCCCCTTGCTATACTCCGCTTCGCCTCGCGACAAACCGCACCAGACGCTACGAGTTGTCCCAGCCTCTCCAGCGCCGAAAAATTATCGCGCAACCGAGCGCCCTGCACGTCGCTGCGCCCCTCACGAAGGTCACGTGACAATCACGCGGTTTTGCATTGGCACCGACGGCTCGTGGCATCTGCCGAGGTTCTTCGTAAGGCGAAACGGAGCATAGACGTGCGGCAGCCAAAAGTGACCGTTCCATCTGCTTACAGTCTCCAAGGTGGACATTTTCTCAAGCAGAAAGGAAACCACTGGTTCTAAGAATCTCAAAATCTGCCACCAAAACGGAATGGGCACTTCCTGCTCAAAGTATACGTGCCAACAGTGTCGCAGTTTGAACCCACTGCTCTACACGAGGTCGGCATTTTGCCGTCTCTTTACATTTCCGCCCGTGCCTCCGAGGTAAGCCGCGCCCCGGCAGGCAGCACGCACGGTTCCGCAGACGTCCTCGAGATGTCTTAGCGTTCTGCAGACGTCCCGGAGACCTTAAGAAGACGTCGTCTGGCGGTCGGCTCTACGGCACCCTGCGGCCCCTTCAGAGTCTGCCGCGATGCCTCCAGGCCTTGGCCACGGCAGCCCTCTCGGCCTCGGAGAATCCCAGGATGGATTGGATGGCGTTCAGGTGGCCCCTGCAGTTTTGGTAAAAACATGTCGTGCTTTCAGGGAAAACGCAAATCTAAAAATTAAAAAAAAAGTTTTTAAATTTTTTTATTGATTTGATATTTGGACTGTTCCTGCCTTTCTTTATCTCTCCTGTGCCTATTAAAGCTGAAAACACAAAATAAATAGGTGTAATAACGCTAATCCTGTGGTTACACACCAGAGACTGTGGTGCAGAAAAGGAAAATACTTGTAGTCGAAGGAACAGGCAAAGAAGGGAACGTCTCAAACTCGGCTAACTGGTTGATTTCTCAGGCATCCTCACAGCCACTCTCACCACCCTCTACAGATCTTCCCAACTTCCACATCACGATCGAAATGCCAATCGAGCAAGCAAATTGAGTTTGCATTCATTCGTGTGTGGGACCAAAATGGATTAAAACAGGACCAAAATGGCTGCCGACGGCAGCCATTTTGGTCCTGTTTTGTAGATGAATTCTCGCTCCCTCTTTCGCAACCTCTTGAAACGGCCTCACCCTTGACACCACACCGTATCGTGTCCTTTTCTGGTGCTTCCCACCAAGGGAGCGCGACGGCGTGATTGGTCAAAGCATTGCATTTAAAGGGACACTGACACCCCCCAAAATTTTTTTAAAATCTTTTTGCCAGGCGCTTCATTATGGTGTTGGAGGACTACCCAATTAATATTTCGCAACAAAGTAGGGTATCTTTTTAAAAAAGCCAAAAGACGCAACTGCTCGAAACTGAAACCCGCGCACGGAGGTCGGAGAAGTGCAGAGAAGAGAGTGAGTGGCGGAAGTCACGTGGCTACACCTGAGCGTGTGATTTTTTTTTTTTTTTCTCTTCATCGTAGCAGACGACATACGGCGTAGTGGGAACTGCTTGCCGCGCGATTCTTTTGCAGTTATGTTTGTACCGCTCGCTGTTCTGTACTCCAAGATGAGTTGTTTTTTACACTGAGGAGTTGGAGATGAGTAGTGAGTGCCCGTGGTGAATTTCCGTGACCTGCTCCAAAAAAGAACTCACCCAAGATGTTGCGTGAATAGCTAGCTCACATGTCCTGCGTCCAAAAGAAGTGGCATTGTGCGACAAAGTTTCCGAAAGATCAACGGGACCGGGACCAATGGCTGGCTGCAATTCCTATAGAACATATACGGGCACCTCGGAAAGCGGACGCTAACTGATTTATATGCTCCTTGCATTTTGTGGAAAGGAATTACATTCGAGTTCGCAGGTGTGAAAAAGGAAATCTCATACCATTTAATTCAGCGACGTGTCGTTCACAACATTTGTTTGTTATTTTTTTTGTTTGTTTCTTCAGTGATAATTGTAAAAAAAAAAAAAGAAGAAGAAATGTAGACATCGGAAAATGTTTGAAAAAAAAAAAATGTTTCACTGGGGTTCGAACTTGGTCCTATCGCGTAAGAAGCGGGTGTCTTTCCCACTGAGCTACTGAGGGACCACTATACTAGGTGATCTCTTTCCTTAGTAACAATCCAGCCGGTAAACTTTAAGTTGGAAAGTTAGCTGCCGATTTGCTGCCGGTTTGCTTCCGGTTGTCTCTGGAACTTTTTTTTTCAATCAACGTATTTGCAGCTTTTAGAAGCCACAAAAAATGGGTTTCATATTTTTTTCTATCTTTTAATATTGAGTGTGTGCCTTCACGACCAACGACTTTGATTAAAGTTGGTGGTCGCGTCGAAACCTTAGAAAACGGCCCGTGACCACGGAAAAGAGAGTGAGTGAGACTCGAACCGGTCAGTTCTTGACTGGCGGTTTTCGGGCGGAAAGAAACCGAATTTCGAGTCGCAAATTGTGTTCTGGGTAGTTGGGCTCTCATATGTCATGTACAACTAAAAACCTCGGCGAGCATAAACACCCTGTCAGTGTCCCTTTAAAGAAACTGGTTCTAATATCCGCACCGAGACGATCCGGAGAGTTCAGAACAAGTTCCTCCTCACGAACTCACCTGCTCCCTTTCTCCGCATTCGGGGGCTTCGGCGTTTTTGCTCCTCTTCCGTTGCTCTCATTGTCCGACTATTTTTTCGATTGCGTCGCACAGTTTTTATGCTTCGTTTTTTGCGATGTGGAGAAGCAAGTAGGAGAGCAGACTAGGTATGCATATAGAGCATGTAAGCGCCAGACAAAGCGAACGCTGTCGGAGCCTAGGACTCTGCCTCCGGTGGTGGATGTGCGAGATGTTGGTCAGATCATGCGCGCCGTGACGGCCATGTTCGAGACGCTTTCGTGCCCTACGAAGTTCACTCAGCACGGACAGCAATGCGACCATTCTTAGGACTAACCACTTTCATTCACTGTCTGAAAGTGGACCAGAGACGACGACGTGTTTGTAGACATCAATGCATCCAATAGGCGAAAAATGTCCGGGGCTGGGAAACTCCTCGACTCACGCTTTGTCAAGTGTGCACGCAACTCAGTTTCATGGTTGATCACTTCGGCAACTATGCACTTGCAGCCATTCCGAGAGCAGCCTGGTTTGGCTTGACTTGACCTGACCACTTAGTGGAAAAAGAAAATTGGCTCGGTGGGCTTGGTGGCTAGCTAAGATGGACACAATCTGAGACTCGGGGAGCCGAAAATTGGAGGTGTGTTCATTACGCGAGGGAAAAAAAGTCCATATATTGGTACCCGCTGTGGGGGGTGCATTCATTATGCGAGTAAATACGGTATATTCAACATAGCATCCCATCTATGCATCAGCTTTATTTTATCTAATTGTGCGTTAAATCGAAACCGACGAATACCCTGACAAGTTGCCAAGAATTAATTATCACCGTAAAATCCCAAGAAATGCCCCACCCCCAAAAGCGCCGCGGGTGTTGTTCGAGGTGCCCACAGGGCACCTCAGACAAGACCCACCGGTGCTTTGGCTAGTGGGCGTCCGATTCGACAACCGCGTTTCCACAGGAACAGGGTCCACAATATCGGGTGTTCTCTCTTCCCGCAGCCGCCCCACCCCAGAGGAACGTCGACAGCCCACCTGCAGTCAGTTCGGTCCGTCAGGAAGTAGAAGACGGCGTCCTTGAGGAAGCGCAGCGTGTACTCCGCCTGGCGATCGTTGCCGCCCGTGCGGGGTGCAGAGGCCGCCAGGGGAGCACGATGGAGTGCCCTGGAGCGCTCCAGCTCACTCTCGGTGCGTCGCAGCTGCTGCAACAGTGCGGGGATGCTCCCGCCCCCCCGGGGGGGCGACGACGCCGTCCCGTCTTCTTCCCGTTCGAACTGGGCTGCCTCTTGACCCTTCCTGCGTGAACCACGTCCAGGGGGTCATGGATCGGTTTTGGGCAGACCTCTGCCTCTAGGCTAGCACCGTAGGCAACGGATGAAGTTCGATTCTGGGCGTTCCCTTTAAACGCAAAATGTTCTACGTGTCGTTTTCTACCACAAAAATTGTCACAAATGATTGACACGCTGGGAGCATTACACGTGTTAAAATTATATATAAAGTTTGAGCACCTGGATCAGTGCGGTCGGACGCTATAGCCACTGAGCTGCGTGGCAGCGCAGCTGCTATGAAATATTAATGTTGAATTCTTTTATTTGAGTATGTGCTGCCGAGAGCAGCAGGTTTAGAATGTATATAATAATAACAAAAGAAATAAAAATAATAAAATGCACAAATAAAATAAACAAAATAAAAATAAATAAGCAAAAATATAAAATAAACAAAAATATTATAAAATAAACAAAAATATAAAATAAACGGCGATAATACTCCTTGGAGAAGAACAAGGAGGACAAAGGACAAACGTAAATCTCCAAACAAAACTAGGCGACTGGTGCACAACCGAAAAAATTCGCCTGGTCCTGGCAACGAACCAGGGACCTCTCCACTTCCAGTAAAGCGCTCTACCAACGGAGTAAACCAGGAGGACGTCGGAAGAGGAAACGGATTTTTTCAGCTGCCACCATTTTAACACCAACAGGGGTGAGAGGCTTGCATTTTAAAGTTATGATAATGATGTTTGCACCTATGCATTAATGCATCAGTATTAGCATAAAATAAATAAAAACAATAAAAAAATAAAATTGAAACAAAAAAAATATTAATAAAAAAATATCTAGTTCAAATCACATATGGAGCATGGTTTGTGCGGGAGATATTCTGGGCACCCCGGTCTTTGTCAGCATGATCGAGCCTGTAGAATTATTTGCAAAATGGTCGCATCAACATGCACGAATGCAAGACGTAGTAGCGTGAACATCTTGGGAAGAAACACTGGCAAAAAACTTGGATAAGAGTGAAGAAACATACACAACATGGGATGTGTCAGCGGCGTTACCTGAAAAAGATTTCGGGTACCTTCGATTGACTATGACCATTATTACGTAGTCACTGATTTGGCCTACCGTGACATAATGTGCTACTTGGTTGGCGCATGTGTGTGTGTCTATTTTTTCTGATTAAGATGCTTTTCTTCCTTTCCCCTTTTGTGTAATAAACAACAGTTGTTAGCTCAGCGCCGTGCTGTCGTCTATGATTTCTATCAGCGAGACTTCGTGAATCCCAGAAATGTGCAAGTAAGGTTACGCCACTACTTCAAAATGTGTTTCCGTGTAACAGATGTTTATGCCAATGAATGCTGCAACCTCAGAGACATACTTTTTTTTTTATAAATAACTCGAATCAATAGTGTGGAGCAGCACCACTACTGCCCCACAGTAGCGGCGTCGCCGCCCACCCGATCACCCTTCTCGGCGATGTCCGGCCCGCCTCTATTTCGCGATGGCTGTACCAGACAATGCTGATTTCGCGAGCGCACAGTGTGCTGGATTGTAGTGTTTGGCAGACCCCTGTAGGTCACATGCGAAGGTGCAGGCAACGAGAGTACGGACAATCTTTCTCTCTCTTTCTCGCACCTTGTGAATATGAGACGTCAATCGGGAAAAACCCTCATGTGGAGCCTCATTTCACGCAACTGAACTTGAGGTCTAGCAAAAGTATGGAAAGTTTTACAGATGCTGGTGCAGTCAAACCCACTTGTAACAGACCTGGGAATAGCGAAATATTGGATAGAATTATGTCCATTTTATTCTTATTTTTGTTTTGAGTAATTTTAGCCCCTTTTTAAGGAAGAAATCCGGAGCAGGGCTGCGGAAATAAAAATTTTCCGAAAAAAGAAAAAGTATTAAAAAAAAATATTCAGAAACTAAAGTGCAAAGTATTCTGAAACAAATAAAATACTGTTTCTCTATATTTGGGCAACGGGAGGCCCCAGGAAATGTCGAGCCACCCAGTGCCGTGAAAATTTAAGCTGCTCTGCATGCGATTGTTTTGGCTTCGTCACATTGCGCGTGCGACCATGGCACCATAACAGCAGAAGACGTTACCTGCATCTTTATCATTGACTTGCTAGATTTTTTTAAATTTTTTTTCACAGCAAAGGTGACAATGCTTGGCATGCACTTAAAAGACTATAGCAGATTTCAGTCTATTTATTGCCAGAAAGCAGGGAAATCAAGATCATGTTGTCCACTCAAAAATGGAAGGCCTCCAGACCGAGGCAGGAGTGAGAAATCAGAGTCAACCTCCGTTTTGCGGGCGTCATGTGACAGCACTAAATCTCACAATCGCGCCTCCCGTCAGATTTCCCGCTCTTTCGTCGTCTGCTCTTTGTTAGATTCTTCCGTTTCAGCTCTCATCTTTCGCATATATCAGCATCGAAACCGCACTCACTGCCTACATGGTAGGAGTCCATGATGACCTGGTGATCAGCGTGAATGTGATTATCCAAACCTGCTCGTTGATCTTGCGACGTCGCCGCACTCTGAAGGGAAGGAGGCGCAAGTTTTGGCTCCGGCCGAGTTGGTTCTACCGAAACACCGAAGGACAGGTCAGTGCTTTGCTGCCCCGGCGGCGCGCCAGAGATGAAGGCTACTTTCGAAAGTGTCACCAAATCAACACGACATCCGTCACAACACAGACGACGTGCAACAAGTGCCACGGAGAAACCCACTTGCAATTCCGAATTCCTCTCCTATAATTTCCCAGCGGTTGTTCTTAGCGTCATTATCTAGGTAGTCTGGCTGAGTCTTGTCATATAAAAAGGGACACAGTCGCACAGTTTCAAGGAACCGCTCCGTTGCGGAAGGCATCGGGGGGAATAGGGATAGCAGAGGACACGAAACACGTCCTTCGGAATGCGGAGGGCCGGTTTGAGCGTTGCCATGGCATCGCGACGTCACTATCTAAGCCACCTCCCATTGGCTCCTCTCTTCTGCGGCGAGCGGCGCCGAGCTCTGAACCGCGCACGGAGCGGTTGGCTCTGCGGCGCCGTATGTCGCGCCATTGAAGCCGAAAACTGGTTTGGGTCGGCAGCAGCGACCGTCGCGCCGCAGGCCTCCGCGACGCCAATGTGGTCGTGTCTTAACAGCGTAAGCCTAAGGAGGCGAAAAAGAGTGTGTCAGTGCCTGCCGGACGCGTGTGAGGAGAAGCGGCTCGAATTTCACCGCTATGTCGCCGAGTTGCGAACGAAAAACGGTTTCATGCTTGGCCAGACCGGCAACGCTGACCAGACTCCTGTCTGGTTCGATAAGCCCAGCAGGAGAACTGTCTGTGAGAAGGGAGAGCGGCAGGTGCGCATGCTGACGACGGGCAACGATTACAACCGTTTCACCGCCATGCTGTGTTGTACAGCGGACGGCCACAAGCTGCCACCCTTCCTCGTCTTCAAGCGAAAGACCATGCCGACAAACGAGAAGATTCTGCCAAAAGTCATCGTCCGGGCGTACGAGAAGGGGTTCTTCAATGAAGAGACCGTGCTAGACTGGTTCCGCCTTGTGTGGTGCAGGCGTCCGGGTGTCCTGCTGAAGCCCCGGAGCATGCTCGTCCTCGACTCCTTTCGTGGCCGCATCACCGACTGCGTAAAGAAGACTGTGGCCAGCGCTGGATGTGAGTTGGTCATCATCCCGGGCGGGATGACGTCCATCCTTCAGCCCCTTGAAGTGGTACTGAACAAGCCCTTCAAGGACCGCGTGGGCGTCCTATACAACGACTGGTTCAGCCAGGGCGACAACCCAAAGACACCAACGGGACGCGTGAAGCGTGCATCTCTTAGCAATGTGCCACAGTGGGTGAACAATGCGTGGTATGGACTGCCTGCCGACATGGTCTGCAAAGCATTTTTAAAGTGCTCCATCTCGGCGCCGCTTCACCCAGCCGGCCCCAGTGACGCTCAAGACATAGAAAGCAGCGACTGCGTCGTTGTGTCGACCAGCGACGATGACGACTATGAGGCCTAAGACCTGTTGTGTGTGCCGCGTGCACTGTGTGTGAATAAACGTTCTTTAAACAATTTTCCGTTATTCACTAAAAAAAATTTTTTTTTTTCTTTTTTTTTGAAGGGGTCAGGTATTAGGGGGTCTACTTATATTCAGAGTCGACTTATGCGCGGCAATACGGTATAACTCGCTGCCAAGAGTCGCGTGCAGACTAATTATGCTAGACCGAGTATGACTGGCAGCCGACAACTGTCTGCGAAGTAAGTATGCTAGGCTAAGTATGATTTTCCACCGACAGTCGCCTGCAGACTAAGTATGCTAGGCTAAGTATGATTTTCCACCGACAGTCGCCTGCAGACTAAGTATGCTAGGCTAAGTATGATTTTCCACCGACAGTCGCCTGCAGACTAAGTATGCTAGGCTAAGTATGATTTTCCACCGACAGTCGCCTGCAGACTAAGTATGCTAGGCTAAGTATGATTTTCCACCGACAGTCGCCTGCAGACTAAGTATGCTAGGCTAAGTATGATTTTCCACCGACAGTCGCCTGCAGACTAAGTATGCTAGGCTAAGTATGATTTTCCACCGACAGTCGCCTGCAGACTAAGTATGCTAGGCTAAGTATGATTTTCCGCCGACAGTCGCCTGCAGACTAAGTATGCTAGGCTAAGTATGATTTTCCACCGACAGTCGCCTGCAGACTAAGTATGCTAGGCTAAGTATGATTTTCCACCGACAGTCGCCTGCAGACTAAGTATGCTAGGCTAAGTATGATTTTCCACCGACAGTCGCCTGCAGACTAAGTATGCTAGGCTAAGTATGATTTTCCACCGACAGTCGCCTGCAGACTAAGTATGCTAGGCTAAGTATGATTTTCCACCGACAGTCGCCTGCAGACTAAGTATGCTAGGCTAAGTATGATTTTCCACCCACAGTCGCCTGCAGACTAAGTATGCTAGGCTAAGTATGATTTTCCACGGACAGTTGCCTGCAGACTAAGTATGCTAGGCTAAGTATGATTTTCCACCGACAGTCGCCTGCAGACTAAGTATGCTAGGCTAATTATGATTTTCCACCGACAGTCGCCTGCAGACTAAGTATGCTAGGCTAAGTATGATTTTCCACCGACAGTCGCCTGCAGACTAAGTATGCTAGGCTAAGTATGATTTTCCACCGACAGTCGCCTGCAGACTAAGTATGCTAGGCTAAGTATGATTTTCCACCGACAGTCGCCTGCAGACTAAGTATGCTAGGCTAAGAATGATTTTCCACCGACAGTCGCCTGCAGACTAAGTATGCTAGGCTAAGTATGATTTTCCACCGACAGTCGCCTGCAGACTAAGTATGCTAGGCTAAGTATGACTTTCCACCCACAGTCGCCTGCAGACTAAGTATGTTAGGCTAAGTATGATTTTCCACGGACAGTCGCCTGCAGACTAAGTATGCTAGGCTAAGTATGATTTTCCGCCCAGAGTCGCCTGCAGACTAAGTATGCTAGGCTAAGTATGATTTTCCACGGACAGTCGCCTGCAGACTAAGTATGCTAGGCTAAGTATGATTTTTCAACCGACAGTCGCCTGCAGACTAAGTATGCTAGGCTAAGTATGATTTTTACACCGACAGTCACCTGCAGACTAAGTATGCTAGGCTAAGTATGATTTTCCACCGACAGTCGCCTGCAGACTAAGTATGCTAGGCTAAGTATGATTTTCCACCGACAGTCGCCTGCAGACTAAGTATGCTAGGCTAAGTATGATTTTCCACCAACAGTCGCCTGCAGACTAAGTATGCTAGGCTAAGTATGATTTTCCACCGACAGTCGCCTCAGACCAAGTATGCTAGGCTAAGTATGATTTTCCACCTACAGTCGCCTGCAGACTAAGTGTGCTAGGCTAAGTATGATTGTCCACCCACAGTCATGTGCAGACTAAGTATGCTAGGCTAAGTATGAGTTTCCACTGACAGTCGCCTGCAGACTAAGTATGCCAGGCTAAATATGATTTTCCACCGACAGTCGCCTGCAGACTAAGTATGCCAGGCTAAGTATGATTTTCCACCGACAGTCGCCTGCAGACTAAGTATGCTAGGCTAAGTATGATTTTACACTGACAGTCGCCTGCAGACTAAGTATGCTAGGCTAAGTATGATTTTCCACCGACAGTTGCCTGCAGACTAAGTATGCTAGGCTAAGTATGATTTTCCACCGACAGTCGCCTGCAGACTAAGTATGCTAGGCTAAGTATGATTTTCCACCGACAGTCGCCTGCAGACTAAGTATGCTAGGCTAAGTGTGATTTTCCACCGACAGTCGCCTGCAGACTAAGTATGCTAGGCTAAGTATGATTTTCCACCGACAGTTGCCTGCAGACTAAGTATGCTAGGCTAAGTATGATTTTCCACCCACAGTCGCCTGCAGACTAAGTATGCTAGGCTAAGTATGATTTTCCACAGACAGTCGCCTGCAGACTAAGTATGCTAGGCTAAATATGATTTTCCACCCACAGTCGCCTGCAGACTAAGTATGCTAGGCTAAGTATGATTTTCCGACAGTCGCCTGCAGACTAAGTATGCTAGGCTAAGTATGATTTTCCACCCACAGTTGCCTGCAGACTAAGTATGCTAGGCTAAGTATGATTTTCCACCGACAGTCGCCTGCAGACTAAGTATGCTAGGCTAAGTATGATTTTCCACCGACAGTCGCCTGCAGACTAAGTATGCTAGGCTAAGTATGATTTTCCACCTACAGTCGCCTGCAGACTAAGTGTGCTAGGCTAAGTATGATTGTCCACCCACAGTCGCCTGCAGACTAAGTATGCTAGGCTAAGTATGATTTTCCACTGACAGTCGCCTGCAGACTAAGTATGCCAGGCTAAGTATGATTTTCCACCGACAGTCGCCTGCAGACTAAGTATGCCAGGCTAAGTATGATTTTCCACCGACAGTCGCCTGCAGACTAAGTATGCTAGGCTAAGTATGATTTTACACTGACAGTCGCCTGCAGACTAAGTATGCTAGGCTAAGTATGATTTTCCACCGACAGTCGCCTGCAGACTAAGTATGCTAGGCTAAGTATGATTTTCCACCGACAGTCGCCTGCAGACTAAATATGCTAGGCTAAGTATGATTTTCCACCGACAGTCGCCTGCAGACTAAGTATGCTAGGCTAAGTATGATTTTCCACCCATAGTCGCCTGCAGACTAAGTATGCTAGGCTAAGTATGATTTTCCACAGACAGTCGCCTGCAGACTAAGTATGCTAGGCTAAGTATGATTTTCCACCCACAGTCGCCTACAGACTAAGTATGCTAGGCTAAGTATGATTTTCCGACAGTTGCCTGCAGACTAAGTATGCTAGGCTAAGTATGCTAGGCTAAGTATGATTTTCCACCCACAGTTGCCGGCAGACTAAGTATGCTAGGCTAAGTATGATTTTCCACCGACAGTCGCCTGCAGACTAAGTATGCTAGGCTAAGTATGATTTTCCACCGACAGTCGCCTGCAGACTAAGTATGCTAGGCTAAGTATGATTTTCCACCCACAGTCGCCTGCAGACTAAGTATGCTAGGCTAAGTATGATTTTCCACGGACAGTCGCCTGCAGACTAAGTATGCTAGGCTAAGTATGATTTTCCACCGACAGTCGCCTGCAGACTAAGTATGCTAGGCTAAGTATGATTTTCCACCGACAGTCGCCTGCAGACTAAGTATGCTAGGCTAAGTATGATTTTCCACCCACAGTCGCCTGCAGACTAAGTATGCTAGGCTAAGTATGATTTTCCACGGACAGTCGCCTGCAGACTAAGTATGATTTTCCACCGACAGTCGCCTGCAGACTAAGTACGCTGGACTAAGTAAGACTTGCCACCAACAGTCGCCTGCAGACTAAGTATGCTGGTATGTAAGTATCACTCACCGCAGAAAGTCGCGTGATACCACAGGCAGCCATCAGAGTGGCAAGTCCTACTTAGTCTACCTGCTTGCTCTCTCGTTCACTTCCTTCTCGTGACGCCGGGCAAAGACGTCAGACTGTGGATTGCACAGTTCGGGGTTCGATTCCCACTGAGCCCCTCAGTGAATCTCGCTGGTTGCAATTTATTGTGTCTAGTTATGTTTATGTACAAATCTTATGACTCTGCGTGCCCTCTATATTCTTCGGATGCCTACGTATTGCCTGCTGTGAGCGATGCATGCTTTATGTTGACTTGGTCCGCATGTGACGCTTTTTTGCCACTCAAGCCTTATACTTTTTGGATAAAATTGTTTGTTTCTTTTTGACACAGAATCTGTTTGTGGGATAAAACCCACAAATAGATTTTGTATAAAAAAAATTACACAGAGTCAACCCCCAAGACTGCAGTCCCCCTATTTATAGGTCAAGCATTCAAAGATAACCTGAACAAAAGATATTGCTACTTTCTTGATTTTTATGAAAACAAAAAACTCTTGTGAATAGCGGAGGCAGATGAGTAAAAAGGGCAGCACCCCATCCGATGCTTTACACTCAAGTGGAAGCTTCTGCCACCGAGCACTGGCTACTTTAATACAGCACTGGCAGCACTTTCAGTTGCTTGGAATCAGGAGGCAGTTTCCCAGCACTTTCAGTTGCTTGGAATCAGGAGGAGTTCACCAGATTTTGTTTGGTGTAGCGCTTTACAAACCAGAAAACCAAAGGCTCAAAAATGACACCAAATCTGGCAACGAAGTTCACCATCCGGCAACACTGCCTCGGCGGCCAGAGGTTCGATGCCCAAGACGAGTCTTGAGCCGGCGGGTTTAGCCTCTCGCCCATTCGCCCAAAGAGGTCTCCAAGTGGCAACGAACGACGTCGCACGAGCCTCGTGTCGTCGGACGTCGCCATCTTGGCTGTCGACCGTAAATGCCGGGAAAACAACAAGGGTTGCCGTCGTTCTCAGTACCCGCCTCGCGTCCGCTTCTGTCCGGCTGCAGAGCAACCTGCGGCGGAACGGGCGTCTGCCTCCACCGCGACGCCTTTACCTGGGTCGCAGCAGTCTAGAGCACGGCGCTTCAACACCGTCGCCGGACGGAAATGGAGGGACCGGTTGGAAGGACGGTGTACTCACCGGTACATCTTGAGATACATCTCGCTGTGCCACTGCTCCTGCTTCTCGATCTCAGCACGAGCCTCGGACAGCTCCCTCTCCAGGTGGCGCAGGCGCTCCTGGGTGGTCTCGTATGCCGGCCGCAGCTCCAGGTACCTGGCACACACCGAGGCGCCCGATTGGCCCTCCGCACTGGGGGCCCCAGACCGCCCAGGCACCCGTCTCAGAGCACTTCACGGGCACACGGCCCTCCGACCCCGGGCAGCCCCGGGGCCAAGATTTGGGGTGGAGGGGAGCATCGCGCCACACCCACAAACGGTCGCAGCGAGTGTGGGGTTCTATCCATATTTATTCGTTCGTTTATTCTATTCGGAATATTCCTAAAGGAGGCCATTTCATGGGGAAGGGTAGGCAGGAGCGCGTAGAAATACAAAAAAATGTCAGAATAATAAAGTGTGAGCATTATGAGCAAAAACAAGAATATGCAAAAATATTAAAAAATATGAATGTGATATGCTAGATATTATTATCGGATATCCCAGGTTATTCCAATCAATTACTGTTCGCATAGGAATGATTCTGCAATAAAGAAATGAGTTTTACTTTACATCAGTAATCTCCATCTGAAAAAAATAATGCAAAAGAATATACCCGTGTGCCAGCTAAAAGAGTAATCTTGCCTAGCACTATTTGATAAGTTTTGTGTCTTTCTGTCAAATGGAATACAGAAAGCCAAACAGACAGTATGCCACATAGAGTATTGCTTCCGACTCCAAGTCGGATATCTCGAAATATTAGTTACGCCTAAAGAGTTTCTGAATACATGAAAGGATAAAACATCGAGGACAAGGACGGAAACAGGACTTCTTTCATTGAGCAACAACGTAAAATGACACAAAATATAAAAAAATTTACTGCGAAGACTTATAAAGATGGAGTTCCCCTCAGGAGCACAATTTCAGAAATCGGGTCTTGGTAAAAGCCTCTGCGTCGTTGCCTACGGAAACATTTGTCTAATATCATCCTCCCTGAGTCTTTCAGAGTCCAAAACTCCTTTGAATTAGTCTACCGCTTCAATTCGCTTCATTTTATTTTCATTCCACATTCAACCATATGCTTTTCAATATTAAAGATATGTATTACAACCTAGAACCAAAACTCATCTTAGACTCTGTGACTAATATGATTCATGAACTTGAAATTTGCAACTGAAACCCCAAATTTCTTGGGGGTTTCAGTTGAGGGCTTCATCAACCTAAGAAACATTTATTTGCAATCCACTTTAGTAGAATATGAAGAAAAATTTACAGACAAAAGAAGGGAGTGTGTATAGGCTCTTGCTCGCACCTGTCCTTAGTAAAATATTTCCTTCTTTTTGTTGCCAGGGCTATCAACAATCGGTTGGACACGTCTTTTCAAGGCTGCCTAGTGTTTAGGTATGCCAATGATTACTTCATTTATCCAGACGTTGTGTCCACTGACAACATCTTTGAAGTTTTCAAAGACTGTGCACTAACTTTCATGTGGGACAATTCTTCAAAGGAAGGATTACAATTCCTGGATTTACGGTTACATTCTCATTCCTCAGGTCTTTGTTGGGCCTTCAAGCAGAGATCAGAGAAGCCAGTCCTCCCTTTCAACAGAGCTCATTCCAAGTCAGTTAAGTATGGCATAGTAAGGTCACTTTTCAAGTCCTCATTCTCCAAGTCACATACGCATTTCTCCGAAAGTAGCCTCAAGTTGCAATATGGGGTTGAAAAAAGCAGGCTTTCCTGGGGACCTACTTCACTCCTCCCTTCAGAGATTCATTCTCAGGCCACAACTTCTGCAAGCTGTTGCCAAAAAGAAAGGGTGTTTTGCTGCGATTCCCTACATGCACAATTCCGCACACCGTTTAAGATGTGTCGTATCCAAGTTCGACACCTATGAGATTTTTTCCTGTAATATGCGCCTAAAGCAGATGAGCAAAACGGTAAATGAGAGCGACAGTTCAAGAGGGTGCAATGTTAAACATACCAAAAAGTTTTTAGAGTGCGAAGAAGGAAGGTTTATGCAATTTCACTAAGCTGCAGCAGTCAGCACATTGGACAAACTGGGAGATGCCTTAACCATCGACTCAGAGCACACATCTTGGAAGTGTCAAAGGCTTCAAATGAGTCATTTCACCCAATCGTTGTTCACAGCTGCACATGCAATGACTGTACTCCTCATTTCTCTGATACCAGAATACTGGGTGGGCACAAAAACAAATTTGGGAAAGAAATCATTGAATCATTTGCCATGGGGATTGTCAACAACATTTCTGCACCTTCATTATCACTGACAAAGACAGAGGTTGAATTCCTAATACCAGAGATGACTAGATTGCGGATACTTGGTTGTGACGCTAGTGTAGGGGAGACCAAGAGATGGCGCCAGGAGCGCATCGTGATCTAGATAAGCGCGTGCGCCGCGAGCCGCGGGGTACTTTTCGCCACTTGATGCTAGGGTAATAAACGTTGTGGGTCTGCTTCGTCTACCCTCGCCTGCTTCGTCTGCCCGGCTGGCGCGTCGCGCCCAGAGCACACAAGCTCTGAACATGGTGTCAGGAGTGGGGTACAACTGCTCGTAGTCAGCGCTACCGCCTTGCCGGACGAAGAAAAGAGCATCCACCTCGGGGCCACGGGGCTTCAACCGCCGTCGCCGTTCGTCTTCACGAGCCCAGGCGAATGGACAACGTGGATTCAAACCTACGAGGACTACGCCTTCGCCACCGGTCTACGTTCTGCAAGCGACGAAACGCAAGTAAGAACGTTGCTTTATTGCATGGGTCCGCAAGCTCGTACCGTACTAGCTTCGCTTGGCGTGCCAACCCCGGAGACGCAACCGTTTGCCGCCGTCAAGGAGAGGCTGACTCAACACTTCGTTCATCCAGCGAACGAAATTTACGAAAGCCGAAGATTTCACCGCAGGACTCAGCAGCCTGGGGAAACAGTCGACGCGTTTTTCACAGAGCTTCGAACCCTAATCAGACGCTGCAACTATAACAGCCCCGAGATAGAAGACCGCCTAGTGCGTGACAAGTTCGTAGTCGGCTTATTGGACGAGAAGCTATCGGACCAGCTGTGCCGTTCCACACGACTCACCGCTGACGAAGCACTTTTACAAGCACGCCAGCACGATGATGCTGAGAGGGAGCACGCTTCTCGTTCGGCGCAAGCTGCAGCGGCCTTGAACGTCGACGCAACGAAGAAAAAGACTGTGTCATCCGCTCCGTCGTCGCGCGCACGTAACCGGCAGCAGCGTTTGGACAACGCAGTTTGTGGCAATTGTGGGCATTCTGCGCATGACCGCAAGGATTGTCCAGCACGAAAGGCAACTTGCAATTTCTGTAAAAAGCAAGGTCATTTTGCAGAAGTTTGTCGCGCGAAGAAGCGCAAGGAGAAGTTGGGCTCCGTCGAACTCTGCTCTGTTCATACGCAACGGGCAAGATAAGTCGAAGTAAGCGTCAACGGCCACGTGACAAGGTTCAAGGTGGACTCGGGAGCAGACGTCACCGTCGTTCCGCCGTCGCTTCCAGGCGTTCCTCGCAAGCTCGACGCAGTGGAAGGAGAGCTTATCGGCCCGGGGAACCAGCCACTGCCTGTTTTGGGCACTTTCCAAGCTACTCTGGCGTGGAAGGACAAGCGCACCGTCCAACAGCTTTACGTCATGCGGGCTCAAAATACACCGCTTCTAGGGTTACCTGCGATAGAAGCTCTCGGCGTGGTCAAGTTTGTGAACACCACCTCCGCCGAGTCCGGAAAAACGGATGGACGTGTCCCGTCTTTCGACGCTCGTGTCAGCTGTGTTCCATATTCTGACGCCCATATCTTTAAAGGACTGGGCGAACTCCAAGAAAAGTACACCATTCGTCTGAAGTCAGGGGCTCAGCCGTACTCGTTGAGCGTTCCAAGACGAATACCGCTGCTGCTCTTCGACGTCGTCAGGAGAGAACTTGATGCCATGGAAGCTCAAGGTGTCATCAGAAGGGTTGACAAGCAGACAGCATGGTGCTCCGGACTTGTCGTCGTCCCCAAGTCGTCGGGTGGGTACAGGCTGTGCGTCGACCTGACCAAGTTAAACCAAGTCATCGAGCGGGAGCGATACGTCCTGCCGACGGTTGACCAGATCCTGGGGCAGCTAGGCGAGGCCAGTGTTTTCAAAACTCGACGCGACCTCCAGTTTCCACCAAATCAAGCTCAGCGACGCAAGCGAAGAATTAACGACGTTCATCACTCCGTTTGGTCGCTACTGCTACCGTCGTCTGCCATTTGGTCTGGCGTCTGCACCTGAATATTTTCAACATCAAATGTCACGGGTCCTGGAGGGGTTGCCTGGCGTCGTGAATATGATCGACGATGTCCTTGTTTACGGTAGAGACCTTGAACAGCACGATCAACGCCTTGCTGAGGTACTCCGACGACTTGAGCAAGCCGGGGTAAAGCTCAATGACCAGAAGTGTGAATTCCGGGTTCCCTCGGTCAAGTTCCTCGGAGTCGTCGTCGATGGAGATGGTATCTCGCCGGATCCCGACAAACTTCGAGCCATTCGGGAGCTACCTCCGCCAACGGGCGTTGCAGGCGTTCGCCGACTACTGGGGATGGTGAACCACATTGGACGCTTCCTGCCGCACCTTTCGGACGTAACTGCCCCCATCCGTTCACTTCTCAACAAGTCAAGCGCATGGTCCTGGTGAGCAAGCCAAGATGACGCGTTCAAGCGGTTGAAGGCTATGCTGAGCTCGGAAACCTGCATGGCAAAGTACCATCCACGCTATCCTACGATACTGTCCGCAGATGCAAGCTCATTTGGCCTGGGAGCGGTACTGCTGCAAGATCAGCCGTCCGGAGCTCGTCGTGCTGTGGCCTTCGCTTCAAGGTCCTTGACTCCGACTGAAGCACGCTACAGTCAGACAGAAAAGGAAGCTCTCGCCGTGACCTGGGCTGTTCTTCGGTTCGACCAGTATCTGCGTGGGCTTAGTTTTACCGTGGAATCAGATCACCTGCCTCTCGTCGCCCTGCTGGGAAAAAAGGAGCTGGAGTTGCTGCCACCGCGAATTCAGCGAATGCGCATAAAGCTGATGCGCTACCAATTCGACGTTCGGCACGTACCAGGTAGACTTCTTGCCACGGCGGACACGCTGTCGCATGCCCCTTGCGATGTCCGGTCTTCTTCTACAGTATTCTCCGTCAAAATTTTCGCTAGCGAGATATTTAAAGGTCTTCCACCTCCCCTCGCTAACAGGCTGGAAGAGGTTCGTCGTCGACAAGCTGAAGATGGAGAATGTTCTCTCGTCGTCCGCTACTGCCAAGAGGGATGGCCAGACAAGAGGAAGCTGCCTCCCAACTTGGTGCCGTATTGGAAAGAGAGAGGAAGGTTGACAGTCTCGGAGGACCTTCTTCTGCTGGACTGCCGCCTCGTTATTCCTGCTGCTCTGCGTAGCAACGTCCTGGCCCTTCTGCACGACGGCCATCAAGGGCTTCGCCGCTGTAAGGAGAGAGCCAGAGAAAGCGTCTGGTGGCCTAACTGCAACAGCCACATCGAACATTTGGTCACCAGCTGTGACAAGTGTGCGGAAACAAGGGTTGTACACTCGGAGCCCTTGATGTCAACGCCTACACCAGATCGGCCATGGCAACGCCTAGCCATTGACTTGTTTCAGCTGAAAGGCCGTGATTATGTTCTCATGGTGGACTATTACTCTCGGTTTGTGGAAGTCGTCTCCTTGAGCTCTACGTCAGCCTCAGCGGTTATCGCGGCTATCAAGAGGTGCTTTTCCTGACATGGGATACCGGACGTTGTACGGACAGACAATGGTCCGCCGTTTGCTTCACAGGAATTCGCAAACTTTGCTCTGTCATACGGTTTCGAGCATGAGACCAGTAGCCCTCGGTACCCGCAGAGTAATGGCGCAGTAGAGCGCATGGTGCGCACGGTGAAGGATCTTTTGTACAAGTCCGAAGACCCACACCTAGCGCTTCTCACCTACCGGGACACTCCGGGCGTCGCGGGAGTCTCTCCTGCCATGTTGCTGATGGGTCGGCGGTTACAGACGCGTCTTCCTGCTCTGCCGCAGCGACTCGCACCAGTTCAGCCAAGCCACGAGAGGTTCCGGGCTCAAGACTCCAGGAATAAGGTCCGGCAGGCGAGAGACTTCAATCGCCGGCACAACGCTCGCTCTCTTAATCCTCTCAAGCCAGGTGACAGCGTCTGGGTCACGGATGCCAGCTGTCAAGCACGCGTCCTGAGCCCTGCCCAACGACCACGGTCGTATGTCGTAGAGACTCCCAAGGGAATTCTACAGCGAAACCGCCGGCACCTGGTGCCCTTCTCGCCGACCGTTACTGCGAGGGAGTCTGTCGAGCTTCCTGCTGCCGAAGAGCCTCCAGGACAACCACCCAAAGAAGGTCAGCCTGGGGAGTTGCCCACTGCGGGCTGCTCTTCACCCTCTCTGGATCGTGCATCTTCCCCGCAAGGTGTTACAAGATCACGCTATGGACGTGCCATCAAGCCACCAAGACGGTTGGACTTGTAAACATCGCTTTCTTTCGAACTGTGTAACTAGAGTGCAGTAACGAGCTCCTGGGGGAGATGTAGGGGAGACCAAGAGATGGCGCCAGGAGCGCATCGTGATCTAGATAAGCGCGTGCGCCGCGAGACGCGGGGTACTTTTCGCCACTTGATGCTAGGGTAATAAACGTTGTGGGTCTGCTTCGTCTAACCCTCGTCTGCTTCGTCTGCCCGGCTGGCGCGTCGCGCCCAGAGCACACAAGCTCTGAACAGGTAGTGCTCTTAAAACTTTTAATTGTATCGTACATTTCCGTTTGGGACCATCAACAACAATATTCCTGCACCTTCATTATCACTGAAAAAGACAGAGGCCAAATTCCTAACACCAGAGATGATTAGATTAATGATATCTAGTCGTGATGTTAGTGCTTTTTAGACTTTTTAATTTACAGTAATTTCTCTTTCCTTCACCAAATTTCTTTTCTCTTTCTTCGAGAACATTAAAACCTTTGAGGGGCGGTTTATATATTTAGTGTCATTCTATGCTGTTACTCAAAGAAAGAAGTCCTTGTCCGTCCCTGTCCTCAATGTTTGATCCTTTCATGTATTCGTATCTATCCACCAACACACCCGTTTTCAATTGTTACCAAAGAGTTTGTCATCGTAAGATCAACTGCTAGGTGCAGTGGTGTAGCCGAAGGGGGGAAGGGGAAGGGGGGGGGGGGGGGCTTTTGGGGTTTCAGTTTCCCAGAATTTAGCCGACCCTATAATATAAACTTGCATTTGATCCCCCCCCCCCCTCAAGTCATGGGCATCCCAACGCCTCAGCCCCACTCTAAAAAAATCCCCTACTCTGCCAATGCCTACAAGACACATGTTTTGTCGTTGCTTACTTGGAAAGGCTTTGGAGAACAACAGAGAGCTCGAAATTTTGTCTACAAAATTTTAGGAAAGAGGACACTGGCTAAAGTTTACTCAAATAGGTTAAACTGGAGTGGCAAGCCTGCCTTTGTTAGCTTTATAAAAAGGATGCCAAAGAAGGAATCTTGGTCACAAGATATACACGTACAAAAAAGTAATGCAAGTTGTCTCACTTTCCCTTCTCCTCCTACGTTTGGCGTGACCTGTCTGGTCGTACCGTCTGGTATGACCTGTTTGTCTTTTGTCCATTTCTGCAAAGCGGTGAACCTCGACCCATGTAAGAGGCAACAAAGGCTGACATGAGCGGCGTAGGGTGCCACGGTACACTGCAATCATGGCGTGGAGGCACGTGGCAGATAAGATAATTGTGCGATCTCATCAGGAGCACAGAAACCTGGTTCTGTCTTATTGCGGTAGCCGCCATCCTTTTAATCTTCAAATTTTTATTGCAACTTTTAGCTTGCAACAGTGCCGACATTGTGCGGAAATTTAGACAATGTTGGTAGGCGATCGACCGTCCAGCACATCAACTGGCCATCAGGATGATCAATTTCTATACTTCACTTCAGCTCAAGTTTAGGTGCAGCCGACGCTACGAGCCAATAGGACCAATTAAATGGCGTCAAAATGCGACATCGTGGCATTCGTCACCTTCCTGTACATGTTCACCAATCAAGTGCATTGAATGTCCGGTGACTTGCGCTTTTATATGTGTATTCATGGTTGTGTGTGCCTGAGCCTTCGACTGTGCTTTGATGTAAGACGAAACAAAATATATGATCAGTAGAGATGCTGGAAAATACATATATTGCCATGTGCATAATTGAGAAGGAACGCTTCATACATCTAGAAGATTCATGTTTATTCTTACCCTAAGTGTAAAAGATAAGAAGGCCAGAATGACCTTGACCAGAAATGTTACAAATGTAAAAGGGTCGACGAGCGTGAACGGAAAATAACGGTTTAATCAGCAAACTTGTTCCAGAAATAAAAGGAAGAACAAACATCAAGAAAGCAGCAGTGAACGTCAACGAACGCAGATGGCCGCCGCCAGCAGCAAGCGACCGCGAGTCCAGTCCGTGTAACAGCTGGCTAGTGCGAGACATAAAGTGCCTCATCATTGGGAGAATCTGAGTGAGTCGGCGAAACTGCGGCTAGAATGCTGGGGAGTGAAGGAGTGAACGAGGGCGAGGCTTACTGACAAAGTCATTCTGGCCTCCTTATCTTTGACACTTGGTGGAAAGAATAAACTGGAATCTCCTAGATGTACCGAAAAAGGTTCTTTCTCAGTCATGCACATGGCAATGTAACATCTTAAACACCCTAGACTAGGAACAAAAAGTATGTGTTTGTGTGCTGTCCACTTCTTGTTTCACGTTTGAGGTGTTCAAGATGTTGAAAGTTCAAGTTTGCCTGTACCTTCTCTGTTAGTTGTATATATATATTTATATTTGTACCATTTCCCTTTCCTTCTACTTCTCTAAATATCAAGGCCGAGAAAAAAAAATATTTGTATTTTATGCTTCGCCCACGTTTGCACAGGTGTGGTGCAATTGGTGCAAGATGTAGCACACTTTCCTTCATGGCACAGTTTGGCTTAAAGGGATACTACAACGAAATTTCAGCGCTCATTTTTTGGTCTATATGTGTTCAAAAGAGCAGTATCGCATGGAACATACCAATATCTTGTTAAAAAAGTATTGAAAAGGAATTTTAAAACGAATTAAACGATTAGCAAAGAGCACCTGGTGGATGTCGCTAACGCCTCGTTTGTAATGCTCGTCTAGGAACCTTGACAGCTAGTGACGGAGGTTGTCTCGTCTCCGGCCACGACGAGAGAAGGGGGGAAGGAGGAACTCCCCTCTTCCTGAGAATCCCTTTTGTGTGTCGCAGAAGTCGCTATTGTCCCCCTAGAAGATTATAGAAGATTAACTCGTCACTCAATATTCGTACAAAAGCAGCCGCTTCGGTAGCTGGAGCGACTAGGCAATCCTCTCGACGTCAGCCTCGCCGTAGCTTTGCTCGTCTTGAGACGACCTACGTCACGATTGCGTTGGATGTCACGTGCTCTAAGCTGGGCCTTCTCTGAGCGCTTGCCAGAGTGGGCCGTTTATAACGAAAAATACAGCCACCAGGATCAAAATAGAAACGTGCGATTGTCATTTACGGATATTGTGGATCATATTCAACCTATTTTTGAACACGACGGGAATATTTCAAATTTCGTTGAAGTATCCCTTTAAATGGTGCAGCACTTTTATCACTGCATACACTTAAATGTACTAGCTAAAAAGTTAATTACTCAAAATTAATAAATAAGCTATTCATAACAAACAATATAAATTGCCCCATATTAACCCTTTGGCATAAACCAATATGATAATAACCTTTTTTCTGTGCAATGCATACTTTTCACAAGAACGATTTGGCATACGTTCCGAGAAATACCCCGTATATTTTCCATACAGAGTGCCATGCTCCATACGGGACAACTCGTGTAAGGAGCCTTGTCCGACATGGGGCTAAGCCAAGCATGTTAGGCTGGCCAATGAAATGCTAAAGTTAGTTGACCTATAAAGTTAGTTGAGACAGAATTGAAACCTCCGCACCTGGTCACACAAGTGGACTGACATGTGGAGATGTGCTGCCAAAAGGCATCCGTGGAAGCATCAGTCTCTTTTCGGCTACAACGTTCTGCCTTCCTGTCCGTGCTACATGCATGCAAAGAACACACCACACATTCACACACAGTTCACACACACGCGTATCCAACAAGCATATGGAACACTATACACTCATGGGCAGAGACCAACAGGGAGAAAGGCAGGCAAAGCAACATGACACTCAGCATAACTTTGTTCATGCAAACTCTCAAACTAAAACCAATTGAAAGCAACTTGTATGTCTGCTAGTTGCTGACTTGAACATTCTGGTTAATAATACAGTAATCCCTCGTTATAACGAAGTCAACGGGACGGCAAAAAAGTTTGATATAAGCAGTCATTCAATAAAAGTGATAGAGCCAAAAAAACAGTACCAGCAGCCTTGAAGGTACACGGGAACAGTACGGTGCACTCTGACCGCAAATTTAATCAAACAAACCTTGGTTATGATCATCTTGCCACAGTTTTATGGAGTAAAAAAAATGATTAAGTGAAGTTTGTTGATCATTTCATCCGGGCATCAGTTCTCCTTGAACTGCTCTAGGCATTGCAAGAGCACAGTCACCACCACTCCACTCCACTTTGTTTCGAAGCAGCCATACAATGTTTCGCATTTCTGCAGTAGTCGGCGTTTCCCAAGGTGTTTCTCCCACGTCCCTTCGTGTTCACTCTGGCCGCACTCAAGGTCTACGATCGCAGCGTCCGTGGCAGGAGCAATAACAGGAAGGTCCACATTGACAAGCCTGAACGAATCAAAGTTATCCTCGGCGGCTTTGCCAACATGTTTTCACACACTCCAGGGGCCCTAAACTCATCAAACACTAAGGTGGAGTCGAAAGTTTGTGAAGCACATAAATTAGATGTCGGCGAAAAAAGAGCAAAGTCATCGTCGTGACAGGCCAATGAATGCACTCCGTCAACTTTGACCCCAATTTTGTGTTTGACGAGTCTAGAGGCCCTGTAGAGATTGCTGCAGCTCTGGGAAGAGTGTGCCAACTCTGCAAGCATGCTCGCGAGAGAAAAGCCGACGGCTGCAAACCTTGCTTGTTCTGTAAAATGTTGGACAGTGTCAAACAGCCAATGTTGAATTCATTGACGCTTTCGAACCTGGGCCAGCCACTTTTCTCAACCTCGCAAATCCAAGCGACTTTCGGTACACACTCCCAATTTCTTATACGGCGCACATGTTCAAACGCCGCAGGCGCATGCGTCGGGGGCTCCTGAAGGGATGATCTTCTCCGGACTCCATCCCTCCCTTCACCTGATTCCGACAGGAGATGGGCAGCATCGACCGCAGGTACCGTGAGTAGCGTCAGAACATGGACGCTGCTCCCGCTGCGCCGCTGCTCTCTGCTCGCGTGCAAACAACTTTGTTTGCACAAAAACTTGCGCAAACAAAATTGCACAAGTATTTTTTTTTTTTTTTTTTTTGTGATTGACAAGGCATTTAACTTTGACCAACGGCAAAGTACTTGCCAACACTATCGCCGGCTTATCCACTTCCCCAGCATCACTCTTTGTCACTTCTTTCGCCCGCTCGGTCACTCGTTGTGCCTGGTTGGTTTTTCTAATTTCCTGATAACTGTATTTTTTGCTATTGAACATAGCGGTGCTAGAAATGCGGATTTACAGAACAAGCGTTTGAGCCGTATGCCTATCGGCAGTTTTCATCGCGCGTATGCAACCGATGGACTTCGCGATAGTAAAACATTCTTCCATGAGCATTTGTAGTATAAAACAATGAAACTAATTTGAGTTTCGAGTTTATTGTATCTCGTGTGCAGCCACGCTAGGTAAGTGCAGAAAAAGGGGCATTTTTATAGCTTTTTTTTTAAACTTTTTTTGTGCTTCCCCTTGAGACATGGCCCACCCCACTTTGAATTTCAGGCGGCAGGGGGGTGGGCAGTGACTCGGTATATTACGGTACAGACCCCTCCCTCGGTTAACAGCAACCGACTTTCCACAAACTTTGCAGGCGATTGGGCAAAGAAAATCGTGAACACTCTCTCACGATTTGAGTACAATCGCCGACCGTTTTTTTGGACTCTGATAATTCGGACTTGTTCGATATTTCGGACCTAAAGGCGGAACCGTGATTTACCCCATAGAAATAGTGCATATTCACAACCAATGTTTCAGACAGCCTGAAGTCTAAAAGTTTGATTATTCAGACAAAATCGTCCCGAGCGATCAGCAGAAAACACCATCGAGAAGCGGCCATTTTGAATTCTATGTTGGCTGCCAGTGGATTGGCTTGGTTTGGCAGCGCTACTTGAGCACTCCCGAGTCCTACCGCTAGGTGACGCTATGCTAGCCCTTTTTTCCCCATTTAGCTGCACGTCATCATCATCATTATTATAATTTTTTATTTGTTTTTCATTCTTTCGCGTCACCAGTCACCATTTTGTGCTCGTGGATTTGCACCTCTGATCTCGTTTGGACAACACTGGCTTGGATGTCATGGCCCCATCTGTTGTTCTGCTACTCGACCATAACGCTAGAAAAGAAGGCAGCAATTCTCAAGCTAACAGAAAGTTGCCAAACGGAAACGCAGGCGTAACCTGAAACAAGGCACTATTTACGGCTTTTTTAAGCACTCTTGGAAGTAATAAAGGCAAGTTTTTGAATTTGCTGATTTTTCGGACTGCTCTACTATTCGGACGTTTTTTCGGTCCCAGCGACGTCCGAATAATCGGTCGGCGGCTGTAACTCGTGAGAGAATTTCGGGGTACGCCCAACAAGGAACAACAAGGGTTAATCAGGGATATTCAGCTAGTTCCCCACTTTTATCGAAGGTCTGGCAACAGGGGAATCTGGTTCAAAGAGGTCAACGGGGAACCGGCCATGCCCGGTCACGTTCGAAGGGGTATCATCAGAAAACCGAAAGTGCAAATTGAACGGCACAATGCAGTGCAAGGAACGCCGCCCAGAAACCTCGCAATTCCGCGTTGGACGACTCACTTGGCATTCAGGTCCCCCAGCATCTGCAGCAGGCTCTCGGTGCGATCGACGTAGCGGTGCTTCAGGTCCCGGTACTTCTTGCGGAGGCTGGCGGCTCCCACCCCTCGCGCGTCCGCTTCGCGGCTGCCCTTCCGGTCCGGTCCGGAGTCCAGGGAGTCCGTCGAGTCGGACCAGTTCTCCCGGACCGTGCTGCCCTCCTCCGCCCTCTCCTCTCTGCTGTCTGCGGGTGTCAACAGAAAGAAGGAAAGCCACGTTTTAAGTAAATATTTCCGGAAAAAGACGGTCCTTATATCTCTGAAAGCTCTGGAAGTTTGAAAAGGGTTCTTTGAAGTGTTGCAATAACCAAGCGTCCAAATCTTCACTTTGTGTGCTACGTGACTACAAGATAAAAATCCTATATTCATTTTGTGCTACAACTGGATCAACGCATCAAGCAGTGTCGTAGTGGTGTCATCGTGGATGGCACAACGATGACACACAGCTCGAAATGGAATGCTTCGCAAGCATTTGTGCGCAGCATTTGAGCGGGTCTGTATTTGTCCCACCTTCTAACTTACAAACCGTGGTTGCAAGATTTTAGGAGTGACCGGGTGTTCGGCGACCTCATGGGTCTGGACATTTACCGACCTTTGGGTCGGAGAAATCAGGAAGGATGTGTGCATAAAACAAAGTTCCATTCCCTCCTTTGCCTTTTTTTTTTTTTTTTTTTTTCTTTTTTTTGTCACAGATGCCCTACAGCCATATGGTCCACGGCGAGGTCTACGGTGGGATAAAATTGTTTTTACAGCGGAGCTGTTAAGGGCTAGGTTCTCCAGGATTGTGTCCGTGTGTGCGACACAAACCTACCTGGACATCTACCGCCATCTATAAGCGACAGTGGCAAGCACACAACCAGTATGGTTTCCGCTGTCGCTCGTAGATGGCGGCAACCTTTCCAGCTGTAATAGAAGAATGGATAGTTGGGCGCGTTGGTGGGAATTCATCGTAGAAAACAGCGCGAAAAACAGACGACGACGAAGAAGAAGCACACAATGTACAGTATAGAACACTTACAACGTAACCGCTTATAGTGCAGGACTGGGTATAACGCGGTTTTTTTAAACCACCGGTTCGCCTCTTATAGAACTCCATGTAATTACATACCGATTAAAATGCAGGCATGCGAAGGGAAATACCGGTTATAGTGCGGTTTCTGGAACGACCGGTGCAGCGAGCACGCTTCCCTGTGCGACACTAGATAACGGCGCTGACGGTGCGAGCCGCAAGCGGCACTCGCGGGCCAAGGAGGTTGCTCGAAGAAGCGGGGAGAAGCGAAGAGAGAGGCTTCAGTTGCCATAGCGATGGAGGGACGCACGCACGTGTCGTTCACGTGCGTGCGTCCCTCCGCTGCGTTGGAAAACAACCGCAACGAGAGACCAATCGCAGGTCGAGGAGAAGTGTTCGCGCGCGTTGCATGCCGGTCGCGGGCCGGCTGCTTCTATCCGCAAACATGGCGCCGGGTGTGATCGTCGTCGTAGACGGCGTGGTGGAAGCTCATCTTTCCTTTTAAAAGCGCTATCCTTGACTGTGAATTTTCGTTGTGTGTCGCTATAACGCAGCGCGTACTAGAAGGGAAGGTCCACCTATTCATGCGGCAATGTTGTGGCGGCACTCTCAAGACGGCAGAAACGCCTGTGTCGTCGTCTTTGTTTACTTCGACTACAGTGGTGCTTTCTAAGCATTTGTGTTTTCGAACACTGCACAGATTTCTTATTTGGAGCATTTCGTGCCAGTGCTAAAGTTGAAGGTATTACTGGCGCCTACCGTATGAAGGATGCGAATTTTTACGCGTTTTCATCACCGGAGAAAAGTGATTATGGTTAGCAATCCTGAACGCTCGCAACGTCCGTCCGCAACCCGCGACACCGTTAAAAGGCTGCGCCAGGCAAAAGTCGCTCATTTCTTTCAAATTGTGTGACACACTTGAGACAGAACTGTACAAGTCTGGTGAAATAAAGACTTTCCTCAAACTAAGCTTTATTTTTCATCTAACATAACATAAATTCTTTTACAAAGGTGAGTTGTGTCATGGCTCGTATTTTGGCCTGAAAAATTGATGTTTTGGTTATAGCACGGTACCGCTTATAGTGCAGATTTTCGCGACTCCCGCGACATACGTTATATGCGGTCTACACCGTATCGAGTACAGCTCCGCTGGTCTTCCTTCTTCACGAGGGTGGAAAGGCTGAACGATTTTTTTCTTCTGCAAAATACAATAAATTTTTAGCCATAGTATTTCTATTTAATGATGGGTCTCCATTTTATTCTTTTGGTGCATACAATTAATTATGACTTAAACCCTGCAATACTTGAAACAATTTGCGTTGTAATTGTGATAGGTTGTATTCGCGTTTCCACATTCCTCGACATTCCTTTTGTTTGTATAATTGAAGTCAAGCTTTATTTCTGAAAATAACTGTTAACCGATTGCTCAGATATGATGCCACTTAATGACTTTAAATCAAATAGTTATTTGCGAAATGAAATGTCACGAATACTTTGTCTTGACTTCTTGTTGCATTTGATGGAAATTGTTTTATTCAATGGATTCTTTGTTTTTTTATTAACAAAATAATATGTAACCAAAACTTTGAGCTTAATTAAAAGAAGTAACCTTTTCTTAACATGTTGTTTGAAGATGGCCAGTACTGCCAGTTGCAGACAGTGCATGCAGCGTGTGACCCAGTGCAGTTTGCATAAGTTGAGCAAAATATGTCTTCCTCATTCTGCCATATTAGTTTGGTGCGATGAAAATTCATTACGCTCCATCTTGTGTCTGGCTTCTGCATATAGCACATGCCCAACAAAAATCACAGGAAATGCATGGGTGGCCACGGTCCAAGGTAGAGTTATGAACCGGTTTCAACCGGTCACGCGTGGTAGAACCGGTAACCGAATCGAAATTTTGTTTTTATGATTGAACCGAAACCGAACCGTGACCAAAACCTGAACAAAATACAAAGCCGCCCTCGAATAATGACCGGTTCGACACCCTACTCACTGCTGCTTCAGTGGCACATAGGATATTTCTCACCGAACTGCTCTAGAAGGATGTTAAGATTGGCCCAGCAGCCTTCGAATGCCTCGGTCAAGTTCCTCCTGAAGGACAAATATCCCAGCAACTCTATGCCAACCTACAGGTTGTTCCCAAGCGCTATTTAGGCATAAGGAAACTGTACACAATGAAGTTCAATAAAACCTTTCAGGAGGTGTCCTTAGGTGGTGCATTTATCATGTTCAAAATTCAAAGTGTAGGTTTCTGAAAAAAAAAAATTGCAAGAATATAAAAATGTTATTCCTATGCACAGAGAGAAATGGCGAAGAACAGTTTGGTTGACACTACGGCAGTGTGATACTTTAGCCCCAAATTACAGGGAAAATAAAATACCAGCCACCGGATGGCTGAAAATATTACGCAAACGATCATGTAACGTGATGTGAATGGACAGCATCAAATGGTCAGATATTTCTGCGATATTGCACGGTGCTCCAACATATGCTTCGAGCGTCCCATCCTCGCGCGAAAGGCTTCGAGCGTAGAGCGGATATCAAACGCGCGCTCAGGAGATCCAATTGAGGCAGACCCTCTGGCATCAGCAGGTGTGCGTTCACTCAGTGAGTTTCCCGATCTTGCTAGCACGAACACCGCATAGGCGCATAGCACACACCTTAGAGGCATGCAAGTAACAGTCTTGGTAAGACCGAAGAACCTCATGGCAAGCCGCCGGCAAAGACACCGGGTCTCGTGTAGACCACAACCGATCCCACACAAAACAGCTACGTAGCACCAAACACATTCCCGCGGATGCGCTGCACAAATTGCTCGGTCGCACCAGCATGTCGATTCCTTGCATGGTTCTCTTCTCTGTGCCGCTTCACGTTCATGCAATTTCATCTTAACCTTGATTGCATTCCATGCCCAGGGGGACACCGAGCAAATGGGCGACCCAAGGCAAGAAAGAGCAGATGGCGCCCTCTCCTGGCAGCAAAGTCAACTGCGATAAGTGTGATCCTGCTCCGTTCGTTTTCTGCGACACGACACTCACCCAGTACAACAAGCTTAATACAGCTGACGCCGTAAAAACAGGCTTTTCATGTAAGTCTCGTCAAAACATTAGGCGCCATACAAAATCAGTCAACTGCGATAAGTCCTTATTTCAAACTCTTTGTTCACATTCCACCCATTAAAAAGCACAGCGCAAGAGCCCAAGTACACACCTGACCTCGTCACATTACCATCTCCTTCCCCAAAATAAAATCTGCTCGCAATGGTCATCTAATGTAAAAAGACCCGCGTGCGAACGCAGCGTCTAAAGTCAGCTACAGCTGCGCCATCTTCCAAATGCCGTCTGCTACCAACGTGTCGTTGCTAGCTTGGGCTCCAAACTGGGCTTCCAAACAGACCGCACTATGCACGGTCACCCCTCGCTTTGCTCGGGCCCAAGTGTGCACCAAGCCTCATTGGAACCGCCGAGGAATCTCCAGGCGACCGCCTGATGCTCTCGGCGTCGACCTCCACAACGGCACATCCAACTTCAGCTAGCGTTGCTGCGTTCACGTTAGCAGACGACGGTCGGAACGCGGCGTCTCCCGTTGCTGACTTCAGGCGCTGCGTTCGGGCGTTCCTTCATAAAAAAGACGCTTTGTCACCATGGTGACGCTGACCATAGTAGACAAACTTTATTGTGTGGAAGGAGACTGCAGGGTGGTGAGTTTGGGCTCTATTGCTGTGCATTTCAATGGGCAGAATGTAAATAAAGAGAGTTAGAAATAACAACCTAATCCAGATGGCTGGTTTTCTCCAGCGCCGAATATTTTGACGAGCCTTACACGAAGAGCATATTCTTAGCTCGCAATCTGAACAAAGTTCCTTGTACTGCAACATGGGGCTAAACTACCGATGTGCCGACAGTACTACTCACAAATGGTGCCAGTGACATGGTTACACCAAACCTGGGCTACCATGTCAGTACAGGTAGTTTATTTCGTTTTCCTCCCCAAAGATTAGAATGTTTTTCTTTTCTCGCATTCGTTTCCAGATACCTACACCCCAGGACGGCTCCTAGGTTGGAAGAATGCTCTTCCGACGTCCTACCAGCGAACGACATCCACATAGCAACTGACGCCCTTTAGGCTTTTCAGCATGGTGTCCGTGATTCTGTGAAAAATGGCTGGTGCCGACCAGATTCCAAACAGCAACCTGTTTACTGCAAACAGCCCTTCGTGCGAGTTCAGAGTCGGGTACTTCCTCGACATTTCAGCCATAACCACCTGGTGGTAAGCCCAGCTAAGGTCAATCTTTAAAAACTCCCAGCCTCCCACAAGCGCCGCAAAAAGGTCGTCAACCCTTGGTAGCGGATACCAATCAGTGTCAAGGCAAGGGATCATGGCGGTTTTGTAGTCCCCGCACAAACTTATTCTATAGCCTTTCACTACCAGTATGACCAGCATTGCATAGTCACTCGTGGCGACCAATGTGATGATGCCCATGACTTGCATCTTCTTTAGTTCAGCCTCAACAGCAGGTTGTAGGGCAAACAGCACGTTTCTTGCCTTGAGGAGCCTCAGCATGTAAGCTTTTGTGAGCAACATTTGTACCTTTTCTTCAGTGATAGTTGCAAGTTTGTTTTTGAACACATTCTGGTACAGAAGCACACTTAACTTTGCATGTTGTTCGGTATGCGCCACATCATCTGACCTAACTGCGCTGTTAAGCTTACACATTCGGTTCCAGTTCGATTGGATAGGACAGCTTGCAGCCACTGTTGACCTAGCTGGGGCGGTCCTTCTCGGGATGTAGATGGGAAGCCCGGCCTTCTGCAGACCATCCTGCATGTGGACGTGAGCAACTCCAACGGGATGGACGATGCAATCCTTGAACGTGCGTAGCTTGAGCGTTATCCCCGTGATCTTTGTCACCGGAGAAATCTGACGTAACTGCTGCAGCAACGTGACAAAAACGGTTGCCCTTGCATCCATTTCCGAGAGAACTTTCTGCACCTGAATAGTGATTTTTATAGGTAAGTTCAGATCAGACGTGGCCATTTCCTTCATGCAAGCTAGGTTTTTGAAGAGGAACCGGTTGCATGACCATCTTACAGGGCGTCCACTTCGACATGTGCATTTCTGCCACGCTCTTTTTTGCTGCTTTTGTAGCTAGCGCTCTTTTGACAACTCTCTGGAACGTCAGTCTGCTGTCCTCTGTAAACACAGTGTGCTGAAGTTCCTCTCTGCGTAATCCGCACACAAAACGGTCTTGCAACAGCTGGTCAAATGCGGCTTCCAAGTCACGTGTCTGTGTCAGTTTGCGTAGTACCGCAACAGAAACTGACACAGACTCGTTTTTGAGCCGCACCCTTGTGTGAAACTTTGCGTGCTCTGCGATCACTGATGGTTTCGGTGCTAGGCGGTCCCCCAGAAACCAGAAACTGTTCTAGCCGAGCAAGCCACCCGGGGTAAAACTTCTTTGCAAATAAAAATTATTATTATTATTTTACAGCGAAGCTGTTAAGGGCTAGGTTCCCGAGGATTGTGTCCAATACAAGGCCCTTATCGACAAAAACGCCTCTGGACAGCTACCACCATCTATAAGCGACGGCGGCGAGCACACAGCCAGTATGGTTGCCACTGTCGCTGGTAGATGGCGCCAACCTTTCTAGCTATCATAGAAGAATGGATAGTTGGGCGCGTTGGTGGAAATTCATTGTAGAAACCAGCGTGAAAAACAGACGACGACAAAGAAGAAGCACACGTAACGAGCGCAGTGCTCGTCACGTGTGTTTCTTCGCCTTTGACTGTTTTGCGCGCTGTTTCCTACACTCTTATCAGTTTCAGTGTGGACTCAGGATGGGTCGGCCGCGTGCCCTTTTGGGGAAAGAGCTGTGGAAAGAGCGGCGACGTACGCAACAGTGCGAATGGGTCCGCAACCTCAGCAAAGCCGCTGTCGCCTCAACTTCCACTCCGTTGAGCACATTGCTCGCCTGGAAAGCCGCCGCCGAGAACAGAACCAGCGATGTAAAGGGTGCCGGCGGGCCAACTCCACGGACGATGATCGTGCCACGGAGCCCAAGCGCAAGCGCGAGGCTTGGCGACGACTGCATTCCACGCCGGCTGAACAGTTCCTGGGCGCGACGGTGATGTTCCGGAGGGAGTTTGTGGACGTTTGGTGTCATGTGCGCCGTGTGCGACCGACTCTGGGTCACCGGAGACGAATCCACGATTGGCGGCGTGTCGGATAAGAAGAACTGGAAATCGGGCGCGTGCGCGTTGCGGCAGTGTATCGAGTACAGCTCCGCTGATCTTCCTTCTTCACGAGAGTGGAAAGGCTGAACGTTTTTTTTAGTTTTACAAATGTCTTTGTTACTGGCAACTCTGATGCAGTCAACGATTTGAGGAGGCCCCTTGTTTTCGAGCCTCTAGTACTCGGAAGTGAGAGTCCCTTGTCCTCCTCGGCGATTCGGCTGACCAGAAGAAACAAAGTCAGTCTTTCCCGATACAATGACCAGTAGTCACTCGCTGAATCGTTGAAAAGCTCGATGTATCCCAGTCAACCAAAGACTTGAGGCACTGCACCATTCATCACCAGCTCACCCGTTGACATGCCGGCTTCCCGAAGAGGAGATCACAAAAGTCTTCACTGACAATTTGTTGTGTCTTGCGGGGCAGCAGAGAAGGAAGAACGGAGGAGCATAGAACGATGTTCATCCCATTGTGTGTGCAATCAGAACGACTAGGGAGCTATCACATGACAAAAAAAAAAGAAGACAAATAAAAACACGAGCCTCGCCACTTTAACAATAGTAGCACGTGCCTGGCTGTCACTATACAACATCGACACTCTGCTTTGTCAGTGACCCTCGTTTCATGCCTAAACGGCAACAATAAGTTTTATGAACGCGTTGAAGCAGAGAGATTTCTGACATGATGTTCAAGCCAGCATCCGTCAAGGTAAGAGCAGACACTCTGAGTGGATGTAGTGGGAACGAGACACATCCTTTGGTTTTGCTTCTTTCTTTTTCCTCTCTCGTGCTGCCCGAACGGTGGAGACGCTGTTGGTCGAGTCTACTCTGGCACGCGCCACCTTATCTGGTCGGTTGCGTTGCAACGCTTGCCGTGCTGGATGTCCTCGCCTACCATAAAGTTCCGAGAGAATGCCCGCCCCCGAGAGATCGCCCATCCCGTTATTCTGGCTAAATATCTGCAACATAAAAATTTCAAAACATCGCCCACCCCCGATTCCCGTCAATCGTCACGCAATGTCCAACGCGAATTGCATCAACCGTGCAATTCGCTGTACCGGCACATCTGACGTGCGAGTTTATAGCGGGTTCCCTCGTTTTTGTTCGCGATCTGCGCACGCGATAGCGAGTTGTTCCCATGTGTGTGTTGCACTGTGAAATGCGAATCTGCTGAGTCTGCAATCTGGAGTATCCGTTCCCGTGACATAAAGTTTTTAGCGGATTCCCACGTTTTTGTACGTGATCTGCATGCGCAATCTCAATTCCACGCGAGTTGCTCCCGCGTGTACATTGCATCGAAAAATATGATTCTTCTGCTCTCGCGATCTGCGGTATTTGTTCCCGTAACATACGAGCTTGTAGTGGATTCCTGCCTTTTTGTCCGCGATCTGCACTCGCAATATCGGTTCCCGAGACAGACAAGTTTGTGGCAGGTTCCCACGTATTTATTGCACCATAAAACTTGCATCTGCTGCGTCCGCGATTTGCGGTATTCGTTCCTGTGAGATGCGATTTCTCGGCGGATTTCCGCGGGTCCTTAGCACCGTGAAACGCGAATCTGCTGCGTCCGCAACCTGCAGTATCCTTTCCCGTAACACAGGAGTTTGTAGCGAATTCCCGCGTGTTTATCGCATCGTGACACGCAAATTTGCGGTGTCCGCGATCTGCGGCATCAGTTCCCGCATCATGTAGTTTGTAGCCAGTTTTTGATAAAGTTTTGTTGTGGCGTCCCCAAAGATAGCCCCCCCCATGTTTTTCACCGTTTATCTCTTCATTTTGGGAGGGCGTTCTTTCTGAACTTTACGGTCCACCGTGCCCGGACCTCACCTGTGGTGGACGTGCCCCGTCCTCGTTGCGAGAGCTCCTCCGCCTTGCGGCCGGCCGGAGCAACTTTGGGGTCTTCCGGTGGGCATGCCTGGGTCTCCTTGGAGCAGCGGCTGCCCGTCCAGCTCGGCAAGTCGGCCACAATGCCGCTGTCGTCCAGGTCGTCCGTCTCCATGCCACGCTCCTGCGTGTCCTGGACCTACAAAGGGACATCCGTTGATTTACAACACCCCCAAGATAATACACTGAAGAGGGGAGTGAGCTTAAAAAAAGCAATTGGAAAGTGTGCATATCAGTAAGAACATTTTAACGGATTATGCGTTTTATTAGCCGAGTTTTATGGAGTTTCGTAACAACCGGTTGTAAAAAAAAATCAGACACCCAAAAGTGTTAAGCTCACAGGGAACCATATAAAAAGACTTCAGGCCCCCCTGACAGGATATGAACTCACCCGCTCGAGTTTGTGAGCCAAGCGCTTTGCCGATTGAGCTATCCAGGGTCGGGGATGCAAAAACACAGTCATTCGCACAGCCCAAGAACGCAATGTCGTGCATTTTGCGGTCTTTCTTGTTATGCTACGCCATCTCAAGGCATCTGTCCTGTCTCCAGTATTCTTTTACAGTTTCCTCCCATTGTTCGCTGACTTTAACCATGTCTAATGCTTACCAACTAGCCCAGCTCACCACCCTTTTACATCTCATGGCCTGTGTCAGAAATGAGGGAAAATCTTTGTTAGGCGGCGGCATTCAGATGCCCTTCTCTTCTTCCCTGGCACGGCTCTCACTAGAGGTGTGCGAATATTCGGAACTTTGAATACTTCGCAAATAATGCTTGCCATTCTACTCTATTCGCTTCACACTTTAGCTGTTCGAAGTATTTGAGTTCTTCAAAAACTACAAATAATGCCGTTTTGTTTTTGGACTGCTCAGTATTGTTTTGAGCTTGGCAAACCCAAAAAGCCAACCTAGGCGTCCTTTACAACGAAGCTGTTTATGGCCAGGGTTCCATAGATTTTTCGTGTACGTCAACAAAAATTTGGGCCATGTCTACGCTCGCACTGCCCTCTCTTTGTCGTCGTTCCAAGCCCTTGCGTGCCTAGTTTCCTTCCCTTCCGCCGGGTGGCGGTCTTGTCGCACGTGTCTAGTTTCCTCCGGCTCCTCGGGCCAGCGATAGTCGTCCACGCGAAATAATGACCCCCAATCGAGACAACAATAAGTGTGTGTGCATACCTCTCGTCACAATGACACCGATCGAGACAATAAATGTGTTCCTACCTTTGTTCAAAATTCTGTGTCCCATCTGTGTCGTCTGCTAAATGGCTTTGCTGGTCCTCCACATTCACAAAGTAGAATGGCTCACGATTCTTTTTTTGTTTGTACGAAGCACTGGAAAGTTACTTGCACGCAAGTAGCGCAATCTGTCCTCTGTTTGCCATGATGTCTTGATTGCGGAGTTGGCGAAGTGGTTGTGGCACAAACGCTACAATAGATTTGACGAAGGACTACGATTTGCAACGGCACGTGCATCGTCGTGAGCGCAAACATGACGGACTACACTCACTAGTCTTTCCTACAGTCACTACAGCAGCCGAGGTGCTATGGATTTGGATATGGATTTACGGCTGACCTCGACTATCGGCAATATCTGGCTCGTGGTATTTTCTGCTCGATTTTCCAGTTCATCAGTTTGCTGCCAGTATTTCTTTCGTTATTTATTTCTACCCATTCTCATTGGTAGAAATAAAACTTGCATCCTCTGCCAAAAAAAAAAAGTATTAATTTATTGCTTCTTTGTGGCGCCTTCTATCAGCAGGACTATTGCACACGGAAAGAGATGGCGCAAAGTCAGAGCGGCTGCGCGGCGCAATCGCACTATCTCCAACTCTGCTGTGGCCCGCCGACCCGCCACCGCTTGTGCACTTTCGTTTATGTTCTGTAACTTCACTCCTGACTCATCTTTTATTTCATCTGTATTTTATCAGTCACACGTGTGAATTTTTCTTACTGCAATAAAGTTTTTCATAAATGTTTGTTGAAAAAAAAATTCCAGTTGTGTTTTGATTGAGCATTTTTGTTTAATTCGCATCAAATATAAAATATTTGTTTTCAAAAACGTTTTTATTCTAAACTATTTGTATTCGAAAATATTCTATTGATTCGATTCATAACCGTTATTATTCAATTCGATTCGCTTCGAAAGATTTTGATATTTGCACACCTTTATGTATCACACATTCTGTGCTTTCCAGTCTTCGTCAGCATGATCAAGCTGGTATAATTTTTTTAAACAAAAGAACACTGGTTGTTAGCAACCGAATCATTCGGCGGTTGGGGTAGAAAACTTTTCGAAAAGAGCATTTGAAGTTTGCCGGACTTTCTCACACGATTTTACCACCCTATTTGGGGTCCTTACTATTTTTGCGTTATCTTCCGCAGTGAGAACTGAGAAATACCGGGGATCGTCACTCGCTCGGCCTCGGCAGGAAACAAACAAAGACAACAAATGTCAAACTGCCCACAATATGGACCTTCGACATTCTTCAAGGACCGTCGCCACCGAGATGATCTCCAGAAAGTCTTTGCGACCTTCGCGAAAAATGGCTGACCGGGTGCGGGGTAGGGGACGGGACCTCACAGGCGACGGGGGCGACGCCGGTTGGGGCGGCCGAACGGGGGGCACGCACCTGCTCCCCGAGGCGCAGCTGGTCCAGCTCCCGCTCCAGCGCCGCCAGGCGCTCCTCCTTGTCTTGGGCGTCCCTCGTGGCCCGAGCGAGCGCCGAGCGCAGCTGCCTGAGCTCCCGCTCCCTCCGCTGGGTGGGCGTTAGGTAGCCCTCAGGTGGGCACTCGAAGTGGCGCTGGCAGTGCAGCACAAACTTGGTGCTGCGCACGCCCGGCCCCGGCACGCCTGGGCAACAGGGGGGAACGCGCAGGGACACAGCTCAATACGGGCTAATGAAAGCAAAAGCTAAACTTCTACTATAATCACCAAGAGGTGCGGGGCTTATTACGCTCACACTCCGGTCTCCACCATTCCTTCCTGGACATTCCTATCGGCGCATTTCATCGGCTCGGAGCGACGGCAAGCTCGGGACTGGCCACGCCCTGCGTTCCTTAGGCCATCGAAGACCGTGGGTCATGGAGGGAACGCCAGTCTCGGCAACCCCAGTCTGATCAATTATTCTTAGTAGCGAGGAATCTTTGAAGGTGGAACACCCGCGAGTAATCAACGGGAATGCTAGACTGCTAGACTGCTAGGAATGCTAGACTAAAGTACATTTTCATGATGTATCATGGTCTTTTCAACACTGACTACACCCTGTAACTCGCATTCTAAGAAATAGCCATTCTAAAATGATCCAGCCTTTTCAAAGTAGTTTGTGCATTTCACTATTCTCTCTTTCCTAAAAGAATAGATGAATGGAACCTTCTACCGCAGGAAATTGTGAACTCAAGTTCCCCTAGTTTTTAAATAATTTGAAGCGCTTACAGAACTAGTTTGTTCATTGTTACTATTGAGTGGTGCATGCCGTTTGCTAGTTTAATAATGTTGTCTTTGTAATATGACTGCAGATTATAATTGTTTATGCAGTGGTCTCGTTTTGCTTCTGCTGTTTATTACCGTTTTTTTTTTTTTTTTTACCCTCTCCTGTAATGATTTTAAGAGTGGTTAACAGTATCTTGAAATAAATAAATAAATACTGTAAAAGACTTATTTTTCGCGGGCTCAATATTTCGCGATTTAGGTCGAAGTTGAAGTTTTGGAATAATTTGCGGGTTCTCATTTTTGCGGCGCGGTGGGATCTTAATATAAACTCCAATGTGTTTACATTTTATTGGACATGTTCGCAGGACCTATTTTTCGCGAAGTGTAGGCGATTCGCGAAATTCACAAAAATGAGGTCCTCGCGAAAATTAAGTTGTTTACAGTAAATAAAAGCTGTACCAAGGGTGTGAATTTGATAATATGCTTGTTGCATCTCATCTCACTTGCGAGCATGATCTCGCCGCTGTCCACGAGCGTGCAATCTGGAGAGGTCCTCACAACTGCGTCGAAAGCAACAGGACCAGCATTAGGCGAGAGCAACCGGGCCCCGCTATCGCAAGTGGATCCCGCAACCTGTGGACCCTCCGATTAACGTCGGTAACTCGAACGGGTCCTATGCAGAAACTGATAAAGCGTCTTGTTTTCTGCACAATGCACAGTTTTCGCAGGAACAATTTGGCCCCTGTTTGTCAGATTTATCTCGTTCTATCAATACGGTTAATTTATTTACACATTTTGACTCTTTCCTCTCTGGACTCTACGAGGATGACGACAATTACTCGGGATATATTCAATGTGGCGACTGACTCTCACAGATAATCACACTGTGCTTCTAAAAACACACAAACAAGACAGTGAGAGAGCAAGACAAACATTGAGGGGACTTCTGGAGCACAACGAGCACGTAGCACATGCCATTGAGTGTTGTACCATGTTCCATGCCGTCGCATGTGCTTCCAGAACAGCCCCTCCCACTTGGACACATTCTGTCGCAACGCATTCATTAGACATACAGGAAGCGCCGAAAAGACAAGGTGATGTGGTGAGTGGTTAGCATACCACACTCGTCATCAGGAGACCCTAAAATGAAATCCTAAAATGAAACTATTTTAAGCATCAGCAAGCAAGGTTTGTGCAGGGTTTCCACAAAGAGGTATTGCTTTAAAACGAGAAAACATAATGATCACTCATACGCACGAATAGTGTCACACTGCATGCTGTCGGCACAGAATAAAACGCGAGCGTCCAAACATCAGCCTTCGATGCATGCTGCGCTACCTGGAGGCCAACGAAACTGCGAAGTGGAGGGGGGGAGGGTGTCAAAGCCCGCGTGCCAATAGCACGTGGCTCTCACCGTTCTTTCCGACGGAGGTGCTCCCGCAAGAGGCGAGGCTGGCGGTGCTGCCCACGCTCTGGGCAGACTCCTCGTCGCAGCACTCGGGCGTCCCGGCATCCCCCAGCAGGCTGGGGGCCAGGGGCCTGCAGCAGCGGGCAGCCGCAGACTCCGGGATGGTGCGCTCCCCACGTACCCGGACCGAGGCGCTGCGTCGCAGGCTCGGGATGCGGCTCTTGCCTCCGTCGCAGTCCATGGCCGGTCCGGTGGTTGCCGAGGCCCCTGCGAGGAAGAAGCTGTCCGCAGGGTGCCGGCCACGACCGCATCTCCCAGTACGCCTTAGCGAAGAATCCAAACGGTCGTGCACAAAGTGCCCAACAAATTAGGGGAATGTCCCAACCCGGAAAAATTCACTCGGTCTCACTTTAGGGACCAGATTTTATACCGAAGCGTTCGAACACCCACTTCCGTCCATCCAGCATCGCTGAATCTGTGTTATCATGCGATATGACCACGGGATTAACTCGGATCTACACGAGTAACATCTAGCACGCAGCCAGCTCGTGCACTCTTCCTTTGCCTCCACAGCATCTGTCATGTGACACTGAAGAGAGGGAGGAAGAGGAAGTGCTCTCCCACCTTCATCTACTTGCTGCACATCCTACCCCCAAGGTCGCCTGCGAAATCTTTTATGACCCTTTCTACGCAGCAAGTTCCTAGAGTTCCTTTTAGCGACACAGATGGCAATGCAGGATTGCAAAAAGGTCTATTGTCTAGAACTTTCTCGTTATATTTTTTCTCTTCATTCACGATAAATATTCTGAAACTATGAAAGGTGACGGGATACAGAGATTTCGTACACCAGCTGAAATAAATCTAAACTCCAGACTGGAGTGTTTATTAATGCTGGTCTGAGGGACGACAAAGAGTGGTCACGATTGTGCGGCCCTGCATAATGACGAATGACTTGCGACTGTCTGCAATGAAATTCTGGCTGCAATTAAAAATTTGTTTGATCTTACAAATGTGTATCGGATACAGAAATGCTTTTCCAACAATCAGCCGGTCCTGGCTTACACAGTGAAGCAAGTGGCACTTGACCTTCTCTAGCAGGTTCTACAGTAGCAGGCAAGATAGTGGTTTGGAGCAGCCACTGACACTTTTGGAGCAGATATGCAAACATCTGCAAGTGCGTGACTTAAGAATAAAGAAGCGATTGCACCACGAGTTCATCTATGATAGCGAATGAGGTCCCTCTTTGATACTGGAAGATATTACTCAGCACCCTTTGTGACAAGAATAAACGTGGTGCAAAAGGAACACAGTCTTCCTCTAAGAAGTAAGGCTCTGGTAAGAGCAGGTTCCATACACAATGGGTATTTAAAAAGTGTTTAAAACTGAATCATAGCAAGGCACCTCAGTTTGGATAAAGCCTCTTTCCCCATATCCTCCTACACTTGGTAGTTTATTTAGCCCATAAATATACCGCGTTTACGTGAATCTAAACAACCGCCCCCCCCCCCCCCCCCCCCCCACCCTCCCCCCAGTTGTCCAGTCAGAAAGGTAAAAAAAAAGTTAGCATGCAAATGTAAGCACCGCTTTTTTGAGCATGATTCAAAATCCGAGCGCGGCGCGCCACTTCCATCTGACTCGGAATGCTGCAGCATTTCCTCGGACTGCTTTTGCTCACCCATCAAAATAAAGCGTACAGTGTTTGGAGAGGGACCTCACATACATAAAAATAATGTATCTGCCAATCTGACGAGGGACGTCAAAATACAACAGCTATTTTCGCTCCATGTAAAGGTTATCTCAAAGACATGAGTGCGTAACACTTCTGGCTATATTCCCAACAGACCTCGAAATGGTCACTACCTTTTATTTACTATGACGCAGCAGTGTCTCAAGGACTGAAACTCTCAACGACAAAATGTGGAAGAAATTTGCGAATATGTGATAGGCACCTGGCGTCCACCAGGAGCCGCTACCATCCCTCAGCGAACAGCACCGTGCGCGGCTGCTTTTCAGTCAGCGTAGGGAGAGTGGCAGGGCTCTGCCGCCACTCCCGCGCTTCTACCAATGTGTCAAACAGGGGACACATGAGCAGTGAACTGCCGCACAGCGCCCGTTTTTTCATTGGTTTAGTTTAGGTTCGGTGCTGCGTATTCTCAAACGCTGTCGTGAGAATGATCTAGTCGTCTGCGAAGTAACTCTAACTTCCAGGGGCGACAGGGAAGGTGTTGTGAAATCACCATCTCAACTAGCAACAGGCAGGTCTTTGCGAACAACGACGACAGTGCTGACACATGGTGGTATGACTCCGAGCAGGATTGATGTGGTGTTGGTGGTTTGAGATCAAGGTGCGGAGTCTGTTTGCTGGAATGTTACTGCCACAGCCGATGAAGGACTTAACAGGAGGGGTGTAGAAAAAATGCCGAGACGGTGCACTTTGTTCAGGAGAGACCTTTGGCGTCATCAGGCTTGACGAGCCAGCCATTCGATGCCGCCAGGAGACAAACAAACGTGCTGTGTGTTTCGGAATTTCTCTGCTGGGTTAGAATTTTTGACTGCGTTGGTAGGTATTTACTCCCATACATAACGTTTCTTATGATGCTCGCGAATAACGCTTTGTCACTGCTCATTTCAATATTATGGTCATAACTCCTGATAATCACTGCATTTGGTGTGACTTCCCTGGAATAAAGTGAATAAAACTTCTCAGTGTTTTTTCGAACGAAAGCGTCAAGTTTTAACGAAAGCTGGTCGTGTCTCATACAAGCGATTTGCACTAGCCTTCTGTTCAATCTGGACCTCCTCGGACCCCTGAATGCCTTCGTGGCGGCGTTCTGGGGTCTGGGTACGTTCTGCGGTATAGTTTCTTCAGAACTGACCCGCTGTGCACCTCCAGTTGTCTCAGCGAAGTTGGCCACGTTGCATATCCATTTTTAAATGAATGTTTATACAGTCTACACAATTATTCATTGGAATGATTTCGATATATTCTCTTTAAACTTCAGCTTGATCGGGTGGAAAAGAAAAGCAAACACTGCGTTGCTAGTGTTGTGAACATACATTTTGCGGTAATGTTTTCTTCAACATGATTGCTTTAACAGTAATATAATGGTGGCACAAGAACGTATGTGCCGGTTTTATTTGTTTTATTATGGATTTGTTTCATTAAATCAATTACAGTTCATTGATTTGCATAATTTTGATAATTTCCTCTTTGGAGACCAGGTACGATGATGAAAACGCCTGTGATATATTTCTGAAGTTATTCTAATACTTCAGATTAGAAAAAACAGGTACTGAAAATTAATTTATTTCACTGGTTACGTTGTTGGCTTATTTCAACTAAAATGCCAGGAAATTGATCATAATACTGATGCGAATCATGGCACAGATCTGTTTAAAACGCTAATACTTCGCAGCGCACAACAGACAACACACCATCAAAACAGATACACACAAAGAAACAACACTCACGCAGCGCTGACTGTCAACTCTCGGATATATTAATCTTCGTTCTTATCTTTCACCCTTACGCACTAAAAAAGAACTAAATGTTAACCAAGGAAGAACAGCGAAAGAAAAATAAAAATAAAAAGAAAGGGGAAAGATTAATATAGGAAAGAAAGATGGAAAGAAATGGAAGAAAATAAGATCTAGTCCTACTACAGTAAAATTACTGAGGAGGTTTTCCTAAATAATATAACTCTTTTCTTGATAAGCTAATCGACGGGGTACTAACGCATACTCCGTCTAGCAGGTCTATGCTCGCGGCTTCGATGATTTCTCGAGTTAGTTTGTTGTTGCTTCGTCCCAGTACTGTGCAATTGCCCAGAAGGGGGGAACATCCACAATCTCTACAATGAATGCCCAGATGGCCTGAGTTAGCGTTAATGGCGTTGCAGTTATGTTCCCGGAGCCTGTCATTGAGACAGCGCCCCGTCTGCCCAACGTAACGCTTCCCGCACGTAAGAGGGAACGAATATATCACTCCCTCTGCACAGGAAACGAACTTGGTCTTGTGATTTTTCGTGCAGCACTCTGTTCGAATAGGCTGCCCATTCACCCGCTTGCACAGGCTGGAAAGTCTCTGCGGAGCTGAGAAAACCACGTCGACGTTGACTCTGCTAGCTACTTTTTTAAGCTTGTGTGACATGTTGTGAATATAGGGCACTATAACAGGCCTTGTAGTGCGTTCTCTTTTTCGGTAGTTAGAAGCTTCGGCTTGCTTGACCTCCTTAAGTAGGCATTCAGAGACTGAAATTAATATCGACAAAGGGTATCCTGCTGAAACCAAGCGAGTTGTTTGCGTTTTGAAGCTCATGTCGGTCATGTGCACGCAGGATTTCTTGAGGGAGTTTTTTAGGCAAAGTTTTGCAATGCCTCGTTTAACAAGTTTCGAGTGTGCGGAACTATGATGAAGTAGTGGCTTTTTTTGCCCTCGGTTCATAAGACCAGCAGATGTGACAGTTTTTAAGGAACAATCGAAGGTCTAAGAATCTTATGGAATGCTCGACCGGAAGTTCGTGGGTAAGTTTTAACGGATCAAGGTATTTCTGGAAGGTAGAAAGAACATCGGCCACCAAGGTGGGGAAGGTGCGACTGTTACTGTCAAGAAAAACCAAGTAGTCATCCACGTAACGAAAAACACGCACTATTTTTGAACTGTCTAAGTTTTGCTGTAAGATTCTGTTGTGGAATGCCAGAAAGAGGTCGCTGAGCACAGGAGCTATACAGGACCCTATACATATTCCTGTTTTTTGTAAATATGTTGATCCATTCCAGGTGGCAAAGGTAGAATGCAAATAGGTCGATATTAGGTCCAGGAAACCCTTAATGGACACCCCTGCTGCATTTTGGAAGGCTATTACACCAAAGGAGTCAACACTGTCCTCTATGCACATCAGGAGCCGATCTTGAGGTAGGGCATAATAGAGATCCTTTACATCAATAGAAAAAGCCATGAGTCTTCTGTCCTTTGGTTCTTGAAGAAATTGCAGGACGTCATCCGAGCTTCTAATCAAATACGGATCATTTATGTCAAGAAGGTTTAGTTTTTCTTGAAGGAACAAAGCGATGGATTTTTGCCACGTGCCTCTTTCAGACACAATCACCCTGAGGGGGCACTCGGTTTTATGTGTTTTGGCATTGAAGAAAATCTCAAGGCTAGACAGTTTTTTACGGTCAATGGATGAAGCAAGTTGCTTCAGGTCCAGCGAATTACATAATTGCTTGGCTCTGCTTTTGATTGTACTTAAGGAAATGTCATAATG